TTCTTGACATCCTTTACGATCGGTTACGATGCCTAGAGTACGGAGACCTGTACGATTTCGTCAACTTAGTGAGTTTGATAGGGGCCGTATAGTGGGACTTCGAGAAGCTGGACTTTCTTTTCGGGCAATTGCAGTTAGAGTGCAAAGAAGTGTAGACACTGTGGTTAGGTGTTGTCAGACATGGCTTCGAGAAGGCCGTACGCAAAGAGCAAGGGGCACTGGACGCCGCCGTAGAACAACAGACCGTTAAGATCGCCGCCTAAGATTATTGGCTTTAAGGGACCGTTTCTCCACTACCAGGTCCATTGCAAATGAATGGTTTGCAGAACACGGAAGACCTATTGGCATGCGAAGTGTTTACCGACGAATGAGAAGTTTTGGCTTGTTTTCATACCGGCCACACTGGGTCCTCCCTTTAACTCGAGAACACCGACGTGATCGCCTTGAGTGGTGCAGACAACGGTCACTCTGGGATCAGGAATGGAACAGAATTGTCTTTAGTGACGAGTCTCGATTTTGTTTAGGCATGCACGATGGTCGTGCCAGGGTTAGAAGGCGACGTGGTGAAAGGAGGAATCCACAGTTTTTTTGTTGAAAGACATGTTCATCACACTGTTGGAGTTATGGTTTGGGGTGCTATAGCTTATGGTTCCAGGTCACCTTTAATCTTCATCAGAGGTATCATGAACGCGCAGCGTTATATCCACGAAGTTCTAGAACCCCATCTTTTACCCTATCTTGACACCCCGGCAGATCCAACTTTCCAACAAGATAATGCCCGACCACATGTTGCAAGAGTCACAATAGACTTCTTTCAACATAGTGATGTCACATTGTTACCATGGCCACCAAGATCTCCCGACTTATCCCCAATTGAGCACGTGTGGGATATGATGGGTAGGAGATTGCTCAATTTGCAACGTCCTCCTCAGACTCTGGAAACACTTCGAGAGGAGTTGGTGGTTGCCTGGAATGAGATACCATAGGAGGACATTGATCACCTGATCAGAAGCATGCCTAGGCGCGTTGGAGAATGCGTAGCACATCAGGGTGCATCCACACATTATTAAAGGTCAAAGGGCTTTAAAGCAGTGCATTCATTTTGAAATTTTTATCATTTACTTATTATGCTACATTAAGTACTTATACAAAATTATATTAAAATAAAACCATTTAAACTGGGTGTTCGGATTTATATGACACTTAGTATAGCTTTTGCGCAAAATACTCGAAAATTTCCATTTTGTGAACTTAATCCTATAAAAGGGAAGGCCGCCAACAGAAGATAACTTTATAAAAATAATACCGTTTCAAATGTAGCGATTTTCTACAAATTCTTAAAAATGCCTATATCTCCAAAACCATTTAAAATCGAATGACATACTCGTAATATATGGATTTGTTGATGAAAGATGACCCCCGTCCCTATTACCGGCATTCGTTTGATTCGTGACTTTTGGGACACCCTGTATGACAAAGCATTTTTCTCATCGCATACAACAAAGCATATCAGATGCTTCAACTAGTAATTTAATATAAATAATATTCAATTAGACATTGAGAGCTAAAGGAGTTCCTTCACAGCAAGAGCTTGAGCGGTGCATATTTGTGACTAGGAAGATGGAAGAACTTTGAAGTCTATTTGAATCCCATGGCGGCGCTGGCTGTTAGGGTATAAGAAAACCAACTTTGCTACAAAACTGCATCTCGCTATAGGTAGTTTCTTTATCCGTTTACGGCAGTCGAACTCCCAGTCACCGAAAGCTATGAGAAGGCCTTAACAGATTCCTAATAGTTGTCATCAGCGAAGCTGTGGATTGGGTTGATCGTGTAGGAAAGAAGGTCGTTGATATGTAAGAGAAACAGTGTCGGATCCAAGAGCGATCCCTGGGGTACACTCGCATTGATGTTGTGGGTTGAAGAGGAGAACCCGTCAATTACGACGGATATCTTGCGGCCAGAGATAAAGTCAGCCACCCATCTGCAAAGCTTTTCCGGGAGGCCATAGGATGGACGTTTGCTTAACAGGGCAGTGTGTCACAGCTGATCAAACGCTTTCGTAATGTCAAGAGCAACGACATGAGCTTCACCATAAGACTAGACGAGTTTACTCCACAATTGCGTGACGCAAGCTGTGGATGGTTGGTGCTGGAAACCATACTGCCTGTCAAGCTGTGACGTTCGAGGTAGACCAGAAGCTCGCGATTTATGCACCTCGCCATCACCTTACTTATAACAGAAAGCAGAGCTATAGGCCTGTAGTTGTAAGGGTCGGTCGTAGATCCTTTTTCTTGGGATGGGTTGGACATGAGCAAATTTTCAGTTTTCTGGGAAGGTTCCGGATTCATAAGATGTCTGGAAAAGACGCGAAAGAACTGGAGCAAGTGCCGCTGCACACCTCTTTAGTACAATGGCAGGAATCAAGTCCGCACCAGAAGCTTTGTTGACGTCGAGCGACAAGAGCACGGATCTTACGCTTATGCCTCAATGTTACCTCCCGCATAGTGTAGGGAACCCTTTGAATTGACGGCACTTGGGGGGGGGGCGTCCATGGTGGAGTTGGCAGCAAAGATCTCTGCTAGCACTTCCGCCTTGGCCTCGACGTTCGGCTTGTCTGTTTACTGTCTTTCCTTTTAAATTGTGAAGTCATTCAATCCTGCAATGGACCTATAATCATCAAGATAACGTCCTTTGCAGTTTCTTCTGTCCTTCCACATTTCCTATGCAGAGTCCTGGATGTGCGTAGTTCTTTCCTGTGTCGGATTGACACATTGGAGGCAACATTGCATGGTATGCTGTCATTCTGCGCCAACATCGGACAACCCCGGACAATATGCATTGCTTCAGCGTTCACACATTAGTATCGGCCTGCGTTAGCCCAATATCTGCACAAAGATTCTGTTGCCTTGGAGCCTCCAACATTGCCTTGTATAGAATCTTTCTCAATATTTTGTCCAACTTTTTTTAATGGTCTCGTGATACCCAGAGCTTTGTACAATACTAGAGGCTGGTCAAGGTCCTATGATATCCCATCCTATGGTTCTTACCAACTAGGTTGTGGTCTATCGGCAGTAGTAAGTTCATTGTTACACCAATTAACTTAGGAAACCGATATTTCTTCATCGTATGCGGTTTAATTTGTTGGCCAATGCAATCTCGAGGTAGTTTTTACTGTGTTTTAGGTGCTTCAGCGGTCTCTCACTATTTCAAAGTTTGCTTAGACTAAGTTTTTTGACACAGACAGTCTTCCTCAAGATTGAGCAATACTACCCTACCGTTATTTGGAGTGATAAGAAGAAAGGTCGTAGGTGGTCATGCTTCATTCGAGATGCAACTATCGAATGGGAATCAATATGTGCTTTCAATTACAGTATATTCAGATAAGAGATAGACCGGATGTAAACAAAAGGTTCGGGTGATTTTCACGCTAACGCCGCCGTCTCGACGTAAAACAGGAGCCCTCATTGGTCAATTCGCAATTAAATGCCTATGCCGAGCGGCAGAGCAGTCGTATCAAGGCAGAGTCACATTCAGGTTCAGACGTGTTACGTATGTCGTGTGCATCATTGCAATTTGATATTTCTTTGGACGTTTTCGTTTGTTATCTTATTAAGTTGTTGAGTTTGTCGTTGTTATTGTTATACCTTGTTATTCATTGTTATTGTCATCAACTGCTTGCGCAAAATGCCCAGTAGTACAGATACTGCCGATGAAGTTGTAAACTCCTGTAGTCCACCTAGGAAACGCTCTAAAAAAAGACACCTGAGTGCAGAAATGAAACAGGTCATTTTGAATATATATAAGATCGAGCGCGAGGAGAACGAGGCATCAACCATCAAAGAAATTGTTGTGAAGGTTTCTCACAAAGTTGGGGTGTGTCGCGCATCAGTGTTTAATGTGTTAAGACAGTACAAAAAAAATCACACCTATTCTGAGCCAATGACCAGTAAACATCGCAAAAGTATTGTTAAATCATTGGATGAAGCTGATAAGCATGCGATTAGGAGGAAAGTGCATGAATTCTTCTTTAGGAATGAAATACCTACTATAGATAAAGTACTGCAGGAGGTAAATGGAGATACAACGTTGCCAAATTTCAAACGATCAACTTTCCATGCGTTACTTTTTACTTTTTAAATTTTGTGACCTCAAAGGACTTTTCAAAGAAGCACTAGAATTAATAACAGCGCAAAAATGGGAAAACTGTATTAAGCACGTGAAAGACAAAGTTGAAAAGAGAATGTGGGAACTGGACAATATTTTAAAGGAACAAGTCGAGCCATTCATTATTGACGTTGGTGCTTCAGGCAGTAGCGATGATGAAAGCTCATCAAGCTCATCTTTCCAATAAAAGATGTCGTTCATCAAATTCGGTAACTTATAAGTAATTATAAAGCTACTGTATTTTTTAATTAATTATTGACATTTTTGAACCCATTTTGGCAAAACCTATTCAAGAATCTACTTTCTGACAATGTTCAACCATGCACATTTTTTTACGTTTTGAACGTTTTAATTTGGTTACATATTTACCTAGAAATCAAAAAATATACTAATCAATATTCTAAAGGCAATTTTAAGAGATATACGATTATTTTTAATTTAGGCTAATTTAAACGCCATTTTGAGATTATATTCGACTGTATTTCACCAAACATCAGGCGGCATCCGAAGATGGAAATCGAAGCGAAAATTTTGAAACCCTTATGTATATTTACATCATTATATATTTCTTACCCCACCCCCACATGATCCTATATCCATCACCAATCGTATACACATCGAATTGTGCTAATTTACTACAAAGTTACGCAAAGCAGCATCTACTATCTAAAATATGTACTGCGTGACTCTTAATACGTCCCTGCCGAATGTTACAGCGTTCGATGATCACGTGGTCTTGTTTATGTCCGGTCTATCTCTTATCTGAATATACTGTAGAGTGCATGATGTCAGTGTTACTGGTATACCTTTCTAAAAAAAATATTCCTTTGTTTCAGGTATGGCAGTGACTTGATGGCAATAGAATCCTACAGCGAAAACAACTACACGGCGGCCATTGCCCTGACGTCAGTGCCACCTGAACGTCGAAGCTTGAACCACTATTGGTTGGGCCTCGCCTCACTAGATGATCTCAGAACCAACACACTCGAATCGGCTGCTGGTACTCTCGTCTCGCAGTACTCAGGTGAGAACAAAACATACGAATCATCATACTTAAATATATATCCCAACTGAGTATTAAACTTCATGGTCATGATGGGAACGAGAATTCAATGATAACGTAAGCATCGATGACGAATTTAGACGATACAAGATGAAATTAGCGATGATGCAGACGAAGAATTGATGATGGCTAACGTCATACATTTCTGCGACCACATTAACTGAAGAACCACTAAAACAGACACTTGAACTTATGATAGCAGTACTTGAATTTAAGAGATTCTTATCAGTAGATAATGCACTAATTGACATAAAATAGGTTGAGAATATGAAGAATACCGATGGAGTTTGCAGAATACAGTGTTAAATGACATTACTTACTTAGAGAGAATAGCCTCTTGGTATGAACAATGGCGATTACTCCGTTTATAAGTGAAAAAATATGTAACGGGTGATTTTTTTAAGAGGTATAGGATTTGATTTTCAAAAAAAAAACAAAAAATTTGAAAAAACGATTAAATCTTTATTTGAGTCGATAGAACGGTCGATATAATTTAATGTTTAAAGATTATTTCATGTAAATGTTGGCCGCGGCTCCGCTTTAGATAGCCCATGCGCAAGGTCCAATTTTGGCACACCCTCTCCAACATATCGGCCGGTATCTCACGAATAAATGCTTCAATATTGGCTTCCAGTGCGTCAATCGTTGCTGGTTTATATCTGTAGACATTAGCCTTAACATGACCCCACAAGAAATAGTCCAACGACGTTAAATCACACGATCTAGGCGGCCAAGTGACGGGCCCCAAACGTGAGATAAACTGTTCACCGAACTCGCCTCTCCATAGGGCCATTGTTTCGTGTGCAGTGTGGCATGTGGCACCGTCTTGTTGAAACCACATGTCATCCAAGTCCAGCTCTTCCATTTTGGGCAAAAAAAGTTTGTTATCATCGTACGGTAGCGCTCGCCATTCACAGTTACGTTCCGGCCATTGTCGTCTTTGAAGAAGTACGGCCCGATAATGCCACCGGCCCATAATCCACACCAAACAGTGATTTTTTCGGGATGCATTGGTAGCTCTTGCAATGCTTCTGGCTGGTCTACACTCCAGATGCGGCAATTTTGCTTGTTAACGTACCCATTCAACCAGAAACGAGCTTCGTCGCTGAACACAATTTTTCGATAAAAATGTGGATCTTCCTCCAACTTTGCAGCGCCCATTCACGAAATGGGAAACGTTGTGGGAGGTCGTGTGGCTTCAATTCTTGCACCAGCTGTATCTTATAAGGTTTTGCACCCAAATCCTGTCGCAAAATTTTCCACGTAGTGGAGTAACAGAGGCCCAATTGCTGAGAACGGCGGCGAATCGACATTTCACGGTCATCACTAACACTGGCGGATACAGCCGCAATATTTTCTTCAGTCCTCACCCTACGTCTGCGTGTTGGTGGTCTAATGTCCAATAATGTAAACTGGGTTCGAAATTTAGTCACAAGCTTCCGAATAGCTCCCTCAGTAGGCCGACCAAATTGCCCATAAATTGGAAGCAGTGTTCGATGCACTCTCTTAACCGAGCATGAATTTTGATAGTAAAATTCAATAATTTGCAAGCGTTGTTCGTTCGTAGGTCGATTCATGGTTAAATTATAGACCAGACTGAACAAGTTTGACAATGACACAAGACACGATTCACGCGTCTTCTGTCAAAAACAGTGTTGCCAAAAAGATACTAGCAAAAAAATCACCCATTATTTTATGTTCCATCATATTATGAATCACAAAGATGAAGAGTCGCCGTGTGCTGCGTGGGTTCGAATCCCGTCCCAAGCGATTTTTTCCCTTGGCTACAGATGTTGCGATCCGCAGGTGGTAGACGGTCCTTGACTGTCGAACGCGGACGTACCACCCGGCGGATTTCTGAGGTGGTGCCAGAATTTGTGCATATTACATGCACACGTGTTCCTTCGCTAGAATCAGTGTGGTGTCCCACCCTTTCCCCTATGTTCTCCTATAGCCCTATTGGTTGGGCCTCGCCTCACTAGATGATCTCAGAACCAACACACTCGAATCGGCTGCTGGTACTCTCGTCTCGCAGTACTCAGGTGAGAACAAAACATACGAATCATCATACTTAAATATATATCCCAACTGAGTATTAAACTTCATGGTCATGATGGGTACGAGAATTCAATGAGAACACAAGCATCGATGACGAATTTAGACGATACAAGATGAAATTAACGATGATGCAGACGAAGAATTGATGATGGCTAACGTCATACATTTCTGCGACCACATTAACTGAAGAACCACTAAAACAGACACTTGAACTTATGATAGCAGTACTTGAATTTAAGAGATTCTTATCAGTAGATAATGCACTAATTGACATAAAATAGGTTGAGAATATGAAGAATACCGATGGAGTTTGCAGAATACAGTGTTAAATGACATTACTTACTTAGAGAGAATAGCCTCTTGGTATGAACAATGGCGATTACTCCGTTTATAAGTGAAAAAATATGTAACGGGTGATTTTTTTAAGAGGTATAGGATTTGATTTTCAAAAAAAAAACAAAAAATTTGAAAAAACGATTAAATCTTTATTTGAGTCGATAGAACGGTCGATATAATTTAATGTTTAAAGATTATTTCATGTAAATGTTGGCCGCGGCTCCGCTTTAGATAGCCCATGCGCAAGGTCCAATTTTGGCACACCCTCTCCAACATATCGGCCGGTATCTCACGAATAAATGCTTCAATATTGGCTTCCAGTGCGTCAATCGTTGCTGGTTTATATCTGTAGACATTAGCCTTAACATGACCCCACAAGAAATAGTCCAACGACGTTAAATCACACGATCTAGGCGGCCAAGTGACGGGCCCCAAACGTGAGATAAACTGTTCACCGAACTCGCCTCTCCATAGGGCCATTGTTTCGTGTGCAGTGTGGCATGTGGCACCGTCTTGTTGAAACCACATGTCATCCAAGTCCAGCTCTTCCATTTTGGGCAAAAAAAGTTTGTTATCATCGTACGGTAGCGCTCGCCATTCACAGTTACGTTCCGGCCATTGTCGTCTTTGAAGAAGTACGGCCCGATAATGCCACCGGCCCATAATCCACACCAAACAGTGATTTTTTCGGGATGCATTGGTAGCTCTTGCAATGCTTCTGGCTGGTCTACACTCCAGATGCGGCAATTTTGCTTGTTAACGTACCCATTCAACCAGAAACGAGCTTCGTCGCTGAACACAATTTTTCGATAAAAATGTGGATCTTCCTCCAACTTTGCAGCGCCCATTCACGAAATGGGAAACGTTGTGGGAGGTCGTGTGGCTTCAATTCTTGCACCAGCTGTATCTTATAAGGTTTTGCACCCAAATCCTGTCGCAAAATTTTCCACGTAGTGGAGTAACAGAGGCCCAATTGCTGAGAACGGCGGCGAATCGACATTTCACGGTCATCACTAACACTGGCGGATACAGCCGCAATATTTTCTTCAGTCCTCACCCTACGTCTGCGTGTTGGTGGTCTAATGTCCAATAATGTAAACTGGGTTCGAAATTTAGTCACAAGCTTCCGAATAGCTCCCTCAGTAGGCCGACCAAATTGCCCATAAATTGGAAGCAGTGTTCGATGCACTCTCTTAACCGAGCATGAATTTTGATAGTAAAATTCAATAATTTGCAAGCGTTGTTCGTTCGTAGGTCGATTCATGGTTAAATTATAGACCAGACTGAACAAGTTTGACAATGACACAAGACACGATTCACGCGTCTTCTGTCAAAAACAGTGTTGCCAAAAAGATACTAGCAAAAAAATCACCCATTATTTTATGTTCCATCATATTATGAATCACAAAGATGAAGAGTCGCCGTGTGCTGCGTGGGTTCGAATCCCGTCCCAAGCGATTTTTTCCCTTGGCTACAGATGTTGCGATCCGCAGGTGGTAGACGGTCCTTGACTGTCGAACGCGGACGTACCACCCGGCGGATTTCTGAGGTGGTGCCAGAATTTGTGCATATTACATGCACACGTGTTCCTTCGCTAGAATCAGTGTGGTGTCCCACCCTTTCCCCTATGTTCTCCTATAGCCCCTTCGTGAGAGTTCGACTATAAAACAAAAAAAAGTTGCGTCGTTCAATGAATGTCTTCGTTTCGCGAAATTTTCCAGCTAGCATCTCAGGTCTTTAGGAGAACCATTCTTGATAAGGAGAAAAGGACATGCAAAGATCAAAGGTCTATTCAGATCATCATGATGAAATCGTCTGAAAATCTAACAGGTATTTTGGCTACCATATTGCAGTATAAGGCAGATAGAAGAAACAGCACATTCTCAAAGACACCATTTTAAGAAAGAATTAGTTTTATATGACTTTACTAGCATTTCATGAAGCTGTACCATTTAATAACATCGAAAGAATATTATATTTATAATATACTAAGTGACATATAAATCCGAGCACCCAGTTTAAATGGTTTTATTTTAATAAAATTTTGTATAAGTACCTAATGAAGCATAATAAGTAAATGATAAAAATTTCAAAATGATTGCACTACTTTAAAACCCTTTGACCTTTAATAATGTGTGGATGCACCCTGATGTGCTACGCATTCTCCAACGCGCCTAGACATGCTTCTGATCAGGTGGTCAATGTCCTCCTGTGGTATCTCATTCCAAGCAACCACCAACTCCTCTCGAAGTGCTTCTAGAGTCTGAGGAGGACGTTGCAAATTGAGCAATCTCCTACCCATCATATCCCACACGTGCTCAATTGGGGATAAGTCGGGAGATCTTGGTGGCCATGGTGACAATGTGACATCATTATGTTGAAAGAAGTCTATTGTGACTCTTGCAACATGTGGTCGGGCATTATCTTGTTGGAAAGTTGGATCTGCCAGGGTGTCAAGACAGGGTAAAAGATGGGGTTCTAGAGCTTCATGGATATAACGCTGCGCGTTCATGTTACCTCTGATGAAGATTAAAGGTGACCTCGAACCATAAGCTATAGCACCCCAAACTCCAACAGTGTGATGAACATGTCTTTCAACAAAAAACTGTGGATTCCTCCTTTCACCACGTCGCCTACTAACCCTGGCACGACCATCGCGCATTCCTAAACAAAATCGAGACTCGTCACTTATGAGAATACTGTTCCATTCCTGATCCCAGAGTGACCGTTGTCTGCACCACTCAAGGTGATTACGTCGGTGTTCTCGAGTTAAAGGGAGGACCCAGTGTGGCCGGTATGAAAACAAGCCAAAACTTCTCATTCGTCGGTAAACACTTCGCATGCCAATAGGTCTTCCGTGTTCTGCAAACCATTCATTTGCAATGGACCTGGTAGTGAAGAAACGGTCCCTTAAGGCCAATAATCTTAGGCGGCGATCTTCACGGTCTGTTGTTCTACGGCGGCGTCCAGTGCCCCTTGCTCTTTGCGTGCGGCCTGCTCGAAGCCATGCCTGACAACACCTAACCACAGTGTCTACACTTCTTTGCACTCTAACTGCAATTGCCCGAAAAGAAAGTCCAGCTTCCCGAAGTCCCACTATACGGCCCCTATCAAACTCACTAAGTTGACGAAATCGTACAGGTCTCCGTACTCTAGGCATCGTAACCGATCGTAAAGGATGTCAAGAACCAAAATCCGCCAACGTTGATTGTTTACTGCGGCTGAATATTCATTTTTAGAGCGTTAGTGAATTAAAAAAAAAGCAGTATAAAAACCGGAATGTCCAACTGATAAGGCTGAAAATTGTTTCACTTGTTATTTACAGTAAGATAAATACATTCACCAAATTTTATTAAAATAAAACCATTTAAACTGGGTGTTCGGATTTATATGTCACTTAGTATAATATCGACCACCCAATATGAGTATTTCTTGGGTCATTTTATGTTGTTCCTAATTTATATTTATATTCTATTTCCAGTAGCTTGATCGTTACATTTTTTCAATAATTATTAAAAATGTTCCTTTCAGCAGGGATACTACTAAATAAAAGCGTGTTAGCTACAGGGTCATAACATATACCCAAAAATAAAGGGAGTGGTTTGCATGGTTAATAAAAATAGTGGTCAAAACGTCTACAAGCATCAGAAGACAGTATCTGGCGCTGCGTCTGTTGTTAATAAACCTTATCTGTTCTCAGGTACGCCATTACCGGATGAAAACTGTTCTTAACCTTTAGTTGATCCATAAAGCTCAGTTCTTTAAGTTCAGAATTACATTCTCTTGAAATAATTACAGGTTCATTTCAACCGTCTATATCTCCAAAACTTATCAAAACCATAAAAACTTTCTATCATGAAAAAGGTAGCTATCGAATACTGAATGCTCACAGAAAAGTAATAAAATACACATTATATCCGGTTGCTTTATGGTTACATATCACGGTTGTTTTAATTTGCTGTCAAACTTCAGAAGTCACCTTAATACATTAAAGATATAAATATGAATAATCATTTGAATTCGTCTTGTGATGAAAACTGACCTATTTTACCATAAATCGAAATACACATTATGAAAAAAATATGCGGTAAATCATCTCAGTAAAGGTACTCCCCCACGATAGATCTACTCCTTTCTCGAAAATATTAGTAGAGAAGGCCTTGAGATTAAGAAATAGAAACGATCGACGTCTGCCCTATGTTATTTGAAACAGCAATACCGATATCGATATATACCTTGCAGGTTTCTGGTCACTAAAACAACCGAACCCCGAATCCGGCGAATGCGTGGACGTGATCGTTACAGAAGACAGCCAATCATGGCAACTTACGACCTGCGAAAGCCTTCAACCCTTTATGTGCAGATCAAAAGCCTGCCCTGCGGGATCCTTCCATTGCTCTAATGGAAACTGCATCAACGAGAAGTTCCGGTGCGACAAACAAGACGACTGCGGAGATGGATCCGACGAGATTGACTGTGTTTCCAACTGCAACTTTTATCTGGCCAGCAGTGGAGATGTGGTGGAAAGTCCGTACTACCCGCACAAGTATGCGCCTTTGACCAACTGCAAATGGACTCTGGAGGGACCGCAGGGGCATAACATCCTCCTCCAGTTCCAGGAGTTCGAGACTGAGAAGACCTTTGATACGGTATGTGCAGACAAATTTTTTTCAGGTTTTTTGGATGACTCCGAAAAATAAAGTTTCCTCTAAAGCTGACGATTTTCGAGTTAAAATTTTATAGTTTAATGTCTCCTAAAAATATTCATTGCTCACGGCTAAAAATTATAATTTATAAGTTTAAAGCTTGCTCTACAAGACTTCGATTAGTATTTTGAGATTACTTTATTTAAAAGAGAATCTTAACCTTGTCTGCTAGACCAAAATTGGCAAAATTTTTGTTTTTGCAGACTGTGCCAGTATTTGGTATTTATTTGCATTTGACTGCAATTTCTTTGTTGTTGAATTGCATCTTGATTTTACCCTATTTCTATTTTTCAGGTACAAATCCTAGCCGGAGGCCGAACGGAAGACACGTCTGTTAACCTAGCAACACTCTCAGGAAAACAAGACTTGACGAACAGATCGTTTGTATCAGCTTCGAACTTCATGATCATTAAATTCAGCACCGACGCGTCAGTGGAAAGAAAAGGTTTCAGAGCCTCGTGGAAGACTGAACCTCAAAATTGCGGGGGCACTTTAAGAGCAACTCCTCAACCGCAAGTCTTGACTTCTCCTGGATACCCTGAACAATATCCTGGAGGGCTTGAATGCCTGTACATAATCCATGCTCAAGGAGGGAAGATCATAACATTGGAGGTGGATGATTTAGACTTGGATGATAACAGAGATTTTATTTTGGTAAGAGACGGAGATTCGCCAAGGAGCAAGCCAATTGCAAGGCTTACGGGGAAATGGGAGAATAGCCAGAAGGTCATCATGTCAACGCATAATCAACTGTACATCTACTTCAAGACTAACATTGGTGATTCGAAGAGAGGATTTAGGATAAGATACACTCAAGGTTGTAGAGCAGGCATTGTGGCAAGCAACGGTACCATCATGTCACCCGCTTTCGGCTTGGAGAAGTACCCAAGCAACCAAGAATGTCTGTACAAGATCAGGAATCCTGGGGGACGCCCTTTGTCTTTGAACTTCGGCCATTTTGACGTCGACAAGACCGATTTCGTACAAGTGTACGATGGTGCGACCACAAGTGGCTTGAGACTCCATTCTGGAAATGGTTTCACGGCTAACTCTAGACCAAAGATTACTTTGACGGCTTCAAGCGGTGAAATGCTCGTACGGTTCGTTACCGATGCTTTACATAACAGTAGAGGATGGGAAGCTACGTTTTCAGCAGGTGAGTCATTTAAAATCTAGCATAATTCTCTTTTTGTACATACATTTTCAGTTAAAAGGTCAAAGGTAATGGGACTATTGGCATGTCAATGACATTGAGAGAGTTGATGGTATCATTAACCTAGATTTGAAGCAGTTGACTCTTTAAAAATTTTCAGTTATACGAAACAAAAATTTACTCATTTCAATTAAATATCAATCAATCAAAATTTATTTATACTTACATTACAAAGTTATTTTCAGAAAAAATACGTTTTGTTGTCCTGTCCTTTGATACCCTGGATGCTGAAGGGATAAGTGGTCATGTATTCTGTGTTTGGTTGTTCGTGTACCTTCACTAGCATTTTCTGTTACAAATTTGGTATCCTGATCTAGATTTTCCAAAGTTGTTTCCATGGAAAACAACGCGAACACCTCCCTAGAATCTTATAGGCTTTCTTCAATCAGATCTGGGTGAATTCAGGTCTGTTTGACTTATCCTTGGTAGAAGTTGGACAGCTCCATAATCTAAAACGGGAACAATGCACGAACTATGAAAAAATTGTTTTCGCAATCTAGTTTTTAGTTCCATAACACCGGACCCAAAATTGACACTTGTGGCGCATCATTTAGTAGCCCTCGTTCGACAGGTAGTTCTATAGAAAGTGGACAGGTGCTGGGTTATCGTGGTGTTGCATTTTGTATACTGGTTCCTTGTGGTAAATCCTGTAGAAAGATTTAGTAAGACCAGTTGACAGCATACCAGATCTATAGAATTGGAAAATATCCTGTAGGAAGGACAAAGATGATCACAAGCAATTTCAAAGCTCTTAAACTGTTATAAGCTGTCTTCTCAGCTCATTTTTAGAAAGGTGATTCCACCCAGAATCATGGAAAGAAGCATTAGTGTCACCTCTAGCTAAAATAGGTAACCCAAAATTATATTCTGATTTAAGACCAATTAGTATTTTACCTGTTTTGTCGAAATTATTAGAAAAAGCAATGTACGCCCAAATTTACGATTATCTCTCTGAACATAAAGTTTTGCCTCCCAAACAATGCGGTTATCGAGAAGGATATAACACTTCAGGTACCCTACTAGACTTAAGCGATAACATTTTTAGAGCCTGGGATCAACATATGATCACATCATTAGTTCTTCTTGACTTCTCTAAGGCATTCGATACGATAAATCATCGTCTTCTAATAGCCAAGTGTAAATATTTGGGTTTTTTGATTCTGCCTCAAAAATGATTCAGAGCTTCTTAGGAAAACGATAACAGAGGGTACACATTGATATGGTTCTATCTTCAAAGTGCCTCATTTCCTCCGGAGTACCTCAAGGGTCTGTACTTGGGCCACTCTTATTCATTTTGTATATTTCTGATCTCCACTCAGTTGTTAAATATTGTAATATCCAATTCTTTGCCGACGATTCACAGATCTACAGTGATTTTCATAATCACGAAACTCAAAATGCTGAATCTGAGGTAAATGAAGATATAAATAACATCTATTAGTAAGTATGCAAAAAATCACAACCTTCAGTTGAACCCTTTAAAATCGAAAGTCATCCTTTTTTCACCAAAACTATTTAGAAGTGATGACAAAAGAAATTTTAAAGTAAAATTAAATGGTGGGACTATAGAAGTGAGTCAGTGAAAAACATGGGCGTAACTTTAGATGAATGTCTAAATTTTATACCACATGTAAATAATATCAGTAAGAGTTGTTTTTCAATTTTACGTCAATTATGTCTTAATAAACAATTTCTTGACTCTACAACTAAAAAAAATTTGTGTGAATCTTTGGTAATGTCCAAAATTAGTTATTGCGATTTAGTTTATCCTCCATTTCTTGACTCAATATCTCTAGCACGACTCCAAAGAATCCAAAACTCATGCTGTAGGTTGATCAATAATTTGAAATAATATGGTCATATCAGCCCTTTTTTCAATGACATTAAGTGATTGAGAGTAAATGAACTGTGTGAGCTATACTTAATTACTTACACCCACAGGCTTTTGCTATCATCCATTTCGTTGTTTTTGAGAAATAAGCTGATATCTAGAGGTAATCTCCAGTCTAGGGACATTCGATTCACTGAAACACTCACAATGCCCCTCAATAGGACATCATGCTTTCGTAAATGCTTCACCTACAACGCAATTATTTTTCACAGTGCTCTACCTCGATCCACAAAATTGCTATCAAATGACGAATTTAAAAGACAAATGAAGAAATTTATTTTGAATAGAAGTATATAAATTAGTTGATAAAATTTATCTGTCACTTCACACAAAAATATTTCCAATATAGCATTCCTTTTTTGTTGTATAACTGTTACAATTTTATACTTTCAACTCATGAAATATTGAATAGCCTTCACTTATATATGTTATATGCATCATATTTTTTACACACCTACATTTTTAAACTTCTAATTTATCAAATGTATTCATGTTTTTTGTATTGTTTTTTTTTCAGTTTTTTTTTCTCTTTTTTTGGTCCCCTAAATAATGACGATTTATTATTAATATTATTTGATGTGTCAGTCATCCCTGTGGAATCTTCACATAAAAACAAGTAATTTTACTTGATGCACTTGGTCACTACTAAATATTTTGAACACTCTTATTTTCCAGATTGTCCTCCACTGAAACCTGGAATCGGAGCCCTGGCATCAAGCAGAGACACAGCTTTCGGTACCGTGATCACCTTCAGCTGTCCAATAGGCCAAGAATTCGCAACTGGTCGCAATCGCATCACCACACAATGCTTACCTGGAGGAAACTGGTCTATCAGTTACATACCAAACTGCCAGGAAGTCTACTGCGGGCCTGTGCCACAAATCGATAACGGTTTTTCGATTGGGTCGACTAATGTGACTTACAGGGGTCAAGCCATGTACCAGTGTTATGCAGGTTTCGCCTTTCCTACTGGTCAGCCGATTGAGAAGATTTCGTGCTTGTCAGATGGACATTGGGAGAAGAAACCAACATGTCTTGGTATGTCTAAGTATGCGTATTGGTAGAGGATATCTGTTTACTGTTAATAAATTGCGTATGTCCCAGGTTGCATTTATTCATAAAATGAATCATAAAATAGCGTGATGGATTAGGCGTTTTATAAACCCAACTTACACACAGAGACATAAGTGAGGCAAAGTTTGACCCTAATTAATTCACTTGGGATTTCCGTATAAATCGAAAAAGCTTCACCTATCAATCTTAGATATTATTAAAATCATCAATTTGCAAAACAAAAACAGCATCATAACAATGAAGGACAGTATTTGTTTAACTTAGGCACAAACATCACAAATACAGTCTTTTCCCAGCTTTCATGCATCCAATTTGTACTTTGGTTGCAACTGACTGTATCTCCCTTCTAGATATTTCTGATTTCGATACAACTCAACAAAAAAAAAATAGTGCCGTATTTTTTATTTCTTCTTAAAGTTTGAGATTAGGTTAAGTTTTGTCTACCTAAAATCTTGTAAAATAGCCAATAATTACGAAAACTGTCACACCAACAGGCAGAAAGCGATTATTACTAACTACGTTTTACAGAGACCAACCAATTCAATAGAGTTGGAAATCTACAAAGCCGTAAATATTGAGGTGGTACTATTTAAAAACCATTTCAATATATCCCACTTGTTCTTACTATCACTCAAGAGTTTATTCTTTCCAGCGTCTCAATGTGCCGCTCTTCCTGACGTACCTCACGCCAACGTCACCATCTTGAACGGCCTTGGTCGCTCTTACGGTACGATCGTCAGATACGAATGCGAACCAGGCTACATCAGAAGTGGACCTCCAGTGATACTTTGTATGAGCAATGGTACTTGGTCTGGAGATGTTCCCATATGCTCAAGTAAGTATTATTGGTTTAACTAAGCAATAGCTCAAAATAATTGAATTGCCTGTCGCTTTATATCGGGTGAGCCGTTATACCCATCAGTGGAACAGAATATAATAGAATAGTAAAGAATAGAAGAGAATGAATTAGAATGGATGGAATAGAATAGGATAGAATATAGTAGAACAGAATGGAATATAATGGAATAGAATATAATAGAATAGTATGGAGTGGAATAGAATGGAATGGAATAGAATGGAGTATAACATAATAGAATGGAATAGAAGGGAACAGAATAGCATAGAATCGAATAAGTTATAATAGAATGGAATGAATGGAACAGAACGGAATGGAATGGACTGGAATGGGGTAGAAAGGAATATAATGGAATATAATGAAGTAGAATGGAATAGAATGGAATAGATTGGAATAGAATGGAATATAATGGAATATAATGGAATAGAATGGAATAGAATGGAATAGAATGGAATAGAATGGAATTGAATGGAATAGAATGGAATAGAATGGAATAGAATGGAATAGAATGGAATAGAATGGAATAGAATGGAATAGAATGGAATAGAATGGAATAGAATGGAATAGAATGGAATAGAATGGAATAGAATGGAATAGAATGGCATATAATGAAATAGAATGGAATAGTATGGAACAGAATGGAATAGAATGGAATAGAATGGAACAGAATGGAACAGAATGGAACAGAATGGAACAGAACGGAACAGAATAGAACAGAATGGAACAGAATGGAACAGAATGGAATAGAATGGCATATAATGGAATAGAATGGAATAGAATGGAATAGAATGGAACAGAATGGAACAGAATGGAACAGAATGGAACAGAATGGAACAGAATGGAACAGAATGGAACAGAATGGAACAGAATGGAGCAGAATGGAACAGAACGGAATGGAATGGACTAGAATGGGGTAGAAAGGAATATAATAGAATATAATGAAGTAGAATGGAATAGAATGGAATAGAATGGAATTGAATGGAATAGAATCGATTAGAATGGAATAGAATGGAATAGAACGGAATAGAATGGAATAGAATGAAAAAGAATCGAATAGAATGGAATAGAATGGAGTAGAATGGAATAGATTGTAATAAATTAGAATGTGATAGAATGTAATAGAATGGAATAGAATGGAATAGAATGGAATAGAATGGAATAGAATGGAATAGAATGGAATAGAATGGAATAGAATGGAATAGAATGGAATAGAATGGAGAGAAATTCAATGAAATACAGTAGAATGGGATAGTGCTATTTGGCAACTCCCCAGCATTGGGTATAAGATATGATAGATGTGATATCTTACTTTTATAAGCCTTATACTCTGATTTGAGTAGAGTTGCTCAACTTTAGTCCGTTGTCCACCGCGACCAAACTTGCGCCATGCTCGAAAGTTGCCAAATAGCACGAAACAGCTGTCCATGAATGGCTGTTTGTGGTCAGACGAACGATAGCGAATTACTAGATTGTATCTACTATAACACCAGAATCGGTGGCACCTAGCGGCCACAGTGGTGCCCGGCTAATAATGCGAACGAACAGCTCGAACAGACAGCCTGCTGTTTTCGCAGTATTCAGTTCTGGTGAAAAATGGCACTTTGTTGTCTTATTTCGGAAACGATTAATTCAGGAATACTTGTCCGTTCAATTTGCTAGTTCAGATTGTCGTTTACTTAATAGCTCCCTTGCCTCTTTGGACTTGTTTTTTGATCTGCCAGTATTATTGCCTCAGCTTGCAAGTTTTTACTGTACAATTTATCTTCATCTTTCTTCATATCCACTTAATACGGATTTGTATATGTGCAATACACATTAAGAATTTCCCTTGACTTCTAGAAGTCAAGAGGCTTCATTCTAAAAAATGTTGTAAGATATGTGGCCAGTGCATAGTCGATATCCACTAGAAAAAATATTACCTCCAGCACAGCAAAATATGCTTAAATTTTTGCAAACATGATCAATGTTCCTGCTGTCAAAATAGGTTACACGTGATTTACAAGAGTCAGATAAAATAAAATCATAAGTCTATATATCCAGTTCTATATTAGTTATGGGATGGATGCTAAAATGTATTACATTGTTCTTATAAAGAAGTATTTCTTACTAATTTTTGTTAAAAATAATTCTAGGAGCCAAATGTCCCGAATTCCCCGAGATCAAAAACGGCTTCATAATCGACACTTCCCGCGACTATTATTTCAACGACGAGGCGCGAGTCCAGTGCCACAAAGGCTTCAAGCTGATCGGAAACAGCGTGCTAAGGTGCGGCGGGAACCAGAAATTCAACAACCCTCCACGATGCGAAGACATCAACGAATGTCTGGCGAGTCAATGTGACGCTGCGTCCACTGAGTGCGTCAACGTACCAGGCTCGTTTTACTGCAAGTGCCGCAAAGGATTCGACGCCCAGCAGGAGTGCAGACCTGTTGGGGACTTGGGGCTGGTCAACGGGGGTATTCCTGATGATTCTATTACGGTATCTAGCAGCGAACCTGGATACGATAAGTCGGTGAGTATTTTCGGCTCTATGGACTGGCTAAGTGCCTTCCTTGGAATCTCCTTAGATTACCTTAGATCTCTGATTACTGGAGAGAAAATCCGTTCGGTGATCACGTCGGATTCAGAAGTCAAGAACGTTTGAAGGGATACTTTAAAGCAACTTGGAATGACATCTAACTCTAACATAATGATCAGGAAAGCAAATAATCTGTGACTATAACTTCTAAATACGATTTTCTGCATCATTTACAGATGGTGAGACTGAGCAACAGCGTTGGATGGTGTGGCAACACCATCGAAGGTGGATCTAACTGGGTACAAATTGATCTAAAAGCACCTACAATCATCAGGGGATTCAGAACGATGGCTGTCGCAAGAACAGATGGCAACATCGCATTTACCTCTGCAGTCAGAATCCAATACACCGACGACTTGACAGACGTCTTTAAAGGTATTAGCAACATTCTGTAATTTTTAGCATAGTGCAAAAAGGTAAATAATTATAAAGGGTGCTCTGAAGTAGTATTAGGGAGGCGAAGCCTGGCAACTGGGCAACCTTTGACCCTTTTTTCCGACTCCGTAGTACCAACACTGTACTACTCCACAAGCCATCTACCGGCAACTATACATATTATTGATAAAATAAAATTCGACAGCGATATACACAGATATAATAATAATATTTATCCACATCAATAATTTTAGATCTTATTCTCATGTGTATCTCGGGTACATTATTCCTTTGCATAAAACAGCATACTTTATAAGGGCCTTGTAGATTTTAGTAGGATTCCAGTAGCAATAAGAAGTACAAATTTTGTTAACTTCAAGACGCTTGTGAAAAAATATGTGACAGAAAATTGTAGTTTACACCTCAAAATGTCTTTCTGTTTGCAGATTGCTATGTAATAAAGAATAAAATAATAATTGAATAAACCAGCTCTAGCGATGCGATGTACTTATATTGATCTTGCACCGATCTGGTGCGTAATATAGACAACACACAACACACCATCCATGGCTCGGAATTAACTTACCAGGCGGAGATTTAAACTCGCAAACCTTGGGTCGACGCGCTACCACTCGGCTACCCAGGGCCCCCAGAGATCTCTGAAAGTCAAGACTTTACGTTCCAGAGATAACTGAGCTTGACGTAGGAAAGCTAAAAAAGTTAAAAAAATAAGGAATTTGAAATATCGCATGTTGCTTATGATGATATTTAAATTTTGTTTATCATGTTACTGAGAAAGTGATCTACAAACTCGAAGTTTCTCAAACGGATCACAGCAAAATTGTTTCAAACAACAGTAGTCCGCAACATATTCTAAAATTTCATAAACACTGTCTACCTAACAGCCATATTAAGACGGTTAAATTAGAATCATCCCCGTGACGTGAACACCTGTCCGTAAAACTCTATCACTAACAGTTTTTTTTTCAAAGATTACAGGAACCCAGACGGTCTGGCAGTAGAATTCACCATCGAAAAACCCACGCTGTCCATCTTGAACTTACCCGTTCCCATCGAAGCTCAATACGTCAAATTCAAGATCCAGGACTACGTTGGAGCACCTTGTCTTAAGCTGGAAGTCATGGGTTGTACAAGACTGGAATGCTCGGACATCAACGAGTGTGCTGACAACAACGGCGGATGTCAACAGAAATGCATTAACAGTGCAGGCGAATATTCCTGTGGGTGCAATGTTGGTTACGAACTATACACGACGAATGGTACTGCGTCCTACTACATCGAGGAGTCAGAGACTGGGCTGCGTAACGGAGATGTTTACCAGGTACAGATGTTCACTAAGAAAACTTTTTATTTCTGCCTTGGGCAGATACCAGAGAACCAGTTTTATCACCTTGATCCCTAGAATTGGTTAGTGACATTCGCTTGATAGGACCGCGAAGACAAAAATGCTGAGAACTCTTTATTTTGTCTATTCACTGTTTTTGGCAGGTCACAGTGAAAACACAGCAATTATTTTGATTAATTCCTCTCCCTCACACAATTATATACAATCGGTCTCTATGTTTGACGTTTGTTCATGTAAACTAAGAGACATACATACGTTTCTTAGTTTTACCTCACCGCCACTTCCCTTAGAGAAGTTAAGCTACGCAACTGGTATCATCAGTCAATCTGCTTATTAAATTCGTAAGGCATTGGTATAACAGCCGAAAACCATGGAAAGAACTACATATATTTTGCCCTACAATTCCTCGATCAGTTTGAATTTTTACATCTATACTAAGTGACATATAAATCCGAACACCCAGTTTAAATGATTTTATTTTAATAAAATTTTGTATAAGTACTTAACGAAGCATAATAAGTAAATGATAAAAATTTCAAAATGATTGCACTGCTTTACAGCCCTTTGACCTTTAATAATGTGTGGATGCACCCTGATTTGCTACGCATTAGGCATGCTTCTGATCAGGTGGTCAATGTCCTCCTGTGGTATCTCATTCCAGGCAACCACCAACTCCTCTCGAAGTGCTTCTAGAGTCTGAGGAGGACGTTGTAAATTGAGCAATCTCCTACCCATCATATCCCACACGTGCTCAATTAAGTCGAGAGATCTTGGTGGCCATGGTAACAATGTGACATCATTATGTTGAAAGAAGTCTATTGTGACTCTTGCAATATGTGGTCGGGCATTATCTTGTTGGAAAGTTGGATTTGCCAGGGTGTCAAGATAGGGTAAAAGATGGGGTTCTAGAACTTCGTGGATATAACGCTGCGCGTTCATGTTACCTCTGATGAAGATTAAAGGTGACCTGCAACCATAAGCTATAGCACCCCAAACCATAACTCCAACAGTGTGATGAACATGTCTTTCAACAAAAAACTGTGGATTCCTCCTTTCACCACGTCACCTTCTAACCCTGGCACGACCATCGTGCATGCCTAAACAAAATCGAGACTCGTCACTAAAGACAATACTGTTCCATTCCTGATCCCAGAGTGACCGTTGTCTGCACCACTCAAGGCGATTACGTCGGTGTTCTCGAGTTAAAGGGAGGACCCAGTGTGGCCGGTATGAAAGCAAGCCAAAACTTCTCATTCGTCGGTAAACACTTCGCATGCCAATAGGTCTTCCGTGTTCTGCAAACCATTCATTTGCAATGGACCTGGTAGTAGAGAAACGGTCCCTTAAGGCCAATAATCTTAGGCGGCGATCTTCACGGTCTGTTGTTCTACGGCGGCGTCCAGTGCCCCTTGCTCTTTGCGTACGGCCTTCTCGAAATCATGCCTGACAACACCTAACCACAGTGTCTACACTTCTTTGCACTCTAACTGCAATTGCCCGAATAGAAAGTCCAGCTTCCCGAAGTCCCACTATACGGCCCCTATCAAACTCACTAACGAACGAAATGGTACAGGTCTCCGTACTCTAGGCATCGTAACCTATCGTAAAGGATGTCAAGAACCAAAATCCGCCAACGTTGATTCTTTACTGCGGCTGAAATATTCATTTTTAGAGCGTTAGTGAATTAAAAAAAAGCATTATAAAAACCGGAATGTCCAACTGATAAGGCTGAAAATTTTTTCACTTGTTATTTACAGTAAGATAAATACATTCACCAACTTTTATTAAAATAAAACTATTTAAACTGGGTGTTCGGATTTATATGTCACTTAGTATATTTGTGGTTGTGGTAACGCTTAACGCGGAGGTCACGATGTCGATCTATCGACAGGGTATTGCTGCTAAATATTTATATAACATGCCACCGAGATAATGACTGATATATATTGTCATTGCACTTAAAAAGATATCATTGCGTCCTCGTTTTTACCTTTTTATCATATAAGCCACGATTATAACTCCTCGAGTGAGTCTTAAAGATCAAAATTGCTATATATGCATTTTTCGGAATAAAGCGACGCCTACACTGCCTTGACACGTTCAATAAAGATGCTGGTGATGATGATGAAGAAGGTGATGATGATAATGATGACGATGATGATGATGATGATGATGATGATGTTGAAGATGATGTTGAAGATGATGACGATGATGATGATGATGATGATGATGATAATGATGATGTTGATGATGACTTCACTGCTTTTATTTCTAGGTCAACAAATCTTGTGTGCCTATCATGTGCCCATCGCTCAACAGTCCAGAGAACGGAATCATTTTATCTACGAAAGATAAGTACCACTTTGGTGAACTAGTGAGATTCCAGTGTGACTTTGGATACATTATGACAGGATCGTCGTCTTTGCTTTGTACTTCGACTGGTGTGTGGAATGGATCGGTGCCTGAATGCAAATGTAAGTATAATGTTTTTAATATCCATTAAAAGCTTTTTCCGTGGTATAAATAGATACGTACCTTCATATCTTGAGACGCATGTAGTGATATATCAAAGACAATAATGGAATTCCCCATCGAAGTATTTATAGATTTCTTTCACTACTAACTACGATATATTGCAACATTTAATTTGATTAGGCTTTGAAATATATCATACCTGATAATTTCTTTAACGTCCGACAACGCTGTTAGATGAAGCCGACGCAATGTCTGTATTACAGAACTATGCTTAACAGAAATGTCAATTTTCACTTTTGAATTTGTAAAAATATTGCCTAGCCTGCAGACCACAGCGGAATTTTGGGCCATTCAAGTTCTACTTGACAAACATAGCCTCACCGAAGTATATTGCCTTCCTAACCAACATACAATAATAACCACTGATATGGTTTATATGGTATGACATGTTTTCTAATATGACACATTTTCGCAGATGCCCAGTGTGTTTCTCTACCTGACGACAAAAATGAAGGCCTTAAAGTTTTGAGGAATGACGAAGATAGCGTACTGGTACCGTTCAGGGATAATGTAACACTTCATTGTAGTAGTACTGGAAGACAACTGAGAAGCACAGCCACTTCAGGATTTAGACAGTGCGTGTACGACCCAAAACCGGTAATTAAGAACTTATAGTATAAAAATTGCTTTTTGATAGCTTTTTACAATTATACCAGACATGATTAGCGTAGGAAACATTTCCAAGCGTTGAGAAGGTGTGAATCAATCATGAAAGCAAATAACCCAATTATTCCATTGTCTTACGTAGACAGTCTTAAAAATTTGATATCCTCACAGATTTCATCATGCTCTGGTCACTTTACTATACCGTCTACTTTTCCTGGAAATAGATCAAATTAAACTAGATAAAGATTCATACAATTTGTATGTGATGAATATGAAGAAATAAATTTTCAATCTTACCCAGAACCTTCCATGCAATCCCCATCTAGTACACCATCGAATCATCGGACACGATGGTTTCAAGACGACTGACTTGTCCATTAGGCGATTTTATATCACATAATGCATGTTTATGATACTAAGACTTAATATGTTGTCATTCCAGGGCCTACCAGACTACTGGCTCAGTGGAATGATGCCATCCTGCCCCAGAGTAGACTGCGGCATTCCCCCACCAACTCCCGGCGCTGAATACGGCCAATACGTAGACACGAAGTACCAATCATCATTCTTCTTCGGCTGCCAGAACACGTTCAAACTGGCTGGTCAGAGCAGCAAGCATGACAATGTAGTCAGATGCCAAGCGAACGGAGTGTGGGACTTCGGGGATTTGAGATGTGAAGGACCCGTATGCGAGGACCCGGGAAGACCCAGCGACGGTATCCAGATATCCAGGAGCTACGAACAGGGAGCCGAGGTGTCTTTCGCTTGCAACAGACCTGGATATATACTTATCAACCCAAGGCCAATCACTTGTGTGAGGGAACCGGAGTGCAAAGTGGTGCGCCCTCTAGGTATGTCAAGCTAAAGTGTATACAAAATTATCGAGAAATTAGTCAAAAAGTTCCGAGGCATGATTCAACGTTCACAAATTGTAAAAATGGTGGAAGTGTACCCTAATATAGGTTGCTGGTTTGTTGGCGCTTTCACCACATTATAAAGTGTATCGTGCTTAACTCTTCGAAGAGCAGCGATAGTTGTAGAAACTCTCAACTTCTTGAGTCTATATTCGTCAGATCATCCTAAGATGAGACTGAATGCATCAGAACAGAGTCAGGAAAAATATATTAAAAAGGCAATAGAGTTGAGGCAGATTGTAGCAAAAATACAATACACCTAAGTGTGATTTTTTAAAAAGTCCACAACCTCTTCAACGGTATAGAAACATTATAAAGAGATGAAATGTTCTTCATATGTGCTGGAACCAATTTGAAAAAAATGCTACCAATAGGAGCTGGACATTTTTGGAAGAAGTATGTTAAACCTATTTCTAACGAAATTATTTTTTCTGCTATCAACAAAATTTGGCTAACACCGTAATAATGTAAATGCAGGCCGCTGTTAATAATTTAGGATACTTACTAGAAAATTCCATGGCAAGCAAATTTTTTTTCTGCAATATAAAAAGGCTCTATATCTCTCCCGCTTGCTCCCAGACAACAATTAACAGCTTATTAATTGAATAGTAAATCTTGATTAATTTAGAGCAACTTATTTGATGATCCCACGGTAAAAATGAAACTAATTCAATTCCCAGAAATTTTGTGAAATTCAAAGTCACAACCGCTAGTTCATTCATGATGAAATAAAGCTCCAAAGGGTTTTTATATTTATTGAGAAACTCAATCATTACTGTTTTTCTTTCTTTCTTTCAAACGATTTCTTTGGTACCAGTATTGAGTTTCTTCAAGGGCTTTAGTCATTTTTTAAATCAATTCATCTTCAGATAAGGCTAACACAGTCACACAAGTATCGTCAACATATCGAAATGGTTTGGTCATGGTCATTAACAAATGAAAGAACGCATCCCTGCGGATACCTCAGGCTCCTCCGACTTTGCCTCACAAATTTTTACATGAAACCTTCTGTCCTCATGAAAAGACGTCAACTTCAATATCAACTTTGACAGTAAAGATTTCTATGTTACAAAATTTAAACAAGTACTAAACTTACATGGACTATGGCAGAAAATAAATGACTATACAAGGATTACGAACTTTTCGAAAACAAAAATAGACTTGCTCATAACTAATGAACAAAATCTAATTGCTGAAGTTTAAGCATACCCCAAAGATAAGTGATCACTCATGGATATATTTCGAGTGGGAAATTTGTTCAATGAAAATAAGATGAAAGAAATTAGTCATTGAATTCACAAAATTACGAAAAACACTTTTACAACACAATATACCTGAAATTATCAATAACGCCGACAACTGCTTCGAGCAAATTATGAATAATATCGATAAATATATTAGTGAAGCTATCGTCAAGAAAATAATATATGAAAGAGTGAACCCAACACCGTGGTTTTCACAGATATTCAAAGAGTCTAAATTAAAACGCGATAACGATTACACAAAATTTTCAATAACCCAAAGTGAAAATGATGGAAACAATATACAAAATCAAGAAATGAGTATGTAGCAGTTCTCATGAGGGATAAGAAAAAAATTCGAACTTAAAAATGTTTAAGGTGAAATTAAAAAAAGCACTTTATGAATAATCAAAATATGCTAAGTGACATATAAATCCGAACACCCAGTTTAAATGGTTTTATTTTAATAAAAGTTGGTGAATGTATTTATCTTACTGTAAATAACAAGTGAAAAAATTTTCAGCCTCATCAGTTGGACATTCCGGTTTTTATACTGCTTTTTTTTAATTCACTAACGCTCTAAAAATAAATATTTCAGCCGCAGTAAAGAATCAACGTTGGCGGATTTTGGTTCTTGACATCCTTTACGATCGGTTACGATGCCTAGTACAAATGATAAAAATTTCAAGATGATTGCACTGCTTTAAAGCCCTTTGACCTTTAGTAATGTGTGGATGCACCCTGATGTGCTACGTATTATCCAACGCGCCTAGGCATGCTTCTGATCAGGTGGTCAATGTCCTCCTGTGGTATCTGATTCCAGGCAACCACCAACTCCTCTCGAAGTGCTTCTAGAGTCTGAGGAGGACGTTGCAAATTGAGCAATCTCCTACCCATCATATCCCACACGTGCTCAATTGGGGGTAAGTCGGGAGATCTTGGTGGCCATGGTAACAATGTGACATTATTATGTTGAAAGAAGTCTATTGTGACTCTTGCAACATGTGGTTGGGCATTATCTTGTTGGAAAGTTGGATCTGCCAGGGTGTCAAGATAGGGTAAAAGATGGGGTTCTAGAACTTCGTGGATATAACGCTGCGCGTTCATGTTACCTCTGATGAAGATTAAAGGTGACCTGGAACCATAAGCTATAGCACCCCAAACCATAACTCCAACAGTGTGATGAACATGTCTTTCAACAAAAAACTGTGGATTCCTCCTTTCACCGCGTCGCCTTCTAACCCTGGCACGACCATCGTGCATGCGTAAACAAAATCGAGACTCCTCACTAAAGACAATACTGTTCCATTCCTGATCCCAGAGTGACCGTTGTCTGCACCACTCAAGGCGATTACGTCAGTGTTCTCGAGTTAAAGGGAGGACCCAGTGTGGCCGGTATGAAAACACGCCAAAACTTCTCATTCGTCGGTAAACACTTCGCATGCCAATAGGTCTTCCGTGTTCTGCAAACCATTCATTTGCAATGGACCTGATAGTAGAGAAACGGTCCCTTAAGGCCAATAATCTTAGGCGGCGATCTTCTCGGTCTGTTGTTCTACGGCGGCGTCCAGCCCCTTGCTCTTTGCGTACGGCCTTCTCGAAGCCATGCCTGACAACACCTAACCACAGTGTCTACACTTCTTTGCACTCTAACTGCAATTGCCCGAAAAGAAAGTCCAGCTTCCCGAAGTCCCACTATACGGCCCCTATCAAACTCACTAAGTTGACGACATCGTACAGGTCTCCGTACTCTAGGCATCGTAACCGATCGTAAAGGATGTCAAGAACCAAAATTCGCCAACGTTGATTCTTTACTGCGGCTGAAATATTAATTTTTAGAGCGTTAGTGGATTAAAAAAAAAGCGGTATAAAAACCGGAATGTCCAACTGATAAGGCTGAAAATTTTTTCACTTGTTATTTACAGTAAGATAAATACATTCACCAACTTTTATTAAAATAAAACCATTTAAACTGGGTGTTCGGATTTATATGTCACTTAATATACTTAGTGACGTAATTCTAATTTTAATAGACAAGAATATAAAATTACAGAAAATGGATAGAAGAAAAATATGTAACCGAGTCATTATACAAAATTGACATTGTAGCATTAATGCTAAATAAATCTTCAACAACAACAACAACCAGGAATTTATGCAGCAATGTATACCCATAAAGTTTATTGACACTGATTCTTACCTGATAATTTACGTTTTGTGACTGCAAGGCATTCAGTTGCGTCAATATTTCTATCATTCTAGGTATTGCATCCGGAAAGATTCCAGACTCGTCAATCAACGCGACCAGTGAACGACCAAACTACGAAGCCAGAAACGTAAGGCTTAACTCAGTAACTGGTTGGTGTGGCAAACAGGAGGCTTTCACATACGTCAGCGTCGATCTAGGAAAAGTCTACAGAGTAAAAGCTATTTTGGTGAAAGGTGTTGTGACCAACGATATTGTAGGTAGGTCGATGCTCCAGAAACTCAGAGTGCTGGTAGCGTTTTTAGGATAGAGTAGATAAAAGCCTCAGAAGCATCTTGAAAATAACGGGTATAGAACTTTAAATTGCAACGATGGATTATTCGATTGACATGATTTTTTTTTATTCGAAAGATAATCTTGTGGCATTACATTTTAAATATGATTTCTGGCATATGACTGCCACGGCTGGCTCGGGTGTAGTCCAATCTGGGTGTCCAATTTTCGATGACTTTTTCCAACATTTGTGGCCGCATATCGGCAATAACATGGCGAATGTTGTCTTCCAAATGGTCAAACGTTTGAGCCTTATCCTCATAGACCAATGACTTTACATAGCCCTACAGAAAATAGTCTAGCGGTGTTGAATCACAAGTTCTTGGAGGCCAATTCAGAGGTCCAAAACGTGAAATTAGGCGGTCACCAAACGTGTCTTTCAATAAATCGATTGTAACACGAGCTGCGTGACATGTTGCGCCGTCTTGTTGGAACCACATCTCCTGGACATCATGATTGTTCAATTCAGGAATGAAGAAGTTAGTAATCATGGCTCTATACCGATCACCATTGAGTGTAACGTTCTGGCCATCATCGTTTTTGAAGAAGTGCGGACCAATGATTCCACGAGCTCATAAAGCGCACCAAACAGTCAGTTTTTCTGGATGTAACGGTGTTTCGATATAGACTTGAGGATTAGCGTCACTCCAAATGAAAATCGGGAACAACGGCAATCTCGTTTTGGGCCCATTCAACGAATCTACGCCTTGCTTGAGGATCGTTTGGCTTCAATTCTTGCACGAGTTGGATTTTGTAAGCACGCAAACCAAGATCCTTCCGCAATATCTTCCATAAAGTGGATGGACACAGATCCAATTCCCGTGCTCGATGGCGGATGGACTCATTCGGGTGTTCCTCAATGCTACACTCTACAGTAGCAATAGCTTCTTCTGTACGCACCGTACGGCGTCTCTGGGAATGCAAGTTATCAATTAGAATAAATATGGTGCGAAAACGTTCCATGGTTAATCGAATTAACTGCTCTGATGGACGATTTTGTCGACGGTAAAATAGATGTAGTGCGCGATACGTATTCCGCACAGAATCATTATTTTCGAAAAAAACTGCACAATTTGCAAGCGTTGTTCAGTCGTGAGTCTATTCATGATGAATTGCCAAGCCAAACTAAAAATAAATCACTTGACAGCTGTCAAATCGATCTTCGCCATCTTCAAAAGTAATGCCAACTTAAAGCTCTATACCTCGAAAAAAAACACCTGTTACATTAAAGATTAACGGAGGCGTTCAATTTGGGTTTTTCAGATTCAATTTGTCAACAAACGGCTTGGTTAACCTACAAGACGGTTTGAATAATAACGTATAATGTAACTGATTCCCTAGTGCTATAGCTGTATTTGACATCGCGAATGCTTTCGAAACCTATAACAGTGTATAAATATGTCGACCAACTAAATCAATTTTCGAACTAATTGCGGAATCAGCGAGCATCTTTACCGTAACCTGAGCTAACAAGCTACAGCTACTAGAAATCGGAGTGACTTAGTGACTGCCACAAAGTTAGGGTGCTTTTAGGGTCATTGCTGTTTGATAATATGTAATTTTTTCCTTGTCAGGTCGCCCAACCGAGATCCGCTTCTTCTACAAGCAAGCCGACAGCGAGAACTACGTCGTCTACTTCCCCAACTTCAACCTGACGATGCGCGATCCAGGCAATTACGGCGAGCTCGCCATGATTTCGCTACCGAAGTACGTGCAAGCGAGATTCGTCATCTTAGGCATTGTCAGCTATATGGACAACGCTTGCTTGAAGTTTGAGCTGATGGGATGCGATGAGCCCGAGAAAGAGCCACTTCTTGGATATGATTACGGATATTCACCATGTGTTGGTAAGTTGAATGAACCTGCAGGCATAAATCTAGGTTTTTTATGCTATAACGAGACCTCAAGCGGAGGTTTGAGACCCAATCCTCTTCGCGTCCAAAATATAATAACGCTCTCAAAATAGTTAACAGGTAGTACTCAATACAAAACAACACCGAGGAAATCTTGAGATTCTGACACAAGATAAGCACTTGAAGATTGGTTGGAAGAATTGGTCCCAATAGTTTCAGTATTATTTGTGAAATAAAAGGGAAATTTCGTATGTGGAATCTTTGGCTCATTACAAATGTACAGTCAAAAGTAGCAACTGCTCTTTGAAATTACGAAGTTGACCCCTAAATGAGTCAATCAACTAAGTCATGTAAGATTGCAATCAATAAATTGTTTTTTGATAACCTGATACTTCTATAGAAACCAGTCTTCGAAGAAATGCGTGGTTTTTAGGTTCTTATACTTTTCAGACGTTACAGCTATTAATTTGGTCACGTATGACCGCCTATTAAAATTCTTCTTTAGAGTATCCCTCACGGATATCACGTGTCTTGAAAAGTGACATTATGCCGATTTTTTTTGACATTATGCTGTTTTTTACATTATGTAGGTTTTTCTACAAGATATTAACTTAGCATTTAGTTGTACGTGTTTCCTAAATGCAATGAGGCATGTTATCAATCTTTGACTCTGATGTGATGTAAAATATGCTTCTGAGATGGCATTACTGGAGGTCTAAGCTATGAGTTGTATGTGTTGATGATAATTACATTGGGTTCTTGTCTCAAATTGAGATTCAAAGCTAGAAATTAATTGCGCACTTTTTCTTATCCATTCTGGAAGTTACATGTACAAATTTGCTGAATTTCAAAAATGAGAGAGAGAGATAAGAAATAATTATTTTCACTGTACACTATCGAATTACAAGCCATATACGAGCCCCTTCCCACTTCAGTTGGCCCACTTCAAGATTTGTACCAAAATATGCCTTATAAACTAAACATGACGAAACTATTTACTTCTAAAACAATTTATTTTCTCAAAAGCATTTTAGATACACCCTAATCGTAAAAAATACATATTAGACCTATAGAACATCTGAACAAATAAACAATATGTGAATAAAAGCGCGAAGTTAACAAAGCAACAATTGAAAGATTACCATTGGGTAACATCACCTTTATTTTTTATTACGGCTGAAATTCTTTGCGACATAGTGTTAACCAAGTTTTGGCAAAAATTTGGTGTAAAACAATCCCATATGTCTTGAAGCTTTTGTCTCAGTTCGGTGATTGTACGAGCAGGATATTGTCGTAGAACCTTTTTCAATAGGTGACAGATCTGGACTGCTAGAAACCCATTCCAAAAGTGGTACATTATTTTCTTCCATCCATTTTATAGCCTTTTTTGAGGTATGGCACGCTGCACCATCTTGCTGAAACACAAAATCTTGGCCGGATGTCAAACATTCTTCCATTACTGGTAAAAGCGATTCTTCTAAAATTGCCAAATATTTGTTTGTATCCACATTTCCATCAATAAAATGAAGTTTCCCTACTCCTTTTGATGACATACTGCCCCAGACCATAATGGATGCTGGAAATTTCACTTTTCTCTTCAGACAGTCAACATGGAATGCTTCATTTTTTGCGAATAACTCTACTGCGACTGTCACCAACACAAACTTCGAATCGAGCCTCATCACTCCATTGTATTGCACACCATTGTTGAGGTGTCCATTGTCTATGTTCTTTAGCCCATCTAAGCCGAGTTTTCTTTTGCAGTGGAGTTAATAGTGGCTTTTCTTTGGCCTATAAACAAATTGTGCGACTTTAGGGTTATTACTTCACTTTTTTAATATAAGAAAACTTACCTTGCAAGTGCTAAATCCCAATTTGTGGATCTCGAAATTCTCCTTCGCGTCACCCCACAGATCACTTAATTGTAAATAATTATTAGCACGCCTGTTTTTCACGATTATTCTTCTTAATGCTCTTCGGTCGACATTTGTGATATTACTTTTTTTCACATATCGTGGCGTAATATTAACTAAACCAGTTACGTTATATCTTCTAACAATATTTCTCACACTGTACCGCGAAGTCTAACAAAGTTGCAATTTCTGAGTTTGATTTCCCAGAATTAAAAAATTTAATTATCAGTAACCGAATTTTCTCACTAATAACCTTTTCTCTACCCATTTTGAAAACCTTAACTACCCAAAACTATTTTAAACGTATCCTGACAGCTGTGATTAATAAAAACAATTGTAATGGCTTTTATTTTTCACAGCCACCTATGCGTTATAGACTTATTTTGCATTAAAATGAAAATAGATTGATATGCTTTACAGCATGCAACATGTGTTATTTTTGTGCTGCAAATTTGATTAGGGAGTGACAAAGTTGGTGTTTTCTACTATATATTATCAAAATATTCATTGTTAATGTTTTAAACCTATAACCCCCTGCTACATTTTTATTATTTGTGTTTGATAAGAAGAAAACTAAGATTTAAAATAGTTGGGCCAACTGAAGTGGGAAGGGGCTCGTACATGCTTACAGTAATTACACACAACGCGGGCGTGGTGATGATTTCCCGTAATTCTCCTCAGTTTTTCGTAATTTGTAACTTTGAACATAACCTCTCTTCAGAAAGCACAACATAAAAATAACACATGCACCAATACACATAATCATCCAGATGCGATCTTGGTATTCAACCAGCTTCCTTCTCAGAGATAAAAGCTACAGACAAGGACTATTTGGCCTCACAAAACATATGCAACCAATAATGCGTTTAGTTTAGTTGAGTGATTCCTTCTTAGATGGACGTTCACAACGAGCCTAGTGAGCAAACGTGGAATGACTGTTTGCGCCCTAAAAACTACCTACTTTGCGAGAAGACATCTTATGGTTTTTTTTTTTGACGTTTTATAGGTTTTTTACATGATACCCATGCAGATCTGAATAAGATGTAGACTTCAAAATGACATGGAACTGGAACTTTCACGTAAACCTTTTTTGGGAATAGTGCATGTTTGGCAGGTTTTCGCAGTAATCGTATATTTAGCAGCTTAATAACCCTGTGTAAACGTTGTCTCATTAAGATTTCTCTTTCTAGATAACGAAACCCCAGTGTTCCAAAACTGCCCTCAGCAACCGATCATCGTCCAGAAAGACGCAAACGGAGGTCTTCTACCTGTAAACTTCACAGAACCAACGGCAGTAGACAACTCTGGAAGCATCGCCAGGCTAGAAGTCAAGCCTGCAAACTTCAAAACTCCCATGTACGTGTTTGAGGACACTGTCGTCAAATATGTGGCTTACGATTACGACGGAAACGTTGCTATTTGCGAAATCAACATCACCGTTCCCGGTAAGTATTTTGTTGTTGAAGTATCGCGATAACCAGTGAAGGAAATATCAGACCAGGTACAAGAAATACCGATGATGTTTACGTCTTCTTGTGGTCTTCTCTGGCCTGCATACCTATATATTTTCCTTCAGATGCAAGAATGTTCCTTAACGTTTTTTATTGACAATTCAGCCAAGACACTAAGGTAGTAGATCAATATTTGGTTCACGTTTGGTGCTTATGAAGATTCATCTATACGTCGGGCTGTGTATTACATGATTGATCCCAGATTGAACTGATGTTAGATAGACATGCAAAATCCATCTCATTATCTACGTAATGCTTTATGGAAACTGATCTCTATGTTAATACCTTTTTCAGACAATACTCCTCCGCAACTCAGTTGCCCCCAGAGCTACGTAATCGAGCTGGTGGACCGTCAGGACAGTTACGCCATTAACTTCAATGAGACCCGTAGGAGACTCAACGTCACTGACGCATCCGGAGATGTCCAGGTCACATTCATACCTGACAAAGCTACCATCTCCATCGGCGCATTTGAAAACGTTACAGTAGTCGCTACTGATAAATATGGCAACAAGGCCTCGTGTCATTTTCAGGTAAGGTTTTTGGAGTCAGTACAAATTTGCAAATGACAAATATATCTCAAAATTCATTAAGCAACTACCTGTATATTACTTTATCATTCATTCAAAAAACTACTTCCAGGTATCCGTTCAAGCAACACCTTGCGTGGACTGGGAATTAAAACCACCCAGCAACGGAGCTTTAAACTGCTTACCAGGGGAAAAGGGCTTGCAATGTATCGGTACTTGTAATCAGGGCTACAGGTTCACAGACGGAGAACCTGTCAAAACGTTCCAATGTGAAAACAACTCGCCGTGGAAACCAAGTTCAGTTGTACCTGACTGTGTATCAGAAAGTAAGTAAAACGGAAAGAAAGTATAATAGTGGCATCATTTTGACCAAAGTTGTATAATTTCATCTATTTTCTGATCTCGAGATCAATAAGGAATGGGTCATTCACGTTCATTAGGAGACCAAATGAACTTTCATGTACCAACAGCTTACCGATTTTTCCCAAAATCCATGATCCATGATATATCACCTACTCATGAGACTACGTCTCCCTTGAGGGGCTGCGAGAAAATCCAGGCTAAAAAGAAGCAATTAGCACCGGTGAAGCATCAACGCCATTTCGCAGGAATATATATTTTCAGTCTCCTTTAATAAACTAACAAAATTTCTTCCATTTTCCAGATACCCAAGAAGCAGACTACCACTTCACTGCTTCCATTGACTACCGCGCGAACGGAGCAGTAGCTACAGCCTGTCTGAACCAGTATACCGACCTCATCTCCCAGTACTACAACAATCTCAATAACATCCTCTCAGAAAGATGTTCAGCTGTGAACGTCAAAATGAACGTCTCCATAATAAACGCTGTTGCATCTCTCGTCGAAGAAAACGTCGTAAGGGTTGACTACATCCTTGACATCATGCCTGTGGTCAGACAGCCGCAGTTGTATGACCTTTGCGGTAGTACCTTGAACTTGATGTTCGATTTGTCGGTGCCATACGCCAATGCTGTTGTGGAACCACTTTTGAATGTCTCCGCTATTGGAAATCAATGTCCTCCGCTAAGAGCTTTGAAATCTGTCAACCAAAGAGGATTCACTTGTAACGTTGGAGAGGTTTTGAATATGGATACGAACGATGTGCCGAGATGCTGTAAGTACTTCCAATTAAATCAGAAATTGTCTAATCGTATTGATGCTGTTGTTAATAAGCATACATACAAGATTCCTATAATGGTGCTTAAACTTAGTAGATAAGCTAGGCTGGTTTTGGATCAAATTCTGAATCTAATCAAACCACATTGATATACTTCATATAAACAACATTTAGGTGCAAGGTCAGTTAGGTCTTTAGTAGCTTTATACTAACTATTGAACTTACTTAGTAATGTTGATCCTGAATCAGCCTATGCTATCTACTTATAACCCAAAAACATGACTGATTTCAGTACACTGCCCCGCCGGAACATTCGCCGGTGAGAAACAGAAGGAATGTACCAACTGTCCTCGTGGCTTCTACCAAAACCGAGATAGACAGGGTTCTTGCATGCGATGTCCCCAGGGTACCTACACGAGGGAAGAAGGATCCAAGAGCATCCATGACTGTGTCCCTGTCTGTGGTTATGGAACCTATTCCCCAACTGGTCTCGTACCCTGCTTGGAGTGTCCCAGAAACAGCTACACCACCGAGCCTCCCACTGGAGGATTCAAAGATTGCCAGGCGTGTCCTGCAAATACGTTCACATACCAACCAGCTGCTCCACATAAGGATCACTGTCGGCCGAAATGTAGTCCTGGACAGTACTCACCGACAGGTACGGTTTTTTCCAGATTTTCACAAATTTAGTTGCTTTAGGCCCGTATCGTCAGTCGTCCCTACAATTGTAGGGCGCGTTTATGGCCTCCTTGATTGTTATACTCCTTTCTCTCCTTCAAAAATGTCTAGATTACACTTGTCCCGTGTCAGCGTCAGCGCTCTCCTATTGTGAAGATATGTTTTATTTTTAAATTGTAGGAAATTTCAGGCTGACAAAACATGATATAACTCAAAAAGCAAGCACAATTTGATGCAAATAGATGTTGGTGACATAGATATCATCTTACCTTAAACTTCGTCATAACGTTTCTCAAAATCTCAATCAGAATGCTTTGAGGCTTTTGATCAGAATGAGTTGGTTTCAATTCGGAAGGTTTCAACTATTTAAAACGTATTTGAAGTTGGCAGCTGTTATGGAAAACCTCATAAAATGCAGCAATAATGGGTGTTATTTGAAAACTATTAGCTTGATTTCTCAGATTTCTTTCTCAAAAACGACGGAGTATAGTCACTGAACGGGGTTCTCTTTGCTAGGGAATGATCCCAAATTCCGACAGCTGATGGCAGCTTTCAATCAAGTTTGTGGATGCATCGTTTTCAGCAAAATAATTGTTCATATCATTAAACATTCCACAAAAACGACTTAGTCTTTAAAGGTCAGACATATAGACGACGGCGAGGATTCTGCACTTTTTCTCCCGAGAATAACTCGAGGAGCTACTATTCTATCTAATGTTGGAGAATCCATTTCCTCGGTAGGTGATAAAACCGCGCCTACATCAAGTTATTCTAATCCCTCATTTCGAGAATTATCACACTATGGGGATATTCTACATTCTTTATTGTATTACCAAACATTTCAAATCTTTTAACTCATTTATCTGTGGAGAAGGTGGCTAACGTTGAAACGAAAAACTGTGGTAATAATGGTTGCTGTTTAAGATAATATTTGAATCATAAATACCAATGAAAAAGTATAAGCATTGTTTCCAGCTGAACAAAATATGACGTAGAATCTCCATATTCTATACTATTTTACCAAATATTCACGAGTGGGTTTCCAGAATATTAACCTGCGAGATCGAATTTGATTCACTCAATATACTACCGCAAGGAAATACAACATCATTTCGTTCGTGGGTAACGACCTAGAGATATCATATTAATACTGAAAACACATATGCATATCATGTATTAAGCAAAACACTAATAATGTTCCATCTACTCTTCCAGGATTGGCCCCTTGCTCACTCTGTCCCAAGAACTTCTACCAATCCCTTCCTGGTCAAACTGCATGTAACGAATGCCCTAGCAACATGAAGACAGAAGGTCCCGGAGCTACCGGAAGAGACGAATGTCGTCCGGTACAGTGCAAGGAAAACGCGTGTCAACATGGCGGCCTGTGTGTGCCGATGGGTCATGGCATCCATTGTTTCTGCCCTGCTGGATTTTCTGGAAGACGGTGTGAGATTGATATCGACGAGTGTTCTTCGCAGCCTTGCTATAATGGTGCTACTTGTATCGACCTACCACAAGGGTAAGACTTTTTCATTAGCTTAATTTGATTCCAGTATTCAATCCTTTAGAGAATATTTGAAACAAAACAGATGAATCAGGTACAAGTGAATAAATTAGATAACCTAACGAATATAAATTAGATGCATAATAGCGGTATGAAAGTAACTAATGCTATCCAAATTGAGCACTGAGCAGTAACGTGTATTAGTCTGGCTTAGGCCCTTATGAACAGAAAGCTCAATATAATTCTTAACCCACTTTTCCTTACAAATATCACTTAAAACAAGCCTGAAACTTTAGTTGATATCATTGTTTTATTGTATTTTCATAACTTATGCATCGACATTATTAGGTACAAGTGCCAATGTCCTCCCGGCTACTCTGGAATCAACTGTCAAGAAGAACGTTCTGACTGTTCTAACGACACGTGTCCAGCTCGTGCTATGTGCAAGGATGAACCAGGTTACAAAAACCACACTTGCCTGTGCAGATCTGGCTATACTGGGTTGGATTGTGACGTCACAGTAAGTATGACTATATTACTCACCTGCAAAAGGCGCTCTAAAAATGCCTCAAGTTTTACGATAACCTACAAACCATTCTCAGACTTGTGGCCATATTGATTCTTTATAGACACGATCGTTTGAAACAATCTGAGATTGTCACGGTTAGTTCAAAAGTGTAAATATACTATAAAAAATAATAGGACAATCGCGTTTAACAAGTTATGTATACTTTGAAGTTGAGTCATTAATTTTCAGATAATGATTTTAGAAGAAAGATAAACCAAAATATGTGTGTAAAAATAAAAAAAATTAAAAAAAATGTTACCTTGTTTTATAAAGTATCCTCCCGACAAGTATTTCAGTGCGGAACTGTATTTGATCGTACGGTCTTTGAGCACCAGCATGCCCTCGCCTGTGAGCCCTTTGTACTTCATTAACAAAAGCACGAGGGATTGGTTGCACTCGATTGGGAAACCGATCCGCATAAATCCGTGATGCCGCGGCAGCATTTTGTAAAGACTCCCCCCCGTAAATAAGAATCATGTCCACAAGTTCAGCATTTTCGTAAACATGTGCCATTTTTTATTTCGTTTGAGTCACGCAACAAACACCACTATTCACTCACGCGTTACCGACTGACACATTGACTGAACACAACTGAATAAAATTGTAGTAAAAACATCGTGATAAGCGTTTCAAATTCTTTCGCTTTTTTGTTTCCGATGCGATGAACCGATAAGGCGGATTATATCCGTTGTTGCCAAACACGAGCACATAATATTATTATTACAGGGCGCTACTCAAACTTCTAAAGGGCTATAACTTTGTTACTTTAATTTTTTTTTGATCAGATCTCACTGTTAAAATAAAATTAATTTTCAGATAAAGATTGTAGAAGGAAGATAAACCAAAATATGTGTGTAAAAATAAAAAAAAATTAAAAAAATTTTTTACCTTGTTTTATAAAGTATCCTCCCGACAAGTATTTCAGTGCGGACCTGTATTTGATCGTGAGGTCCCCTGTGAGGTCTTAAGTCACCTGATTCACGAGCCCGTTGTACTACATTAACAAAGGCACGAGGGGTTGGTTGCACTCGATTGGGAAACCGATCCGCATAAACATGTGCCATTTTTTATTTCGTTTGAGCCACGCAACAGATACCACTATTCACTGACACTGACTGTATACAAATGAATGAAATGTAAAAACATCGTTCCAAATTCTTTCGCTTTTTTGTTTCCGATGCGATGAACCGATACAGCGGATTATATCCGTTGACGCCAAACACGAGTACATAATATTATTATTGAGACAGGGCGGTACTCAAACTTCCAAAGGGCTATAACTTTGTTACTTAAATTTTACCAGAAAAATGGTAAAGGAGAAAAACACTTCTTTTGATCAGATCTACTCACTGTTAAAATAAATGACTCAACTTCGAAGTCACCCTGTATATATACCTCCGAGAACCCAATAATTTGTGTTAGGTAACTTTATTTCAATCACTTCCAGATTGATCCTTGCTCTGCGAACGGCAATCCCTGCAGCAATGGTGCAACGTGCCTCGCCCTACAACAAGGCCGATTTATGTGCGAGTGCCTGCCAGGCTGGGAAGGGCCATTATGTGAAATCAACACTGACGACTGCGCTGAGAAACCGTGTTTATTGGGAGCGAATTGCACAGATCTAGTTGACGATTTTAGTTGCGCTTGTCCCCCAGGATTCACTGGGAAACGGTGCCAGGAAAAGATCAACTTATGCGGAAGGTAAGGTCTTTGCGAACAAGTGAAAACCTAATTTGTAATTAGACTTGTGTAGAATTACTATCAAAAACTATCGGCTTATAAATATTCGCCACGTTAAAGCCTAGTACATACCGCACACCCTGGGTGAACCGGGTTTTTTCTCGAGTAAAATCGGCTACAAAACAGCTACAAGACAGCTACAAAGCTGGAGGACTACAAATGGTGGTTTTATCCCACTAAAAGGAAGCGGATATTGAACAAACTTTTTCGGGACAGGCCTTAATGCACGTTAAAGACCCATAAAAAAATGAAGGAGGTAGCACCCAAACCGAAACAGCTAAACTTAAGGTAGTTACAAGAAAGAGTGCTACTCCATAAACTGGTGATTGGGGCCAAATCTCCCAAAATCTGAAAATCCGACAATACACCTCCGCAACAACTGCTTCAATGGTCACCCATACGAATTTCAAGAAAAGTTCCGCAGCCGAACCTACACAAAGCATATCACTGGTTGCCTATGGGTAGACCTCAGGACCGTATTATTTCCCAAAATAATGTTGGGGGTAAGGGGATCTATGAGGGAGCAATGAGGAAATTTCTGAGATAGCTGTTAATAAAATATTATAGCCTTAGTGTCCAACAGACTTCAACACGATACTCAGTCGCTAAGAAAGAAAGATAAGATAATATATGCGAAAACCTACTTTCAGGATTAGGTAGTTTCGAGGTCATAAGATCAATAAATTATTAAATTCGCCAAAAGAAAATGATTGAAACGAGTTTGGCCTAGGAATCGGTACTCTATCAGTAATAAAGAGAGATTAAAATTACTGGTAAGTGATCAGAATAGTAAAAAAAAAAGATTACGTGAATTTAGCATGCTACCCAGTATCAGGACAAAAGCATCAAGGGCGCACTGATGAGAAACATCTCCTCCGATACTGCAGGCATACTCGCCACTGGATCTAAACAACGCATACCCTCCTATATAGACACCTTGTGTAGTGTATACTTGATATAGGAGATATGTTGCCGAAATGGCCGTTCAGGTTTTTAAAAAATTTTATTTTTACTTTACAAGACTGACTACAATATAACTTGAAATATTTTACAATGTACTATATAAAATGTACAATACGACGAACAAAAGAGGAATCTACGGAAAGCATGAAGACCCTCTATTTATCATCTCGGGCTTGGATGCTTTCCTCAGCATTCTCTTCTTCCAGGTGCATCTTTTTATGCATCATAACTCCTCCCCGCCTAGTCTGAAAACTGAATAGGAACGTTTTCTATTTTCAGGAGGTTTTCTTCTTTTTACATCTTTCTTAGGCCTCTCTCCACTGGATTCGGCATTTTCTTCATCTTGTCTGTCTTCGGGTAGGTAATTTTTCTTCTGGATTTGTTTTCTCCAAATATACCAAAAATTTACTGCTACTGTAACAAGCAGAAAAATAGTAAAAACTGTGCTGCTAGAAAACCAAATTAAGGGATCAATAGCGGCTTCTTCTTGCATTTGAAGAAAATGTGCTTTCTATTGCATTTCCTCGAGTTTGTCGAGGTCAATAGTCTTGAGGATTGAAGCTTTCTTAGGCACAAAGTTCGATCTTGCATTCCAAAATTTTATTTCTGGAAGAACCAAAGGGATTCCTTTAATTTGATCCTCCTTGTTCCAAAACTTGGATGAGTTGATTTGTATTCCACAATTTTCGGGCATCTCGACTAAACTTAGCGTTTCTAAAATAAATGGTTGTTAAGTATCACACACCTTTATTGCTGTGATCGACTGGTCAGCGGGAATGACTAAAATGTGTTTTGCTGATATCACCTCGTGAATTGGCATTTTGAAAATTCGGCTTTCTTCTGTAACTCGATTTGGCAACCTTGGATGGGTTCTTGTCGATTCTTGCAGACGTAGACATTTTCAATTTCTGTACATTCTTCTTCTTCAAATTGCTTATGACTTGTTCCAAGAACCAAAAAGGGATGGTTTGGAATAATGGTTGAATTTCTAATACGAACTGGGTATAGGCGGAAAAATTGGAATTTTTCATCAGATAATATAGCAAATCTTATAGAAAACACGATTTTACTATCAGTAAATGTAATTTGTGGATAAGCTACTAAGTAGTATGATTGTAAATTTGGTATTTTCTTTTTACCATATAATTTTACTAAATACTTTATGTTTTTCTCTATGTAAATTATTCATTTTTGAAAACATTACAGCGTTTTTGAAAATCATCGTTCCGACTTTGGATGTTTATCGGCTGACTTGGGAAATTATTCCGGTTTCTGTCAGCTAGAAAGGTTTTTGGAGGTCGATAACTTTGTTGAACATTCGACTGATGAGGTGCTTGAAATATATGATAGTGAAGATTCTGATTTGGCGCCTGATTGCGGTAATTGTTATTATTTGAATTTTCAAACTTCTCGTGTGGTTTGGAATATGAATTTTGTTTGATACTACATGGAGTCTTTGAATGATTTGGGGATTTGAAAATGTTTTGCGTATACTGGACATTTTCTTCTTCAATGATATATTGCATTACTTCTTGAAAGACGACGGATTTTTCAAACGAATAACCGTTTGTTAAGGTCCTGATAATCCGCGCACAAAAGCTCGCAAACAGATACCGTCGTACTGCTTCATCATTGCGACTTTTACTTCGGGCGTTGCGTCTAAAATACTCAATTTCTGGTCAAGAGTACTCCTTAATTTCGAGTCTTTTTTAAGAATCTAAGGGTGACTCATTTTTATAAGGTGAGGCTAGAAGTAGATCTTGTTCCAAGCATTCTAAACTTCTATTATCAGCAAAACACTGCTCTAAAGCATCTTTTATTAAAGGCCAGCTATTTAATTCTGATCTACAGCCAACAAAAAATTGTGCCGTACCAACTAATTTAGTCTGTACCACTCTCAATGAGTATCTCTTAATCGTTTCCTCAGAAGTGTTGAATATGTCGAATAGATAATCACATGATGAAATGAGGCTTGGTAGTGTATTGAAATTACCATCAAAATTGTATCTACAAACATGCGTAACATTTGTAACCTATTTTTTGGGGATGCCATTTCTTCGGGTTGTGATTCTGAATCAGTATTATTAATTCTTAAGTTATTTAACTCGCTGATAATGTCTGATAATGACATAAAATCACAACTTTTCAAAATAAGGTCTCCTATACAGGGACATCAATTTGGATGGGGCTCTTACCTTCTACTCCTATCCTTTGGAAGGCGGCAGACAGAAGCAATGGGACAACTTCTCGCTCTTGGGCTGTGGATTCTTCGTTCGTTGCTGTAGGTCGAACGCCGAAGGGACGATACCCAGGTTTTCACGAAACCGGTCACAATGCCGCGAATTTTCGGAAAACTGCGTTGAATCCTACTGGATGACTGCGGATATGTTGCCGAAATGGCCGTTCGGGTTTTTAAAAAATTTTATTTTTACGTTACAAGACTGACTACAATTTAACTTGAAATATTTTACAATGGATAAAATGTACCATACGACGAACAAACGAGGAATCTACGGAAAGCTTGAAGAACCTCTATTTATCACCTCGGGCATGGATGCTTTCCTCAGCATTTTCTTCTTCCACGTGCATCCTTTTCTGCATCATAACTTAGATACAAATTTCCTTAAGGCCAATGTTAATATCGTGGTCAAATACGCGACTTACTGTCTTCCAAGAGCTGTCATATTTTTGCTAATTCCAAAAAGAAGGATCCGATCTTCATTCTCCAGTTTGGCCTCGTAATCGACCTTAAAGTTAAAAACAGCTTCGTAACTCATAATCAAGTTGGTCCCTTTGAAATCCTGCAACGACCATATTCGTTATTTACAAAAGAATCGTATAAATTAATCACTCGATATATTATTTCTTCATCAGAAACCCATGCAAGAACGGCATCTGCGTCGATAAGCTTTTCTACCACGAGTGCATCTGCCACCCTGGCTGGACTGGCGAGTCCTGCGATACCAACATCAATGACTGTCAACCGAACCCCTGCCATAACGGCGGCCACTGCGTGGACGACGTGGATGGATACACGTGCACTTGCGAGCCAGGATTCACAGGGAAGAGATGTCAACATACTATCGACTTCTGTTCATCCAAACCGTGCCAGAATGGCGCTACCTGTACAGACCTTGTTGATGGATTCTCGTGTAAATGCAGACCTGGATTCGTCGGGTTGCAGTGCGAAGCGGAAATTGACGAGTGTCTGAGCGACCCATGCAATCCTGTTGGAACCGAGAGATGCGTGGATTTGGACAACAAATATATGTGCATGTGCAGGTAAGAGCGTGTTCTAATCAGGTTCTAACGTTCGTGAATCATACATGCTTGTTTGGTAGACCTTTCTTAGATTTATGATATTTCAGAAACAAATAACGGATACTATCTGCTAGACTCCTAGGTATCCAATTCAATTCAATTCAATTCAATGGACTTTATTGTAACACATACAATAATTATGTATTCTTACAAATGGCGAAGTCTGGCCAATGGCCATTTATACTTAACCATAAATGTCATGTAAATGCTTATTACTACCTTAAAAATAAAATAAAAAACTGAAAAAGAAGAATAATAGTAAAAGAAGAATTAATAAATATGACATAATGCGTACGATTAGAACAAAAAACATAATACGTACGATTCAAAGAGAAGACAATAACCTAAGAGCTCAATAAGTAGTTCGTATATTTTTTTTTTTAGAAAAGTTGCTGATGAAACATTGTTCGAAAGAGTTGATCAATTTCACCGCATTATACGTAAAAGACCGTTGAAAAATGGCTGTCCTATGTTGTGGCATTGTCAGGAGATTAATGTTGCGCGTATTCAAATTGTGAATTAAATTCCTACGAACAAGCTTTTGCATAAGATAAACCGGAACAGAAGTTTTTAATATTTTCACGACAAATGTAACAAAGTTGTATTTGAAAAGATCAGAAATTTTCAACCAATTCATTCAAGATATTGAGTGAGAAACATGATCGTACCTTCTTAAATTGTTTATGTAACGACTACATGAGTTTTGAATTTTTTGCAGTCTGTATTTTGTGATTCCATCCAGACAGGGATAATAAACTATGTTGCAGTAAGCGATTAGTAGAGTATGAGTGACTCGGATAACATTTTCCTAATTTTTCTATTTAAAACAGTTTTACTTGCATATGGAAGCCTGAGTCTAAAATAACTAGACTTACACACATAGCCAACATGCTCCTGAAATCTGAAATCTTCATCCAAGTATACTAAGTGATATATAAATCCAAACACCCAGTTTAAATGGTTTTATTTTAATAAAAGTTGGTGAATGTATTTATCTTACTGTAAATAATAAGTGAAAAAATTTTCAGCCTTATCAGTTGGACATTCCGGTTTTTATACTGATTTTTTTTAATTCACTAACGCTCTAAAAATGAATATTTCAGCCGCAATAAAGAATCAACGTTGGCGGATTTTGGTTCTTGACATCCTTTACGATCGGTTACGATGCCTAGAGTACGGAGACCTGTACGATTTCGTCAACTTAGTGAGCTTGATAGGGGCCGTATAGTGGGACTTCGGGAAGCTGGACTTTCTTTTCGGGCAATTGCAGTTAGAGTGCAAAGAAGTGTAGACCCTGTGGTTAGGTGTTGTCAGGCATAGCTTCGAGAAAGCCGCACGCAAAGAGCAAGGGGCACTGGACGCCGCCGTAGAACAACAGACCGAGAAGATCGCCGCCTAAGATTATTGGCCTTAAGGGACCGTTTCTTCACTACCAGGTCCATTGCAAATGAATGGTTTGCAGAACACGGAAGACCTATCGGCATGCGAAGTGTTTACCGACGAACGAGAAGTTTTGTAATCGCCTTGAGTGGTGCAGACAACGGTCACTCTGGGATCAGGAATGGAACAGTATTGTCTTTAGTGACGAGTCTCGATTTTGTTTAGGCATGCACGATGGTCGTGCCAGGGTTAGAAGGCGACGTGGTGAAAGGAGGAATCCACAGTTTTTTGTTGAAAGACATGTTCATCACACTGTTGGAGTTATGGTTTGGGGTGCTATAGCTTATGGTTCCAGGTCACCTTTAATCTTCATCAGAGGTAACATGAACGCGCAGCGTTATATCCACGACGTTCTATAACCCCATCTTTTACCCTATCTTGACACCCTGGCAGATCCAACTTTCCAACAAGATAATGCCCGACCACATGTTGCAAGAGTCACAATAGACTTCTTTCAACATAATGATGTCACATTGTTACCATGGCCACCAATATCTCCCGACTTATCCCCAATTGAGCACGTGTGGGATATGATGGGTAGGAGATTGCTCAATTTGCAACGTCTTCCTCAGACTCTAGAAGCACTTCGAGAGGAGTTGGTGGTTGCCTGGAATGAGATACCACAGGAGGACATTGACCACCTGATCAGAAGCATGCCTAGGCGCGTTGGAGAATGCGTAGCACATCAGGGTGCATCCACACATTATTAAAGGTCAAAGGGCTTTAAAGCAGTGCAATCATTTTGAAATTTTTATCATTTACTTATTATGCTTCATTAAGTAGTTATACAAAATTTTATTAAAATAAAACCATTTAAACTGGGTATTCGGATTTATATGTCACTTAGTATACAAACCTAAATTTTTTGCAGAATGGGAAAATATTAGGATACTATTATTTAGTGATAAATTTAACTTTGATCTGAGGAAAGTACGTTTTTTGTTGGAGCAAAAAAGTATAGCTATCGATTTCGATGCGTTTAGACGTAAATTATGTTTTGCAGCATATGTGCATAAGTATTGCAGATCTTCATTGATAAGGTTGTTAGCTAAATGGTAGTTGTTCGGACAGAAATTATGAAAACCTGCATATCATCAGCATATGATTGACCAGAACAATGTTGAAGGGTGTTAGAAATGTCAAAGGTGTATATAAGGAATAAAAGTGGACCTAATATGGATCCTAGATGTATTAGTATTATAATTATAGGTATATTTACTCACCAGACAAGCAAATATAGTTTCTGTCCATAACCATCATTTGGGTTCATCCAAATGAATCTGATGGATCGGTAGATATAAATGGGTACATAAAAAGGTGTAAGAAGTAAAGGAAGCTAATATCGCATCTCGTTTCAGGGAGGGTTTCACAGGAACTGCCTGCGAAACCAACATCGATGACTGTCGCTCGGACCCATGTCTAAACGGAGGATCATGCAGAGATGAAGTGGGCTCATACAAATGTCTCTGTCTACCTGGATGGACGGGAGTTAACTGCGAAACTGACATCGGCAGCTGTCAGATGAGACCATGTCAGAACGACGCCAAATGTATCAATTTGTTCCAGGACTACTTCTGTGTGTAAGTATACAAGTCTCATATGGTTTGAAATAGTTCTAGTAAATCGTTGATATAAGAAATATTTACTATTGAAGAAGACACATATCAATAGCGTATTCTGGAATGATTGAAACATATTACCACCACTTATATTCCATTTAAACTTCTGATTGCGACATACAAAATAATCCACTGTTATGAATGAAACCATAAGTATTTCGAAGCTCTAAACTCAAATTTGTTATTGACGTTCTTCTATAGCTCATAGATTTTAACAACTTCGTTCTAAATTTCAATCATGTTAGTCTCACCATATGGTAGTTTAGCTTTGAGGTTTCATTTTGAGATCTTGTGTCTTTTGCGATCGCATCTCCGTATTGGAAAAAATAATAACAATCCGGCTTTATTTATATAAAGTATAAAAAGGCGAAGTGTCGCTAAAAAGCGTTTTTCAACTTAACCCAACAAATATTTGTGTAAATTTTCTAATCCCAATGAAACCAAAAAAGTTAAAAGAACCTGTAATGAGTCCCTATTCATGGCAATGGTCTACTTACTGGGCAATGAAATCAGATAAAGTGCTTCAATCTTTTTTTGAAATTCTTTATAGAGTAGAGAGTGAACTCGGTAGGGAACGCGTTGTATAGCTTGATAGCAATATATATGTACGACCTTTTAAATAGAGATGTTGAATGTCTCGGGATAACCAAGATATGCTTATTCTTTGTGTTCAGTTGATTTATCTGAGTATCTGATAAATTTTATTGATAGATATGGAGGGGCTTGTGTTGTGATTACTTTATCGGTCAAGGTCAATACGTACATTTTTGTAGCTCTTCTATTTTTTGAACACCCAGCTCACGATATTTATGTGACACTGTCTCAAATGTTCTGACTCCACAAGCAAATCTGAGACACGCATTTTGAATAGTCTGAAGTCTCCTTATCTCAATTGCTCTTAGTGCAGGCCCATCAATATAGTCACAGTAGTGAATTCTAGACCATATTAAGTTTTCGCACAACTTCAGCTTGAGACCAGTATTCATACTTTTCCTATGAGGAAATAATTGCTTCAAGACACCGAATGATGTTCGGCACAGTTGACTAACATGTTTTTCAAACCCCAAATCATCCTAAAAAGTCCTAAATTCTTGCACTCATTTTTTATAGGGATCGGTTGGTGTAAAATGCTCAGTGTTAGTAATGTTTTGCCTGACTTTTTTTGTTTTTTGGTCGAAATATAACTGCGGATGATTTTAAGGTATTAATTTTGAGATTATGTAAATTGAGAATAATAATGGTCCCAGAATGGAACCCTGTGGTAGCCATAGTTTAACTGGTATCTCCTCGGAGATACTTGACCCAATTACAACCATCTGACTCCTGTCAGTGAAATAACTCAATACAAAATTAATTGTAGATTCCGAAAAACCAAAATTTTTCACAGGAATAGATGGTTCCAGAGTATCAAAAGCCTTTGTATAATCAAGTAACACCAAGCATGCTAAATTTCTTTGATCTACACACAAATTGCACACAAAACCAGTTTCTTTGCAATATATTTCGCTCCTTCTACTATAAAAATGGTACAATAAACTTGAGAAAATATCCTACTATCCTAAGTGACATATAAATCCGAACACCCAGTTTAAATGGTTTTATTTTAATAAAAGTTGGTGAATGTATTTATCTTACTGTAAATAACAAGAGAAAAAATTTTCAGCCTTATCAGTTGGACATTCCGGTTTTTATACTGCTTTTTTTTAATTCACTAACGCTCTAAAAATGAATATTTCAGCCGCAGTAAAGAATCAACGTTGGCGGATTTTGGTTCTTGACATCCTTTACGATCGGTTACGATGCCTAGAGTACGGAGACCTGTACGATTTCGTCAACTTAGTGAGTTTGATAGGGGCCGTATGGTGGGACATCGGGAAGCTGGACTTTCTTTTCGGGCAATTGCAGTTAGAGTGCAAAGAAGTGTAGACACTGTGGTTAGGTGTTGTCAGGCATGGCTTCGAGAAGGCCGTACGCAAAGAGCAAGGGGCACTGGACGCCGCCGTAGAACAACAGACCGTGAAGATCGCCGCCTAAGATTATTGGCCTTAAGGGACCGTTTCTCCACTACCAGGTCCATTGCAAATGAATGGTTTGCAGAACACGGCAGACATATTGGCATGCGAAGTGTTTACCGACGAATGAGAAGTTTTGGCTTGTTTTCATACCGGCCACACTGGGTCCTCCCTTTAACTCGAGAACACCGACGTAATCGCCTTGAGTGGTGCAGACAACGGTCACTCTGGGATCAGGAATGGAACAATATTGTCTTTAGTGACGAGTCTCGATTTTGTTTAGGCATGCACGATGGTCGTGCCAGCGTTAGAAGGCGACGTGGTGAAAGGAGGAATCCACAGTTTTTTGTTGAAAGACATGTTCATCACACTGTTGGAGTTATGGTTTGGGGTGCTATAGCTTATGGTTCCAGGTCACCTTTAATCTTCATAAGAGATAACATGAACGCGCAGCATTATATCCACGAAGTTCTAGAACCCCATCTTTTACCCTATCTTGACACCCTGGCAGATCCAACTTTCCAACAAGATAATGCCCGACCACATGTTGCAAGAGTCACAATAGACTTCTTTCAACATAATGATGTCACATTGTTACCATGGCCACCAAGATCTCCCGACTTATCCCCAATTGAGCACGTGTGGGATATGATGGGTAGGAGATTGCTCAATTTGCAACGTCCTCCTCAGACTCTAGAAGCACTTCGAGAGGAGTTGGTGGTTGCCTGGAATGAGATACCACAGGAGGACATTGACCACCTGATCAGAAGCATGCCTAGGCGCGTTGGAGAATGCGTAGCACATCAGGGTGCATCCACACATTATTAAAGGTCAAAGGGCTTTAAAGCAGTGTAATCATTTTGAAATTTTTATCATTTACTTATTATGCTTCATTAAGTACTTATACAAAATTTTATTAAAATAAAACCATTTAAACTGGGTGTTCGGATTTATATGTCACTTAGTATATTAATGGATTTGCAGTTTTGGTAAGATAAGCGATTTCGGCCTTCTAGTGCTACAAGTTTAAATCTGCTTAATATGCATATACAGGAAATCTTTCGTTGAGAGATTTGATAGTTTCACCCATGCTTTGGCAAAACTTTAAAAAGTATTTGAATATTTTTTCTAATGTCTTTACTTCTGGGTTTTTCTGAGAAGAATAGCTCTATGACAGATTAAACTAGAGAAAATCTCCTAAAGTTTGAATACTATTTCTTGTTTGGAATGGATGCTTGTGGTGTAAGGGCAAAGCTTATCCAGTATTGGCATCATCTTTATTTATAATTTATTGTTACGTTTATAGTTTGCACGCGTCAAACAAGAAAAGAATCGTTAAATATTGTTTAATGTATAACTGTAAGTATATAAACAAAAAAAGAATGATGAAAAATACGTAATATGGGTGATAATAAGGGTGACTTTGAAGTTGAGTCATTAATTTTCAGATAATGATTGTAGAAGGAAGATAAACCAAAATATGTGTGTAAAAATAAAAAAAAATCAGTGCATAGTGCGCTGGGCAGCCATCATGCTGAAACCACACGTCCCTGTAAATACTCAGTGGCACGTCCTCCAATAAATTTTCTAAATGATTTTGCAAAAAACCTAAATAAACCTCAGCAGTCAAAGTCTCTGGGAACGGACCGATTATTTTACCATTTAAAATTCCTGTCCAATGGTTTATCTTGAAGCGATATTGAGATTTATCTTCTCTCATCAAATGTGGGTTTGCTACGTGCCACTCGTGTAAGTTATGCAGGTTCATGTACCCATCTTTCTTAAATGTGGTCTCATCCGACCATAAAATTTTTTCAAAGAACTGTGGATCTTTCCTGTGTCTTTCTAACATTGTGCGACAAAAAGCAACTCTGGGCTCATAATCCCGGGGCAGGAAAGGTTGAACACGCTGTGTGTGGTATGGATCAAGCACATCACTTACTTGCTATTGCACACTTTGATACCGATCAGTACTCCTTCGTTTACTGTGCATCTTTACATGTTCGTGCTTGTTGATTTCGTACTGTTACTAATTTTGGATTCGTGAACTGGACTGTTGATCACTTGTGATTTGGATTTGGACTGTTTAATTGCTCTTCAAAACAACATTTGCTTTCCTTAGACTATCTTTGATAGTGTGATTGTTCAGTACCGCTATGTCCGTGTACACCGTACAAGAATATGCTAACATTTATGGGGAATGCCGATGCAACGCTAGTGCTGCAGCGAGACTTTACTGTGAGAGGTACCCGAATGCAGCTCGTCATCCAGATCATCGAGTGTTCGCAAATGTGCACCGCTTACTGTTCTCAGAGGGCCAACTACCAAACCAATCACTCGGTGAGGGAAGACCTTTCCTTCCTTACGAAGACGTGGTGCTAGGAGCTGTCGAAGAAGACCCGAGTACTTCAGTGCGTGCAATAGAACTAAAAACAGCTGTGCCCAAAAGTACAGCCCATAGAATCTTGCAAAAAAACGTGCTCCATCCATACCACGTACAGCGTGTTCAAGCTCTTCTGCCCCGGGATTATGAGCCCCGAGTTGTTTTTTGTCGCACAATGTTAGAAAGACACAGGGAAGATCCACGGTTCTTTGAAAAAATTTTATGGTCAGATGAGACCACATTTAAGAAAGATGGGTACATGAACCTGCATAACTTACACGAGTGGCACGTAGCAAACCCACATTTGATGAGAGAAGATAAATCTCAATATTGCTTCAAGATAAACCATTGGACAGGAATTTTAAATGGTAAAATAATCGGTCCATTTGAGTTCCCAGAGACTTTGACTGCTGAGGTTTATTTAGGTTTTTTGCAAAATTATTTAGAAAATTTATTGGAGGACGTGCCACTGAGTATTTACAGGGACGTGTGGTTTCAGCATGATGACTGCCCAGCGCACTATGCACTCTCAGTGAGAGAGTATCTCGATCAAAACCTTCCAGGCAGATGGATAGGGCGGTCTGGTACAATACCGTGGCCAGCCCGGTCACCAGATTTGGTTCCGTTAGCTTTTTTTTACTGGGGAACTGTAAAAGAAAAAGTGTATTTCAAGCCCATTCAAAATGTAGCTGAGCTACGGCAAAGACTATTGGAAGCAGCTGAGTTTGTTAATAACCGTGGATTCGCTCGTTTAATAACCCGATCTTTTTTAAGAAGATGTCGAGCGTGTATTGCGGCTGAAGGAAAGCAGTCTGAGCATTTGCTGTAAAGGTAAATCATCATCAGCAGCATTTTGACGCCCACTGTTGTGCAAACAGTTATCCTTAAGGGTCCTTGTGCGTTTCCATAATCGCTGGTCAATTAGGAAATTTTGGAGAATTTTTTTCAAATAAAAATTGTGCATAAGTTAATAATATATAAAAAGTGTTATACCATTTTGGAATCCTTATTAAATGCGCCAACTTTTAAGGTTACTTGCCAAACTCTGGTAGTACATTTTTTTCCAGTACAGCCAGTTAAAGTTGAGCAAAGTTTTACTTTGGAATACTTGGTTGGGAAATAAGTGGCAATTTTTCCTGAACGAGAAAAGTTGGCAGTAAGGTTGAGACACCAGTTTGAAGATGCATTATTCATCATTACATTGTAAAAATAAAATCCAAAAAAAGTTAATATTTGTAGTAACAGGAGTTGACAGACTGCCGTAGGGTGTGAAATTTCTATATTTTTTTCAAAGACCTATAATTTTCAAAACACATACATAAAATTTTTTTAAATATTTTTCTGATAGCTGTTATGACCTTGCCTATCACCCGGTTTCGGCTTGACGTCGACTTCTGGGACACCCTGTATATATATATATATATATATATATATATATATATATATATATTGAAACAGTAGTTTATGAAACCTTTTCAAAATATTTCAGGTAAAACTGCAAAACCTAAGAACGATTTTCTATAAAATCATGCTACAGTAAACTTTGTGCTTCCCGTGCGCTGAAGCTATATACAAAAGAATGCTATACACAAACTCTATGAAAATTTCTCTAGTTCAATCTATCGCGCAACTATACGTATATCCATCGTTAAATGAGTCAGAATATCGATGATAAAGTTTGGATATATATGAGAACATCAACATCCTCAACCCTTCCTTTCCAGGCAGCCCCTTTTTGCGCACCAAATGACCATATGATCATACAGGGTGTAATCAATAAGCGTCCCCAGCATTTTTGAAAATATCTAGTACCAGCAGTGCCTGTGTAATGTCATGGGTTTTTAGTAAATTTATACCTTTTCTCATTTCAGATGTCCCTCTGGCACGGACGGCAAGCAATGTGAAACCGCCCCAGAACGCTGCATCGGCAACCCATGCATGCACGGTGGACGCTGCCAAGACTTCGGTTCTGGGCTGAATTGCTCCTGTAGTGACGGTTACAGCGGCATTGGATGTCAATATGAGTACGACGCGTGTCAGGTATGAATGAGCATGTCAGTCCGATGTCAATGGCTGTGTAGCACTCAGCAGATAAATCTTCGCGCTCGCTTAAGATCAGCTTTAGAATGTTGTCTAAATGACCACTTGGTATAGAATCTGTGGAGTATGTTGGCCGTCATCACCGGGTCAGGCCAAGGTTTTTATGGTACAATCCTAACAAAGTGATATCCGTTAATGTTTTGCACAACTTGGCCGGATTGTTCCGGAAATATTTCTTTTTCTTATATTAATTTCATCGTTATTTTGTGTGTATACTACAGGGTGCGGAGGATGGACGGTTTTAAAAAAATTATAAAATAGTTGATTTTCACTCGAAAACAAATTTATTGATGGAATCAGGTTCACGAGGAAATATCATTTGAGACAGTCAAGTGTGGAAAATCACGTCAGGCATGTGGTGGCTGAAATCGTTGATGCAGTGCTGGAGGCGTTCTTGGAAGTTCGCGTAGACTCTCTACAACATCGCTCTCTCAACTTGGGCGACTTCCACGTGAATTTCGCCCTTCAATTCGTCCAGAGTTCGGGGCTTGTTCGCGTATACTCTAGCCTTGAGGTGTCCCCATAAGAAAAAATTGCATATGGGTAAATCTGGGGACCAAGGAGGCCAATGAACATCGCCAAACCTGGAAATAAAGCGACCAAGGAAGAGAGGGCGATGCTCGGGCTGTGTGGGCGGTCGCCCCATCCTGCTGGAACCACACACGTCGGATTGGAACACGTCGCCGTCGTAATTCAGGGAGAAAGAAGTTGGTGATCATGTCGACGTAGCGCTGTAAGTTCATGGTTACATCACGACCATTACCGTCTTCGAAGAAGTAAGGGCCAATGATGCAAGTTTGCGATACAGCGCATCAAACCGTTACTTTTGGGCTGTGCAGCGGTCTTTCGTGTAACTGTTGCGGATTTTCATTAGCCCAACAACGACAATTCTGCTGGTTAACCATGCTGTTTAGGTGAAAGTGGGCTTCGTCACTCATAAACAAAATGATGTTCTCATTTTGATCGATCAGTGCTTCCATCTCACGTGCGAAGTTCATTCGTTGTGCATAATCTCCGGGCTGTAACTGTTGCACAATGGCCAATTTGTAGGGGTGAAAGCGGAGATCCATATGCAAAATTCGCCTTACCGAACGATCACTAAGGCGAAGAAAGACCTGTCGAACGCGTTCAACATTTTCAGGAGTTCGAACTGTACGCGGCGCTCCTCTTGGTCTTTTGCGCCTGCGAAGTGATTCAACCCAACGAAGGATGGTGTTTCGAGAGGGAACAACTTTATTCCGATGAATGTTGAAGTGGCGACGAAACTCACGCTGTACGACGATGACTGACTCATTATTTCGGACGAAACAATCATAGGCGAAAACGCGGTGCTCCACCGTCCAAGGCTCCATAACGACAACTGGTAAAATAATGCTAGGATCTCAGGAATCAAACGGCACCCTCCCCACCTCTCTCGTAGACAGAGGCGGAGAGTACCACCCATCCCAAAAACGTCCGTCCTCTCTGCCGCACCCTGTATAACAAATAAACATCATGCTCTCTAAAGCGATGATGTGCTGTGGGCGATCCACGTTTTATAGCATGTCGTTAAGGCAAAATGCTTTATTAATTGCTAAAGTTGCTACTGATTTATACTAGTGTAAAACTTGAGCCCGAGTTGTGTCAATATAATATAAATGTATCATCCTTGGCTCCACCCCCTGACACCGTTTTGTAATTTTGTTTCATTACCCCTAGTAACTCTCTCAATGAAATGAACTGACAATCACTTACAATGAACATAACCTGCTAAAGCATACTCAAGGCAGCGCTAAGATTTTGCTGGAGGCAACCAATGTTTTTGTGTTACTATCGATATATCTTACCTTCGATCTAAGTATAGTAAGCAACCAAAATAAAATAGAGTAAAATTATCGCAACGTACACCACTGTCAACACCGACTTCTGCGCACACATACGGAATGGCACCGGTGGCGCATTAACGCTACTCTCTTCCATTTTGGTATCCGACTTTAATAAGTACTTATTCTGAAGTCGCTGTTGATGGTTAGTACTGAAATAAATTCCTGGAAGCTCAAAAATGTTTTTTTTATTTTATCCTTTAAAATTGTTTCTTTAAAATTATGTTTGATCCAATTATTTAATTTGAATGAAATATTGCCATACTGCTAAAATAAAGGTTGACGTCGTTTTTTCAACATTGATGTTGAACATTTTTTCTTCCATAGGCAAATGCTTGCAAGAATGGCGCCACCTGCACCAACGACTACCAAGGGTTCAAGTGTGTCTGCCCTCCGGGATTCACCGGAAAGTACTGCGATGAAGATATCATGGATTGTAAAGAGAACTCGTGCCCGCCTAGTGCTACGTGCATCGATCTAACTAACAAGTTTTACTGTCAGTGTCCATTTAATTTAACTGGAGAAGACTGTAGGAAGAGTAAGCATTTCTCATACAGATTATTCGAAAAACAAAAGTAATAATTCGAAAGCAAAGAATATGTCAGAAGTGGCAATAAAGGAAATATTAAGATGTCATCTTGCAGAAGATACAGAATAAATACTGATGACACTGATTGAAGATGAACCGTAAATTTACTAGAATGACCTTTTGGATATGTTTAATTAAAGTCAGTTGGAAAAATATGTGTAAATGTTTTTAAACTCAGAAATAATACGATATAGCACAATCCGTAAGATCTCATGAAACTTTTCTCTACTTTTTAGCAATATCCGTTGACTACGACTTATACTTCAGTGACACGACACGAAGTTCTGCCTCTCAAGTGATACCTTTCTACACGGGATCAAAATCCAGTCTAACAATCGCCATGTGGGTACAGTTCACACAGAAAGACGAAAACGGCATATTCTTCACGCTATACAGCGTTTCGTAAGTAAAACGTTGCAATCTAACCTCAGCCAAAAAGAATATATTCAATTGTTTCCTTTTGAAGCAACTATTATGAATCATTGGCTACTCACTGCTAGTTCTAATTTATCGCTTACTTTTGAACTATCATATGTATAGCTGATGCTGATCTTAAATCCGTATTCCTGTTTTTTTAATGGTATGAAGGGCATCAAAAGTATTTCAATCTGGCTTAATTAAAAACTTTTCGCTCTGATTTTTAGGGTAAAAGTCGATTTTTTGATGGATGCTGAAGCCGATGTGGCTTATAACACAACGTTCTGCTAAAGCTCAATGTATAGTTAATCCCCTTGGGTCTGTTATAAGTTGTGACCACGTTTCTAATGCAATATTGTATCGAAACTGGTTGAAATTAAATAAGGTTGTGTAATGAAGTAATGTAAAAAAGAGATAGGAAGTTAGTCAAATTGAAATTAACATGAATATCCGATTTCATCAGGAAACGACACCTAGAAAATTGGGAATCAGACTATACTGGCAAGTAAGTCAAAAAGTCCTAATCGTCGAGTACCTAAGATTCTGGTATTGGAAAAATTAAATACTCCTCAAAGAAGATGCTTACAATAAGAAACAACTTTATTTTAACTAGAACTAACTACCTATGAAACACCCGATTCCACAAAACATGTTCAATACCTTGCAATAGATACGAACTCTAATCATGAATTTTTGATGAGAACTAATAGATATAGACTTCAAATCCAAAAAATAGTGGCATACCAACACCGCATAGTAAACTACTTTTCTGTCTTTGAATATTTGTTTGTTTAAGATTTATTTAACACGATTGCTATAATTACATTCTTCTAAAAAACTAAACACACATACAGACATTCAGAAAAAAAACAAAATTTGCATCTCTAAGTATTTTTATTGTCCATGAAATATTCCTTTAATTTTCTTTTAAATATCTTTAAACTACAAGTAGACTTTATATCATTATTTAGTTTATTAAATTCCAGTAATCCTTTCTGAAATATTGATTTGCTAGTTATATTACTATTGCAATTTTGTAAATGAAAATCTATATTTGCTCTTGTATAATAATTGTGGTAATGAGTATTCAGTTCTATGGCAAAAGGTGATTTTTTATTTTAAATATAAAAATAAGAACCAAATATGATATGAAACTTTTTATATTCAACCACCACTGCAACTCTTGTAACATAGATTTTATTTTGGTGTACTTATTATATTTATTCAATATGATTCTCATAGCTTTATTGTGGAGGACTTGTAATTTTGAGAATACAGCTTCATTAGCAGTGAACAAGATAGTTGAACAATATAGTAAATGCGGTAGAATAATTGTATTATGAACTGTTTTCTTGGAATAGGTACCAAGATAATGAGAAGCCCTATAAAAGTAATTTGTTTTTTGAAATAATGTATTCATAGTGATCCTCAAACTTTAGTTTACTATCAATATATATACCTAAATATTTAATTGATTCAACATTTTCAATTATTTCTCCATTTATCCTAACTGTAATAGTATTTTCATTTACTATTAGCATACATTTTGTTTTGGAGGTATTCAATTTTAGTTTATTTACTTTTAACCAATTTACGATTATTGCCAAGTCAGAATTTAGCATTTTATATATATTTTCATCTGATATGTATATAATCTAAAATATTACAAATGCCATTAATGTATAAAATAAATAGTAGTGGACCTAGTTTACTACCTTGTGGTATACCAACAGAAATATTTTTTGATCTTGATAATGTAGATCCAATTTTGCTTTTTTGACTTCTGTCAATTGAATAGTTTTGTGGAATTTTGAATACAGATCCTTTGATTAGATAATGCAGCAATTTTCTGGATTTATTTTCTGATTGTGATCAGAAGAATATTGTATTGCGCATTCCTCCAACAGGCCCGAATGCCCCCCGTTCAGGTCCCTGCAGACAACTTCTATCCTGTGATAGTATTTTCATTTAGGTATTTCCCTATTAGCATACATTTTGTTTTAGAAGTATTCAATTTTAGTTTATTAACATTTAACTAATTTTAGGTCTAAACATGTCGCTGTCGACCGAAGACCAATGATACAAGCGCACTCCAACGGTGTCCAAATATCAATATTCCCCGATCTTCAAGATGTATACCTCAGCTACAAGGACTACACCACTGTCAATGATGCTCAATGGCATCACATCGCTATAGTCTGGGACGGAGAGAATGGCGGCGAATTGAAACTAGTCACTGAAGGTTTGATTGCCACCAAGGTTGAAGGATATGGAAGCGGTAGAAAGTTGCCAGAATAGTAAGTAGTGTCATGAGATAGACCTGTTAAGATACCATTAGACGCAATCATTTAAGCTACTGTATGAAACTTTAACATCTCCATATTCAAAGTTTATTTGCAAATGGCCACATGTCTTCAATTCAATTCTATCAACTTTATTGTACTGTACAGTTACAAATGGCGAAGGCCAATGGCCATTAATACCCTACCATACTATAACCAAGTATTGACTATCGAATAATCAATGTCTCATTCCAGTGGCTGGGTGACGCTTGGTAAACCGCAATCCGGAAATCCAAAGGCATACACCGAGTCTGGATTCCAAGGACATTTGACCAAGGTCCAGATTTGGGGACGTGCACTGGACATCACAAACGAAATACAGAAGCAAGTTAGAGATTGTAGGACAGAGCCTGTTTTATATAGAAGCCTCATCCTCACTTGGGCTGGTTATGAAGACACTGTGGGAGGAGTTGAAAGAGTTGTGCCTTCACACTGTGGACAAAGGAAGTGTCCCGCTGGTTATAAGGTAAAGTTACTATAGACTAAATACTATAAACTCATGGACAAATAACGTATTATAATAGCATAGTCAAGAAATGAAGCACTTACAGATATACGATTTTCGATTACTTGGGTAAATCTTGTGGGCAACCTAAAAAGAAGGAAAACGGGTAAAATCACCATCCTTATACAATTATCTGATCAACAGCCAAAAAATATCCTAAATAAAATCAACAAAATATTAGTGTTTTTAATGTGCTAAAACCGGAATGAAACTTATTTTTTCAATATTAGTTCAAGTTTTAGAGATACGGTAATTATACGTTTTCCTGCTGTGACAGTGTTAATATACTGTAATTCACAAGAATGCACGTGCTACATTTTTATATTCGGCAAGAAAAGATGATGTAATCGGCATGATTGTGTTACGTTATACATACGTGTACATTATATTGTTTTATATTAGCCATTTTTTCCTCAGTTGGCTGACAGCGTTCATGCAAGATGTCTCGAAAGTGTGTAAACAATCCAGATCAGTTTTGTTACGTGTGTGGTGATGTGACTTTTGCGTTTCAGAGACGGTCTATTACTCCACTAATAAGAAAGGCATATCAGCTTTATTTCGGTTATAAACTAGGTGATCAAGACAAACAGTGGGCACCCCACATCTGCTGTAATACATGTGCTTCAAGTCTGAGGAACTGGTTAAATGGCAAAAAACGGTCTATGCGCTTTGCTGTTCCAATGGTTTGGCGAGAGCCTACAAATCATATTAATGATTGTTACTTTTGCATGGTACCTTGTGTTGGACAAGCCACAGGTATGTCCAAGAAAAAAAAATCGGTTATTAACTACCCAAACATACCATCTGCGATGAGACCTGTGCCTCACAGTGACGAAAATCCTATTCCAAAACCCCCAGAATCCTACACTTGCGAATCAGAAAACGAATCAGATCATGGCGATCGAGTGATTCGTCAGGAAGAAGATATTCCATCAACGTCAAGAGATCCTGATTTTATACCGAGCACGTCATGCCACCAACCGCACAAAATAACACAGTCAGAATTATATGATCTTGTAAGAGATTTAGAACTTCCAAAATGTAAGGCAGAGTTACTTGGATCAAGACTGCAGCAGTGGAACTTGTTAGAAGACGATGTTTCGGTATGTGTTTTTCGTAAACGCCACAAAGACTTAGAACCATTTTTCAATATGGAGAATAACTTGGTTTTCTGCAGTAACATTAACGGCTTACTGGCGGCTTTAAATATAACCTATAACCCAGAAGAATGGAGATTGTTTATAGACAGTTCAACATTGAGTTTAAAGGCAGTGTTATTGCATATTGGAAATATTTTACCATCTCTTCCTGTAGGGTATGCAGTTCACATGAAAGAATCATATGACAATATGAAGTACCTATTGACATGTATAAAATACGATGAGCACCAATGGCATATTTGTGGCGATTTGAAAGTTGTTGCACTTTTACTTGGGCTGCAGCTAGGCTACACAAAGTTTTGCTGTTTTTTGTGTGAATGGGACAGTCGGGCAAAGGCACTTCATTACACCAGACAAAACTGGCCTGTTCGTCAATTCCTAGAGCCCGGCCAAAAAATGTGCAGCATATGCCATTAGTAGATTCGAAAAAAAAATTATGGGGCCTAATGAAAAACTTTGTCGAGGCATTAGATAGAGATGGGTCAGCTTTTCAATACCTGCGTTAGAAATTTCCAAGACTAAGTGAGGCAAAGGTTAAAGAAGGTATTTTTGTTGGGCCACAGATTCGAAATATTTTGAAAGATACACAGTTTGAAAACACTTTAACAGGTATTGAAAAAACTGCTTGGAATGATTTCCTACACTCACACCTGGACTTTTTTCCTGACAATTGCGGAGCCGTAAGTGATGAGCACGGCGAACGTTTTCATCAGGATATTTCAACAATGGAAAAAAGGTAGCAGGGAAAGTGGAATCCTTCCATGCTTGCAGACTACTGTTGGACTCTTGGTAGAGATGCTCCAGAAACGATCCATAAAAGAACAGCAAAAAGACAGCGCATATAGTGATTCTTATAAGTATATGAATCTTGTTACTTTTTTTAATATATCCTTAAAAATAAAAAGTTTTTTTTCTAAACCGCAACTAATTTTTTTATTTCATTGTCATTTTTGGATTCAGCGCCCCAAAATTAACAAAGAAGTGCACTTGTCCCACAAGATACAATTAAAAAACTAAAATTTGTTGTCCAGTGTTATGTATTCCTTCTATCTTTATTTTCTATTGACACCTTACTAACATTTTAATCGTTTTCTAGGGTACCCAATGCGAGGAACTAGAAGTAGACAAGGTAAAACCTAAAGTCGAATACTGTCCTGGAGACTTGTGGGTGATCACAAAGAACGGATCCGCACTGGTTGTGTGGGATGAACCTCACTTCAGTGACAATGTCGGAGTTACGAAGGTTCAAGAGAAGAGTGGACACCGTCCCGGTCAAACGCTCCTGTGGGGAATATACCAAATAGCGTACGTAGCTTCGGATGAAGCTGGCAACAGTGCTACTTGCACATTCAAGGTGTCTGTACTAGGTATGTACCAAGACTAACAGGCAGGCTTTGTAAGCCAGAGCTTCCAAGTTTCTTTATTGGTGGCGTTTAATCAATTATCTGTATTATGCTATTACTCATACAGTTCTTTTTGAAAAGATCCCCCCCAGCTTATTTTTTGAGCGAAGTTAAATAATGAAACTGATCCACGAATATGTTTTACCATAAAAGTGGTACTAAATAATTTCAAGATGGTGACTGGGCGCGTGTTACCTTATTTTGAAGCTCCTAGAATATAAAATCACTATCTTTCAGAATGGGATTCTGGCAGGCTGTCAATTTTTTTGTACATCGGGTCGCATACAGCTCAATAACCAATCATCAAAACGAGATAATGTTTTATCACCGATCTTCTACTTTCTATGCAAATATGTAACAAAATATGAACAAATTTTGCAAAATTTGTCATTTTTTAAGACGAAGTGGATATTTTATCATACATTCAAGTAGAACTTTCCAAAAGAAAAGGATTGATGTAGCACACTATAACGTTTTGACTTAATTTGGTGAGATTCAACATTATATAAACTTTTAACTTTGATAGTCTACCAGTCCGTCAATTTAGTAGTAGTAGTAGTAGTAGTAGTAGAAAGATTTATTTAGCACTTTTGGCTACATAAACAGAACAATTGTAAACAACTTAGAACTAGTAAATTCAAGCCATATGGTGTATGATGTAAATGCTGGGCAACCTATAATTGTAGATTTAACAAGTGATTTCTCAATTTTACTTTAAATTTTGTCAAAGTTTTCTGGTCTTTTATCTCTGAGTATAATTTATTATATTCAATCAACCCTTGATGGAATACAGATTTGTAGCATATGTTATACTTTTTGGTCATTGAATGGAAGTCATCTTTATTTCTGGTATTATGTAAATGATGGTCGACATTCGATGATGTTAAATTAGTTAGACTTGATGGAAATATATTATTTTTTACTTTATAAATGAATATCATTACAAGATATTTGATAATTTGCTAAGCATTTGCCTAATTGAAGTATATTTATATTTATTTAGTATTATTATCATGCACTTATTTTGTAAAATTTGCAGTCTTTCAAAAATGGAATTATTTGCTAAATATAGAATAGTCGTACAAGAAATTTGGAAGAATGATGGTATTATAGATAATTTTTCTGCTATATGAACTCAGACATCCAGAAACTCTGGATAAATATCCAACTTTACTACTAATCTTATTTATAACTTTTTCATAATGAATATCAAAAATTAATCGAGAGTCAACAAAAACCCCCAGGTATTTAACATTTTCTACGAATTCAATATCTTCACCATCAATATTCAGTTGAACATTTGTACATTGTTTTTTCTTATTAACAAGGCTTTCGTTTTACTTGTATTTAATTTTAGTCTGTTAGATGCTAACCATTTTGAGACAAGTTTCAAGTCTTCATTTATATAAGAGATACCAGTCTGAATATTTTTAGTACTTATATAAATCATAGTGTCATCGGCAAAATCTGAATTTTGCATTTTTTGACTATGGCAGGTAAATCATTTATGTATAAAATAAAAAGAAGTGGTCCCAGGATACTGCCCTGTGGAACACCCAACCTATTTTCAATTTTTGATGAAATAGACAAATCATTTCTAAACCAATCCAAAACACTTCCTGTTATACCATATGCCTTCAATTTACCTAACAAAATATCTCTATCAATCGTTTCAAATGCCCTCTTCAAATCCAAAAATACTGCTATGACAACTTCTTCTGAGTCTATGGCTCTTCTCCAATTCTCAGTTAAAAACTGGAATGCCGTTTCTGTAGAATATTTTTTTCGAAATTTGGCTGACGTTGATTCTATATTCTAGTATTATACTCGTAAGGAGATTTAAAAAAGTACTACGTGGCTCGTCATTCCATTTAAACGAAACAAATTGGCGCCTGGTCGTCGTGTAAGAAATTTTTAACTATTATTTTTACGTTAAAATATGTTATGTATGCCTCAACTTCACCATCCCGCATTTCAACTCACTAACTTAACCCTTTCAAAAAATAAGTAGGGAGGGGGATCTTACTGAAAAGTAGTACACGTCCCATAAGTAATGAGAAATAATTTACAGGGTTGATAAACTTGTTTTATTTTTTTTTAATTTTGGCAATACATTTAGCACTAATTCTTCGTTTTTAACGAAATTTGGCATATGAGGGCTTTTTATATCTCAAATCTTAAAATTTACCTTTTTTCAAATTATCTTATAGAGGGTTCCACCAGAAACATTTTCTGTCTTTTTAAGCTTTGTAACTTTCTTGCGCTTGTTATAATTTAATTTTATATTCAAAATATGCATTGTGCAATCATGTTTGCTTAAAAATGATATTCGTTAAAAATCTCGCTACGATTCACCCTGTTCGAGATATTTACATTTAAATCTGTCAATGCACTCAACAAAAAAAAATCACATCCATAAACTTTGTTTAAGATTTATTTAGCATGATTGCTACAATTACATTCTTCTAAGAAACTAAACAATTACATAACATACAGACATTCAGAAAAAAACAAAATTTGCATCTCAAAGAATTTTCATTGTCCATGAAATAGTTCTTTAATTTTCTTTTAAATATATTTAAATTACAAGTAGACTTTATATCATTATTTAGTTCATTAAATTCGAGTAATCCTTTCCGAAATATTGATTTGCTAGTTATATTACTATTGCAATTTTGTAAAAGAGAATCTATATTTTCTCTTGTATAATAATTGTGGTAATGATTATTCAATTCTATGTAGTGTCCTAAATGTTCTGGCAAAATATGATTTTTTATTTTAAATATAAAAATAAAAACCAAGTATGATATGACATTTTTTATATTCAACCACTGCAATTCTTGTAACACAGATTTTATTTTGGTGTACTTATTTTTATCCAATAGTATTCTCATAGCTTTATTTTGCAAGACTTGTCATTTTGAGAATACAGCTTCATTGGCAGTGAACAAGGTTCTGGAAAATATACTAAGTGACATATAAATCCGAACACCCAGTTTAAATGGTTTTATTTTAATAAAATTTTGTATAAGTACTTAATGAAGCATAATAAGTAAATGATAAAAATTTCAAAATGATTGCACTGCTTTAAAGTCCTTTGACCTTTAATAATGTGTGGATGCACCCTGATGTGCTACGCATTCTCCAACGCGCCTAGGCATGCTTCTGATCAGGTGGTCAATGTCCTCCTGTGGTATCTCATTCCAGGCAACCACCAACTCCTCTCGAAGTGCTTCTAGAGTCTGAGGAGGACGTTGCAAATTGAGCAATCTCCTACCCATCATATCCCACACGTGCTCAATTGGGGATAAGTCGGGAGAGCTTGGTGGCCATGGTAACAATGTGACATCATTATGTTGAAAGAAGTCTATTGTGACTCTTGCAACATGTGGTCGGGCATTATCTTGTTGGAAAGTTGAATCTGCCAGGGCGTCAAGATAGGGTAAAAGATGGGGTTCTAGAACTTCGTGGATATAACGCTGCGCGTTCATGTTACCTCTGATGAAGATTAAAGGTGACCTGGAACCATAAGCTATAGCACCCCAAACCATAACTCCAACAGTGTGATGAACATTTCTTTCAACAAAAAACTGTGGATTCCTCCTTTCACCACGTCGCCTTCTAACCCTGGCACGACCATCGTGCATGCCTAAACAAAATCGAGACTCGTCACTAAAGACAATACTGTTCCATTCCTGATCCCAGAGTGACCGTTGTCTGAACCACCCAAGGCGATTACGTCGGTGTTCTCGAGTTAAAGGGAGGACCCAGTGTGGCCGGTATGAAAACAAGCCAAAACTTCTCATTCGTCGGTAAACACTTCGCATGCCAATAGGTCTTCCGTGTTCTGCAAACCATTCATTTGCAATGGACCTGGTAGTGGAGAAACGGTCCCTTAAGGCCAATAATCTTAGGCGGCGATCTTCACGGTCTGTTGTTCTACGGCGGCGTCCAGTGCCCCTTGCTCTTTACGTACGGCCTTCTCGAAGCCATGCCTGACAACACCTAACCACTGTGTACACTTCTTTGCACTCTAACTGCAATTGCCCGAAAAGAAAGTCCAGCTTCAAGAAGTCCCACTATTCGGCCCCTATCAAACTCACTAAGTTGACGAAATCGTACAGGTCTCCGTACTCTAGGCATCGTAACCGATCGTAAAAGATGTCAAGAACCAAAATCCGCCAACGTTGATTCTTTACTGCGACTGAAATATTCATTTTTAGAGCGTTAGTGAATTAAAAAAAAGCAGTATAAAAACCGGAATGTCCAACTGATAAGGCTGATAATTTTTTCACTTGTTATTTACAGTAAGATAAATACATTCACCAACTTTTATTAAAATAAAACCATTTAAGCTGGGTGTTCGGATTTATATGTCACTTAGTATAGTTGAACAATATAGTAAATGCGGTAGAATAATTAATTGTATTATAAACTATTTTCTTGGAATAGGTACCAAGACTATGAGAAGCCCTATAAAAGTAATTTGTTTTTTGGCAATTTTTGAAATAATGTATTCATAGTGATCCTCAAATTTTAGTTTACTATCAATATATATATACCTAAATATTTAATTGATTCAACCTTTTCAATTATAAACTATTTAAATTCCTTTATTATACTTCGAATGACTGATAAAATACAAGCGATAAATCAACTTAAAATTTCTCTCAACACATTTTATAATTCTTTTAATGAAAGGTCGCCGAATACTGAAAAATAATTGCTCATTTCGACGTGATTCAGCGGCATTTTGAATTTTTGTCATTAATTCTTCTCTTGTGTTTACTGTATTTTCGTGAAAAATTGATCCCCATACGCAAAAATCTAATAGGTTAAAGTCTGGACGTGTGGGCTAAGGTCTTCGACTTCCACGTCCTATCCAGTTAAAATTAGCGTCAATAGTTCATGTCTAGGCATCTTAAACTAAAGTGATGAATACACAATGAACACTGGCACTAATACTAAAAGTACGCAATAAAACGTAATAGATTACGGCACTAAAAAAGTTTGAATTTTTATGACCACGCATCAAAGTAACTGACAAGAACGAAGTTTAAAAAAAAGAAAATGCTGCTGGTGGAGAAATAATTTGAAAAAAAGGTGCATTTTTAGAATTACCATATAAAAAAGCCTCATATGAAAAATTTTGTAAAAAACGAAGAATAAATGCTGAATGGCCAAAGCTCAAAAAGTTTGTCACCCTGTATCTTGGTTTCCTTTGACTTTCGGACTAAAAAAATTTAACTTGATCTCAATATTTCTTTGAAAGGAATCTGCTGTTAAATTATTTGGCATTACTTATGGGACATCCTGTATAATAGCTCAAACGGTAAACTATGTCCTAAACGGATACTATACTGAACTGATCAACTCATCTAACCTAATCTAACAAAACCTAGGTTATACAGAAAATTAGTAATATTTACCTGCACTATTTCTCAATATAAACTTATCGTGTACCACTACTAACGCGTGTGCGTTTGAGCGGATTTCAACGTATTCATAGACACATTACGTTAACCAGTGGCGTACGATGTTACTCTCTTCCGTTTTGGTATTTGACAACACGTGTCCTGCATTTGTCACTACTTTCGTAAATTTAAATTTTGCTAATTAACTTCTTTGTATCACGATTTTCGAATTGAGAGACTTTGTCCGACCGGATATTTAATATTTTGTATTTTAGCCGAGTTCTGCCCCGAGCTTCCCGATCCCCTTGGTGGAACCCAAACCTGCAAAGATTGGGGCGCAGGTGGGCAATTCAAGGTATGTGAAATCGCCTGCAATCCCGGACTGAAATTCTCCCAAGAAATTCCTCTATTCTACACCTGTGGAGCTGAAGGATTCTGGAAACCAACCAAAGATCCCAACCTACCTCTGGTATACCCTGCCTGCTCTCGTAAGTATAACCTTTAATAGCAACTTTTCGATGGACACTTCGATATAATTCGACGCTTCTATAAAGTTCCACGCTTATAAATTGTAAAAGGTGTACCTCCACTCTTTGTGTGGTGCTGCGAGTACTTTCATTGGGTGGTTAGAATGCTTCGAGTACTTTAACAGGTACTTCAAGTATTTTTTCAGTGCCCCTTGAGAAGGAAACGACTCATCTACAGAACATGCTGATTCTTTTATTCCTGTCTGTCTGCTGTGAAAACAAACCATCAGACTTTGTTAACATTTTCAGCTGCCAAACCCGCTCAAAGGGTCTTCAGAATATCGATGCTGTTCCCAAGCTCAGTGCTGTGTAATGAAGCAGGTCAAGGGGTACTAAAACAAAGGGTCCGCAATGCAGTGAACTCACTGAACAGAGACTGGAACTTCTGTTCATTCTCCTTGGAGGGAACGAGAGAGTGCAGAGAGCTCAATATTGATGTCAAATGCGACCATAAGGCTGGAAGACAAAGGAGGCAAGTCAGCGAAGAGGACGATGGCGGTACTTATGTCATCGATGCTAGCGTACCTGTCAACAAGTATGTTTCATTTCTTCATTACTTTAGAATTTTAGTTTCAGTAGAGGAGAAATATATACACTGGTCAGCGTTTTGGTAATACATTTAATTGAAACATCGTTAGAAAGCACCTAATTAAGATTTATAAGAAGAGGTTGGACTTTTCATATCCACGTTGTAATTCGTTGTTATGTGTTCCAAAAGGCCAAATGTTCCACTTAAGAATGTTATTAAACACCGACACAGAATTTGAACTATAACGTATCGACTTTTGAATCCGCAATGGCCAGAGAAGAGTCCAACCATTAATCAGCATATTTAACCAGATGGAATCCAATTAAAATCCATGCCTGCTCAAAAATATACCTGTCTAAACAACCGAGCAATAAGGCAGAAGCATATAAATATGTATACCAAAGGCTAAGACTGGTGTTCTTCTGTTCGCCAAGTTTTCACTGACATGACCATAGACTTATTTTGTTTTACACATACGTATACCGCATGGTACATTGATTCATACTGTTTGGTTATCAGTTGTCACTGTCTGTCATAGATTAGTGTTTGTCATAGCCATAGTATTGCATGACTTAGATGATTAGTTTGAATGTGTAGTAGTGGCATGTGTTCCATCTTATTGTAGAAAGCCCCGCCAAGGAAGACAATCGTCCAGTGGCACCTACGATGTTGAAATCGCCTTCCCAGCGATAAAGTAAGCACGTGTTTTAATCTTTGCTCAGTTAACTAAAACGTTCGCAATATTCACTAATAACAAACTCTGTGACTAACATATCTTTTTTGCTGGATTGCTTAACACCTAGATCATTCTCATTTGATTGTTGAACTACAAGGTTGTGGTAAACGTGAAGTACAGAAGTAGGGCGAGACGTAACATGCAAAATTTAGCACAAATTTTTTTGTTTGGTTCCCTTCTTTTACATTTTGCTGACACTAAGATATTTTAATTAACGATATGATAGTTGGGATGACGTAAGTATTAGTACTACAAAGATGTAGCTTCATCGAGATTCCCAACAAAATGACGTAACTCCATTATAATCATGATCCGCTTAACTAATGGCATATTCAGAGTTTTACGTTCAGCTTCTATTTTTTAATTAGGTTTTAGGCAAATACCACATATTGTTGGATGCCAAAGTTTTGTTCATTGTTTTTGCATTCCATTTTTCCAAAGAAGTGGTTATCCAGCAGACCCCATAAAATCTATTGAAGCTCATCGTAAAACCTGCATGCTAACATCGTGCCAATAACCAAGTTTCAACATGGTAGCGAGATATGATTTTATAAGAGAGTATTTTCATATACGTTTAAACGTATGTATTTCCTACTGGATATAAATAAAGACAGTCTGATCAAAAAATATGAATATAGTTGAAAATTTTGAAAAACGATAATCTTTGGAGCTTATACATTGCCAAAAAATGAAAAAAGTTCACAGAAGACAAGTATTTCACTATAGAAATAATTCAAAATAACTTTGAAATCATATCTAGCAAGTTGTTGTGAGGTGGACTATTTTAGAAAACACTTTATTCTGTTCTTAGCGATCCTGTTGTAAACCTAAATACAAACGAAAGATCAACTGTGAAGGTTCTATTAGAGAAGCTTATCTTGGAAGAGGACCAGTTTGATGTAAGAGATGTTCTACCAAACACAGTGCCTGATCCATCCTCTCTTGAACTAAAATCGGACTATGCCTGCCCCATTGGACAAGTTGTAGTCGACTCTGATTGCGGTAAGTTTATCTGTGACAGAAATAGCAGATGTTATTTATTATTCTTTTGAGACAAAAATCCACGTAATTGACTAAAAGGTGAAAGCCACCGTACAACTGATGTTTCTAGCCAAAGTGGCCATAAAAGTTTCGGGGAGAGATTCTAGGTACTATCTAGAATGGAACTGTGGTCCTACTACTCTGTGGTACACTATGTGATTCGAACTGTTTATAAGATTTTTACAGTTCTTCCTTTGTAGCCTTTTTTCGTAATTTTATCCAATACACAACCGATGAGAAAACTGTTATTTTTAGTGCCTTGCGCTATTGGAACATACTACGACAAAGCGACCAGGACTTGCATGGCTTGCAAACAAGGTTTCTACCAGAGTGAGTCAGGCCAAACTCAATGCCGCAAATGTCCAGAAATCTCCGGAAGACCTGGTGTGACCATCGGAGAAGGATCTCGCAGCGCTGCAGACTGCAAAGGTAAGTTGTTGATGTTGTTGAAGATTTATTTAGCATTATGTCAATTTTGTATAATGATTCGGTCATATATTTTTCTTCTATGCATTTTCTGTAATTTTACATTCTGGTCTATTAAAATTAAAATTACGTCACTACGTATTTTGATTATTCATAAAGTGATTTTTTAATTTTATCTTAAACATTTTTAAATTCGAACTTTGTTTAATATCATTATTCAATTTATAAAATTCAAATACTCCCTTTTAAAATATAGATTTACTAGATATGCTACTATCGTAACAGCTTAATGCTACACGTTCAGTGTTTACTGTGATCAGTTTTGTGATGTACCTGCCTTTGTCAATGGATTTCTACGTAACCCTATTCATCAATACACTCTATGTGAAATATTCGAAGTACAGGATTCCCCTTACTGGTAGTATGAATCATAGTCGACAATGAGTTTTTTTTTGCAAATCATCGGGCACACGACACGCTTAGCAGCAATGACAAATGTGGATTCATCGACTCTTCAAGTATTTCAAATGATGAAGTAGTCTTACTTTTTTATGCTTCTTCAATTCCATATGGTCGGTTTTCAGACAATATAAAAATAAACATCATTACTACGAAACCACAGATAGACGGGAGCGCGCAGGATTTTTTCTCAGAGGGAACCGATCATCGGCAAGAGATAGCTTTCTGTACAAGTGTACCTGCTCCGAAACTTTTTTAAGTGCAGGCGGTAGCAAAATTTCTCAGGGGGGAGGGAATCTTAACAATCACCAAATTTGAACTCAAAATTATGCTAAAGGTGCAGATTGTAAGGTCCGACCGCTTTTCACGGGAGCAACTTTCTCGCAAATACCCACGTAATTTTTATATGAAGTATAATAAAACTCACAAACACATGTCAATACGATATACAGGGTGCTCCTTAATGATATGCGAATATTTAAGGGTGTGAATCTAGATGAAAAATTAATGATAGTTTGCTCTATAAACTATGGTCCAAAAATGTTTCGGATTTATCACCAGAGATATCCCGATCGTGCTTTGCCAGATAGTCGAACCTTTTCTAATATTCATCGTCGTCTTGTTGAAACTGGTTCTGTCCGAAAAGGAACATCTGAAGGCAGACCTCTAAGTGTGAGAACACCTGAAATTGAAGAAGCAGTGCTGCACGAAGTCGAAGAACATCTTGAAACGAGTACGAGGAAGACCGCTAGACACTTAAATATTTGCCATCAAATTGTTTGGAGAATTTTAGTGGATTTTTTGTTATATCCTTACCATAATTTAAAAGTACAGGCATTACTTCCCATTGATTTTCCAAGTTTTCCAAGCCGTGTGACCTTTTGTCAGTAGTATCTTCAAAAAATTACACAACATCCGCAATTTGAATCAATGATTCTGTTCACGGACGAAGCTAATTTTTCTCGAAATGCCATTCAGGATTTCTACAATAATCATTTGTGGGCAGAAGCAAATCTCTATGCCGTAACAGAAATCCATTTCCAACACCGATTTTCGGTTAACGTATGGGCAGGAATTATTGGCAACCACTTTATTGGCCCATTCTTCTTACTGGGACGACTTGACGGACAGACTTACCTCAATTTTCTTCAACAGTTGCCTTTGCTGCTTGATGATGTTCCGTTAGTAATAAGAAACAATATGTGGTACATGCACGATGGTGCACCAGTACATTCCACCGCATTTTTGGACCATAGTTTATAAAGCAAACTTTAATATTCGCATATCATTAAGCAACACCCTGTATATGTATGTCAACAGTTTCAAGCATATGTCCACAATTTTCGGCCCAATAGTTCCCATCATATCCTTGTTAACTATAACAGTAGATATGCTAGGCTGATTCTGGACCAAAAATGTAGAAAATGCACAGTTTGTACTTCGCGTGGCTCAGATATTCGATCAAATTTAGAAATTTTGATCCAGGCTTATCCTAAGTTATATAATTAAATTTTCATTCCAATTTCTAGAACGTTGTCCTGCCGGAAGGTACTACGACCACGACACCAGCATGTGCAAAAGCTGCGGTCATGGATTCTACCAACCCGAAGAAGGTTCCTTCTCGTGCCATATTTGCGGCCTTGGCAAAACCACAAGGACTAATGAGGCAGTATCTCAGAAGGAATGTCGCGACGAGTGTGGAAGTGGAATGCAGTTAGCTTTGGACGGAAAGTGTGAACCTTGTCCTCGAGGCACTTTCAGGTAAACACTCCACTCAAATACTTTAGATTTTAGAGAATTGTAGTGTGGCTTGCTAGGCAATTATATGTCACTATCAATGCGTGGAGACGATAGAAGGAAAATGTTTGATTATACATTTTTAGTCATGTCTCCAAGTGTGTGTGTGTTAGTGTGTGCATGTGCTATATACCTGCAATATAATCGTCCTGAAACCTTACTAGGGATGTTCATTGTTCTTCTATCTATTTGTTGGAAGAATTTGGAAAGAAATTATTCTTTTCGGATTCAATACTATTATCTTTGTCGATAAACGATTAATCAGGTTCATAATTTTATGACGAACTCTTTTTGTTCTGCAGGACTCAAGGTATCCAGGCTGCCTGTCAATCATGCCCTCTAGGACGCACTACAACCAAATCTGGAGCTGTGACGGAGGAAGAGTGCTCTTTGCCTGTCTGCAGTCCCGGAACATACCTCAACGGCACCTTGAACAGTTGCATACCTTGCAAGAAAGGCTTCTTCCAACCAGAATCTCAACAGACCACTTGTATACCATGTCCACCGAATACTAGTACCAAAGGAACAGCAGCGGTAAGTTGTTCATGGAATCGCTTAGTCGCTTAATCTAAGGCCCGTATCGTCAGTCGTCCCTACAATTGTAGGGCGCGTTTATGGCCTCCTTGATTGTCATACGCCTTTCTCTCCTTCAAAAATTTCTAGATTTCACTTGTCCCGTGTCAGCGTCAGCGCTCTCCTATTGTGAAGATATCTTTTCTTTTTAAATTGTAGGAAATTTCAGGCTGATAAAACATGATATAACTCAAAAGCAAGCACAATTTGATGCAAATAGATGTTTGTGACATAACCTCAAAATAGAGTTCTGACACGGAGAAGTAGAAAACTATGACAATCAAGGAGGCCACAGAGGCGCCCTACAATTGTAGGGACGACTGACGATATGGGCCTAAGCCTCAGATCTCAAAAACCCTGTACCATTTTTGAAAGAACTGGTAGGGATCAAATTTGTTATTTTTTAGTACCATCTATTTATTTTTCAACAGGAGTCAGCAAGTTAGTATGAAAGTGGTAGGTGAAATATTGATGATGGATAGCATCTTGATTTTTTAAATGAACTAGGTTATTACTAAGCTCCTAATAAGTACTTTGTAAGCCCGTAATGTAGGATTATCAAGAACTTATGAAGAGCTGCAAAAGGATCTACCACCACAGGACCCTTAATCCATTTAATCACTTTTGTGTTCATTCATTATGTGCATTCCGCATCAGGTTCATCAATCAGAATTTCAACTTGGTAATTTGACCCATTCAATATGTCGGTTACGGACAATGACGATAATTGGACATTGACGTTAATGGCCGGACATTGACGTGAACGCCTATTGCGGTCGGGCAATGTTATTATACCCATTTTAACTTATTTGTCGGACCAAAATGATAGATAATGCTAATATCAAAATGAACGGGTGAAAAATGTTAAGCATGTTCGCGGTAATGGAAAAATATGGCTTGCTTCAACATCAGTTCATCAAGAATTATTCGGCACAAGTTGTCCTCTCTGAAAAAAATTTAATTGCGAGCAAGTATGACAAGAAAATCAAACGGATCAAGTCATTCAAACAGGTCCATACAATTAGTCCATAGACATTGCCTACCGGTAGTGTCGTCGATCTGGCAACGTCGCCTCTTCCCATACCTGACCGTGCCACGCGTCAGACGCGGCACGCATGTCGGTGAACCCATAGAGTAGAAGCAGGGGCACGTATCGAAAGCATTTCTCTATCATTAGAAGGGCAAATGCACGGGGAAGTATATATGACGTGAAATATGTCAAACAATTCATATATAGTCTCCTCGACCCTCTACAACGGCCTACACCACAATTTTTACCTTTCAAAAATAATAAGCATACTCTGAAACGTCAAAAAGGGCCAAGGATTAGCGGACAGACAGGCAAACCGACAGACAGGTCAACGGAAATAATAAAATCCAAAACACAGAATATCTTATTTTCGAAATTTGTCGCATTACAATACTTGCTCGCCAGTAGGTGTGGGAAGTAAATGAAATTTAAAAGAACATCCAATGCATATTAAAACCTGGAATCTGTAGATTTCACTTCCTTGATCTCAGCGATATATTCATCAACGTTAAAAAACGATTTGTCATCGCGTATAATGACACCAGTCCTTCTCGTAAAATAGAGCATATTCCATGAGAATATTGATGTTTGGATAGTATTATCACCTTACATTAATTCACCTGTACCCTATTTCACGAGTATCCATCACGCTTTGACGTCTACTGAGGTGAACAGCTGATCAGCAGGTAACATTTTTGTGTGACTCTGCGACGTTGGCAATAATGAATCGGGTGTAAATCTAGTAAAACTTGTTTGTAGCGTTTTGTTCTTTGTATGCAAATGAACTTCTAAATGAAAGAGTTGTTAGCAAGTACAAAATGAATCGCACAAAAAAACAAAACAAAATACGGCTCTGACTACCTAACTTTGACGGATCCATCAGTATTATGTGTCCTGTGCCGATATGGGGAATTTTGACATATTACCAAATATATAATAATCCGCTGTCATTCTACCGTGACAGATACTCGAATAGGTTATATAACTGTGTCTGCGAGTAATACAAAAAACATAACCACACATTGTGCGTAACATAACCTTACATTCTCTTATATCATCATTGCCCGGCCATTAATGTCAATGCCCGGAATATCGTCATTACCCGTAACATATAGGTATATAGTCAGATGCTGACTTATGAAATTTTTAATGAGAAAACGTTTCAATTCCAGACAAGCAAAGCAGAATGCACGAATCCCTGCGAAGTACAGGGCGGCGCTCGCATGCACTGCGACCCGAACGCATACTGCCTGCTCATCCCGGAGACGTCCGAGTTCCGGTGCGAGTGTAAACCCGGCTTTAACGGCACCGGCTCCGAATGCTTCGACGTGTGCGACGGTTTCTGCGACAACGACGGCGTGTGCGTAAAAGACGCGCGCGGCACACCGTCTTGCAGGTGTATAGGCAGCTTTACCGGCAGGCACTGCACGGAGAAATCGGAATTCGCGTACATCGCTGGAGGAATCGCCGCGTCTGTGATACTGCTTATCTTCATCATATTGCTGATATGGATGATTTGTGCCAGGTAAGTTTTGCCGAAATTTCTGATCCTAAGAGCGCACTGGCAATAAAGAGTATTTTTTATACTGAAGCAGCCGTGTAATCTGACACCGAGGCACCGCGATTGCTATTAGGAACTTAATCTTATTTTTGAACTGCGAAACTGGAAAATACGTCCTCAGGCAGATTGTTCCACCATCTCGACACCTTAGGAACAAAAGAGCGGTCGTACTATCCGGTTGTGGATTGACGAAGTTAGACAGTGTTGGGTGCCAGAAGCCAGGGGCGTCCGTCTGGCAGGCTCAACGCTCAGCGGCATCATGGAGAAGAGCTCTGATGAGCAAATCCCGTTGACTTAGCGGTAGAACAAAGCAAGGTCGCCGATCACCCGTCGGTGCCAAAGGGTTCCAAGACTCTCCATTAGAGAAGTGGCATCGATCGAAGGAACAGCCCTTCTCTGAACGGAGTCGAGTATGGTCAATGTAGTCTTGGTGGTACAGTTGTGTAACGTAGCTAGGAGGTCTCCCGTTAGACTCTAAAAATATGAAACCACAGATCTAAAACAGTCTAGGAGTATTTCGACCACCGAGCTGGTTTCATTTGGCGACTATCAGAACATAGAAATTGAACAAATTAGTAATATATAGTGGATACCAAATAAAACCCGATGCACGTCATCGATCTGGAGCTGTGCGCTGTTGCCAGAATTTGCACATTTTCTTTTAAGCAAATAAATTTAATAAAATAAATTGTTTATATATACCTACCATTTACTATAATACCATTATATTAAAAATAAATAAACTTGTTGTAAAATTAAATTCCTTTCTGAATAAAAACACCTGATTTTGGTAGATATTCAATGATATGAGCTCTTTACACCGACTGTTAAGTTGTTTTGGCATTCTGGATACTTTACACCACTTCACAGTAACTGTTGTTCTGAAAAGAACAATTTTTAATTGGCAAGGCAACGATTCAAAGCTCAAATAGCGCAAAACTCACAAACTAAACAATAAAGAACTAATAGTACGACAAAATGACAATGGCAACTGATGTCAACAAATGAGAAATGGCAACCTCACATTTCTCTGCACGGCACTACCAACCGAATCGAGACGGGGAAATTTAAACTTCAAGTAGAAATGTCACATTGAATGTAGTCAACTGTTGGTAACCATGATTTTTATGAATGACATCACCTATGACGTGCATCGGATTTTATTTGGTATCCACTATGGCATAGTTTCGTTCATCAGACGACAGAAGGCCAACCATGGGTAGTTGTTTCGTGCTATTTGGCAACTCAGCAGTCGCGAGCGTGAGCTCAACATGCCTTAAAATACGTTTTTTTTGTCTCTGGAATCGAATCCGGGGAATATTCAGTCCGGAAATGCCTCGTTTTCGAGATACTGGAAAGAATTCAACTTTGTCAGAAAACGACTAATAAAAAATCTCTGAAAACTGTTGTTCGTCTAGACTTTGTCTCATTTAGGACAACGAACGACAGCTGAGCAACCATTCTCTATCCAGGATATAACCTAAATCACAGCACAAGTGCCACCTGTTACTAGAATCGACCACTGCGAGAGTCTGTTGGATCTGTACTCTAGTTCATATTGGACAGCCGAGTCACCACTGTGGCCGCTAGAGCCATCAACATAAGTGTTAGCAAGAAAATTTGTGGCCTCGCATGTCGTAGGTATCAACCAACGTCGCCACGGAGGCCAGCTGTAGCTATCTGCCGTAATTCTTCGTAAATGACTGTAGCTACAAATATGCTTGCTGGCTCTTGTTGTATTTCCCTTCCCATCCTGGTGTTCCTTCAGGTTACGTATTCAGATGTTAAGGGCATATGTTTTCACATGGATGTTTTTGATGCACATCCATTTAGGCCTGATGAAGCCAATAATCATAAACGTACTTCGCTCGGGTTACCAATCCTTAAATTTCTGCTCTTGTTCATTTATTACGGACATACCCACGATTGTCTTTTGTTAAGTGTCGCACGACAACATGGCAAGCTTAATTTTTATGATAATGTCGTTACTTGAGTTTTTGCTTACCATCATGTTTGTTCCATTCAATTTTGTAGAGCAAACCGTCGCAAAGAACCGAAGAAACTCCTGTCTCCCGCCACTGACGCAAACGGCTCCCAGGTGAACTTCTACTACGGCGCGCCAACACCGTACGCGGAAAGCATCGCGCCCAGTCACCATTCCACGTACGCCCACTACTACGACGATGAAGAAGACGGCTGGGAGATGCCTAACTTCTACAACGAGACGTACATGAAGGAGAGTTTGCACAATGGCAATGGATTGAATGGAGGCAAGATGAACAGTTTGGCGCGGTCCAACGCTAGTATCTATGGTACTAAGGACGATCTGTATGATCGGTTAAAGAGGCACGCCTATCCAGGCAAAAAAGGTAAATGAATGAAGCTCAAGCGGTCTTATAGACGAATTTGGTTATGAGGGGTTTTACGTATCTTGATAAGTGTTTTTTTTTACATTATTCAGGTTTTAGGTGACATTATGTAGGTTCTTCTACAAGATGCCACTTAGAACTAGCTGTTGATCACTTGATGTGCCCTCGTTCTATAGCTGTACGTGTTGCCTAAATGCCATGACGCTTCAGCTATCAATGTTTGACCCTGATGTGATGAAGAATCTGCTTCAGAGATGGCATTATCAGAGGTCTAAAGGCCGTATTGTCAGTCCTTCCTACAATAATTGTAGGGCGTGTTTATGGCCGCCTTGATTTTCATGGTATTTTCTCTCCTTCGGAAAGGCTGGGGTATTTCTAGATTTCCGCTGTTCCATGTCAGGGTCAGAGCTCTCCTATTGTGAAGCTATGTTATCTTTCTTAATTGTAGGACAGTTCACAAGCATGAACAATTTGATGCAATTAAATATTTGTAACATAACCTCAAAATAGCTGACACTGCAGAAAACTGTGTAGGAACGACTGACGATACGACCCTAAGGTATAAGTTATATACTATAGCTGGAAGAAAACGGTACATAGTGAGGATTTGTGTTCTAATAGACTGTGTTGATGTTAATTGCATTGGTTTCTTGACTCAAAAACACTTACTTGATATGTTTGCAAAGCTAGAAATTAGTTGCACATCCACTTTTTCTTATTCATCCTGGAAATTACATATGCAAATTTGCTAAATTTAAAAAATGGAAGAGCTAAGAAACGAAAATCGCTGGTTGTTAAAGTATATTACAACCAACTGGAGAGAAAATATGCCACATACAGGAATATTTATGAAAGGGGAAAAAGTTATTACATTCATTCATTAAAATTTTATAGAAATTTATTTTGCAATATCAAATAGAATATTCAAATCAGCGTCTACATGTGAGGCACTGAGAAAAGGTTTTGTGTCAAGCGTCAGTCCTGATGTTTCTATCATGTGGCTTAATTACACACAACGCAGGTGCGATGGTGATTTCCCGTAATACTACTCAAGGAGGAGTCTGTAGTGTTTATCATTGAGAAGATATGAAAGGAAGAAAGTTGGTTGAGTAGCAAGATGGCAGCTGAATGATTATGTGCATTGACCTGCATGTGTATGAAATCAGTGATATTTGCTATGTGAGAAAATTATTACTGAATATGCTGGCAATGAAGTATATCTGTTAGCTGTGCCCGACGGATTCTTTATATTGTCCTTTCTGGCGAGAGGTTGGCCCAAGTAAAGATAACAAGACCACGCAGGACATCTGTTGAAATATACTCTACTATACAATACTATCCGTAGCGAATTTTTTCCCGAAATCGGCACAATAATGTAATAACTTCTTTACGTTTCGTAAATATTCTGTAACATATTTTCTCACAAATTACTTGTAATATACTCCACCAACCAGGGATTTTCTTTTCTTATCTCTCTCATTGTTTAAATCCATCAAATTCGTATTTGTAATTTCCATAATGAATAAGAAAAGGTTGATGCGCAACTAATTTCTAGCAACTCAAGTAAGTGTATTTGAGGCAAGAAACCAATGGAAGTATCATCAACATAGATTATTAGCATACAAATCCTCACTATGCACCTATGCACTGCCTTCCTGCTATATTATACAACTTTCAGCTTAGACCTCTAATCTCTGAAGCAGATGTTACATCACACCAGAGCCAAACATTGATAGCTGAAGCATCAAGACGTTTAGGCAACACGTACAGCTACAAAACGAGTTCACAACAAGTTCTTAACAGCTAATGCTACATCTTGTAGGAAAAAAAATTATGTCACAAAGAACCTATAAATTGTCAAAAAAATCCGACAAAATGTCACTTTTTAAGACACGCCGGTCGTCTTATCGCTTTACTAGCACCAAAAGCAACATTTTCCAAAGAAACTCCGCATGAACAGAGGTGTGCTGCTCACACTCTTAGCCGTCAGTTATTGTTTAGTATATTTTATGACACGTAAAAGAATACTATTTCCTAATTCTTTTTTCCGATTTTCAGATAAAAGCGACAGCGACAGCGAAGGCCAATAAACGAACAAGTCTGGTCATACACTTACGATGCTCAAGCGGCACAACGAATGTCTAGTGACTATTTTTCATATTTTGTTGTTAATAACCAGTACCATAAATTGTTAAATTATGTTTAGTTAGTACCTTCTAAGTGATCAGAGACGATAACTGTGACTGTTGTATTATTTCGTTCGATATTCAATAGTGAAGTCAAGTCGACTATGTAGAACAGGAATTGAAGATATATCGAAACTATGTAACAAAACTGTTACATACCAATGTTGTATATACTTCTGTTAAAAAGATTATTTATGGACCTTTTTGTATGCGATAACTCAACATTGTTACTACCTTCTGCCCTTAAAAGATTTAAAATGATGGGCGTATATAAAATTATAATTCATCCCGAGTAAGTTTTCAAAATTACATTTCACAAAGCCGCTTCAGATTATCTGTGAAGTTACATTTTTGAAATATTTAGGATTTTTGAAAATCGGTTTAGTTGAAGGTCGATATTTTGGTAGCTTTTAAAGGATAGTTCTGTATCTGGAACAACATGAATGTGTTATATCATATGTCTTTAAGTTCTGATATTCAATATAACATTATTATCTAACATGTTTTGTTATATAGGATGCGCCTTTGTTTGCAATGGGTAGACAGTTGAATAGCATGACATATCGACAATCCAATTCAATGAGATATAGTTGAATGTTTTGTATTTGATTAATTCTTCATTTTCATGAGTTTATAATATACTATGATCATTAATTGGATTTGTTGCTATTCTCTTTTGTGTAGTCGATGTAACAAAAAAATTTTCTGGACTATCCGAAATATATTCACTCATCTAAGAATCTACTTGTTTAATTATGCTAGTAGTTGAAACTTATTTCTATATGAATTTAAAACAAGCATAATAATATCCGTAAAATGGAAAGCGACTATTGAAACGATTTTGACAGATTACAAATGTTCTCTTCAACTGTTTACCCCTGAATATTTTGTATATACCTCTGTATTCGTACTTGAATCTTCCGTGGAGATTAACCCTTAATTTATGCAATGAAAATAATTAACTCGTTTCCTTTTCGATTAAGTTGAAACTTCTACTGCCATTATTATAGAAAAGGGGTTTGTTTACAGCTCGAGGAGAACTGCATTATTTGGTAATGTTCGACTCAAGTTTTGGATGTCAAGATTGCGACTCTCTATGGGAAAATGTCATATCCTACAGCAGTCAGGTATCACATAAGATTAATTCGAATATTTAATAAAACAACCTTATCAATTAAAAAACCTAGTGGTACGGTTCAGAAAATTCGTACCACTTTTGTTCCATAAAATAAAGGTACTTTATGATGTTCGGTAAGTAAACCCCTTTTTTATACCTCACTTTTACTGTGTACACAAAATATTTATAATTCGTTGATAAGGATAGCAAGCGTACTTTTTTAAATATATAGTATTTTTGTAATATTTTGATATACATATTCTAAGAGTGGTTGATCAAATGAGAGCAAGTTGTATGGAATGTGGTTATATTTTTTTACATTAAGAATGACTGAAAATAAAGTATAAGATGTAACACGAGTATTATTTCTCAACAGCGGATCAATATATCCTTAGTTAAAAAAATTGGAAAGGGTTTTTGAATTTGCGGACGACCTCTCCCCACTCTTCAATGTTTATCGCCGATACCCCAGAGACGAGCATCCCCAAGAAAATATTTTCTAGCTCCGCCCTGTTTATTTCCTATTCTGAATAATAAATCTGGTTTATTACTTCTTATATTTACTCTACTAAAATGTTGGCTGACAAAACGAAATTTATAAGTTTTCAAACCTTGCTTGTATGTGTCTTTAATCATTTTTGATCAATATTATTTAGAATAATGGGATTTCTGATATGTATTAATATTAAGCACTATACAGCTTAAACTTTTCTTATTGCGAAAAGTCATGAGTTCACGTCTCAACTCAAACAGTTTAAAAGCTTCAGCGACAACCACACAGAATGATTACCATAAAAACTCCCAGCCATACTGAATGTAAAATAAGATGAGGCTAGAAAAAATTTTCGCATGAAACATTTTGTGGAAAGATTTGTACGACTAGTGTTATATCCTAGGTTTGCAAACACTCGTCTTGTAATAAGCATATCTACTGAATCAAGTGAAGTGAAGTTTCGGTCACCTATTAGCAACTTAGCGGTTTTTAGCCAGTTTTTATGTGAAACAGTTGACAGCAGGGGTCAAGATGATGTAATGTAGGCCGACTTTTCCAAAGCTTTTGACAAGATCAGTCATGAGATTCTCCTCAAGAAACTTTGTTATCTAGGTTTACAAAATAACTGTCTTGCTATTAAAATCATATTTATCGAATAGACAACAATACGTATGTGTAAATAATGTGAGATCGGAAGTATTCACTGCCACTAGCGGTGTGCCGCAGGGATCCAATTTGGGACCTCTTCTATTCTCACTTTATATCAATGATTTGTGTGATTCACTTAATTGCAATAAGCTATTGTTTGCGGATGATTTAAATATATATACAGTGAAAGCTCTCCTTGCGGACAGCTCCTATAAGCGGACATCTCTTTTAACCGGACAAAGTTCCTGGAACCGAATTTCAGCCATCAATTTTCAATGTTAAATGCATTCCGATAAACGGACGCTCTTATAAACGGACGCGGACACTAGATTTTCCTGTATGTGATCAAAAAATCTCCCATAAGCGGACGCGAAACTCTAATACCCGGACGATTTTTTAGTTCCGCTTATTGCAATGCACATATCTACATACATAAAATTCGGTAATTCCCCGATTTATATTAGGTGATTCCCCATTTACGCATTTCGTTGGGTAGCCTGTATGTAATCTTGTGGCTTGTCTTCAGTTCAAGCAAATTCGTATTTGATTGAGTTACGTATTTTATTATTGTAACTGTAAAATGGCACCAAAAAAAAGGATGCTCTCGTTAAAGGAAAAGATGGAAATTGTTAACGTATTAGACAGAGAAAGTGTTTCAGTTCGTCATTTGGCAAAGAGGTTTAATATTGGGAAAACGCAAGCAGCTGAAATTGCCAAAAATAAGGAAGATATCAGGAGTAATTGGCAATCAGGAACTAATATAAATCAAAAGAAGGATTTTTTAAAAAAGGAAGGTTTTGCTATAGACAAAACATGTTTTGAGTGGTTTGTGAAAGCTAGAAGTCAGAACATTCCAATCTCAGGGCCGTTAGTGAAAATGAAAGCTAAAGAAATCGCCACTACTTTGGGCTATAATAATTTCAGTGCGTCCGACGGGTGGCTGCAAAAGTGGCGCAAGAGACATAGTGTGAGTTTCAAATGCATATCTGGCGAAGCTGCTGCAGTAGATCAAGTTGATGTGTCACAATTTTTGGAGAAACTTCCGTCCATGTTGCTTGGCTACAAACCAGAAGATGTGTACAACGCAGATGAGAGTGGACATTTTTTTCGCGCATTGCCCGACAAAACTCTGTCCTTTAAAGGAGAAACATGTGTGGGTGGAAAGTTGTCTAAAGATAGACTAACCATTATATTCTGTGCAAATATGGCCGGTGAAAAATGCGATTTGATTGTGATCGGGAAAGCGGCTCGTCCCCGTGCTTTAAAAAACGTGGCTATTAAGGATCTACCAGCGACTTGGAAATCCAACAAAAAGGCATGGATGACCCGAGAAATCATGTATGAGTGGTTAGTCGAATTCGACCGGAAAATGAGAATCCAAAAAAGGCAAGTTCTTTTATTTTTAGACAATGCATGCTCTCATCCTCGTGATATGAAAATGAAAAATGTGAAAATTATATTTTTACCGCCAAACACAACTTCTGTTTGTCAGCCCATGGATCAAGGTGTCATACAGAACTTTAAATTTTATTATCGGCACTTGATTTTAAAACATATTTTAACAAAAATTGACGATGGTCAAAGCTTATCTGAGCTTACAAAGTCTATCAATGTGTTAGAAGCTTTGTATTTTATAAAAACAGCATGGAATAAAGTAAATTCCTCTACAATTAAAAACTGTTTTGGCAAAGCTGGATTCAGAAAAAGTGAATGTAGCTCAGAATTTGCTGCGCAAAATTATTGCGATGCTGAAGACGATCTGCCCTTAGCGACACTTGCTCAGTTACTGCGACATGCCAAACATTTAGGAGTAGCAGATCCCCAGAAAGTAGATGATTTCCTGGCCATAGACAATAACATAACAACAGAAGAAAATGCCATTGGCAACTTTTCGAATTTGGATGTAGAAAGCCCAGGCCAACTTGAATATGGTAGTCCAAACGACTCAGAAGAAGAAGTGGAACTGGTGGACTCACTAAGCGGTTCAAAAACGATAAATTCATATGGGGAAGCTCTAAATCATATTTCTATATTGAAAAAATTTGCTAAAGATGATTTCCCTGCATTTCAACATTTGAAAAATTTAGAAAGTTATTACGAAAATTGTCTCCTTCAGCAAAAGATGGTGAAATTTCGTCAGACAAACATTTTAAACTTTTTTCAACAAGCTAAAGGATAATATTTTTTTTAAATTCTCGTACCATGTATTGAAGCATTTATGTTTTTGTATGCGTATATGTACATATATTATATAGATATATAGCATAAATACATACTTTAAAAATGTGGCGAGTTTCTGTTTCATTTTTCTCATGATTATAATACCTCATTTCCTCATGATTATATACCCCGTTATTTATACTCTATACTTACATACTCTCTTTTAAACGGACACCTCCCAAAAGCGGACAAAAGTTACGGAACCGTGAGTGTCCGCTTATGGGAGCTTTCACTATATATATATATATAACTTGAGACGTGGTCATTGTCGTCTAGACCAGTTAGGTGAAAAATTAAAGCTTCCGCCTTTTGTTGGGTACTTCGACAAAATTTAAGCAAAGAGGACTCTTTATACTTTTTTTAATTCTCTCTAGCTTTCAATGGACTTTGCCATCATCATCAGGAGCTGCAATTACAATGATAACAGTAGCAACAAAAGTGTAAAATGAATTTAAATTGACTCAACTTAGAGTAGTATGTGAGGATGTTGCTAATTGTTGTTTACGTATAGGATGAGGGAAACGTCCAGTAACATGGTGAGAGCTGGATAGATTGTACAATGGTCAAAATTATATAAAATATGACAAGAACAAGTTAAAAACAGATTAAAAATTATTTAAAAAACATTAGAGCATTACATCGTGAAGCCACTTGATGATTGCACAAATATATATATATATATATATATATATATATATATATATATATCAGTATCCAGTGAAGAAGACTGTATCATCTTACAGGAACAAATCACTTTCCTACAGAACTGGTGTGTAAGAAATCATCTGCATTTGAACATTTCTAAATGCAAAGTAGTAACATTTGGTCGCAAGTCCAAGCCTATATCTTATCGGTATACTATTGAGAATTCGACACCAGCAAGAACCGATTGCATTAGAGATTTAGGTGTCTATTTTGATAGTCAGTTGACATTTAATTTTCATGTAAGCCAAACAGCGCTGAGTGCTTGTCGCACATATGGTTTTATTGTTAGGAATTCAAAGAGTTTCAATGACACCTCAGCATTATCGTCTCTGTATTTCAGTCTAGTAAAATCTAAACTGGAATATGGCTCACTCATATGGAGTCCTATATATATATATATATATATATATATATATATATCCTGAGCTGCTACATAGATTTGGTTATCAGTCTTTGGAGAGCCGTAGATATCAGTTATCTGTACTTGTCTTGCACAAGCTTTTCCATGGAAAAGTAGATTGTCCTGTATTGTTAGCTCAAGTAGATATTCTGGTTCCTAGAATAACATCTAGACAATACAGGACTTTCCTGTGCAAAAGAGCTCAAACTAATTTACTACTAAAGGCTCCAATCAATTTTATGTGCCGAAATGCCAACAAAATTTCAAGTGCATGTGATATTTTTCACTGCAGTGTCTGCGAATTAAAGAATAAATCTCGCGCCCATCTATGATGGATTTTGGTCAAGTTTTTCATGTTTCTTTTGTTTCTGTTTTTTTTTCTGTTTTACATTTTGTGCTGTAACTACCATGTAAGCTATACTACTGCTTTTTGCTCTGTAAATGGTGATCACTGTTGGGCAATAAACGCATTATTATTATATGTGAATGGAGTAGGGCGACGTCTTGGTATATGTTGGGAGGGGATTTCAGGAAAAGGGGATTCAGTAGGTTTGGCGCGCCGAAGTAGATGAGCTGTAAGTAGCATCATGTCTAAGCAAGAGTTGCACACCTCCGTTGCGCAACGCATTGTCATAAAATTTTTGTCGAGGGAGGGCGTAACTCCTTCCGAAATTTTCGTGGATTAACAGCACAGTTTGGTGGTAAGACAGTTTCAAAGACACAAGTATACGACTGACAAAAAAATGTTCTATTGAGTGGCGAAAGCCTGAAGAGGCAGCACCGCGAAAAGCCTAGATCAGTCTTTCTACGGGAAAAGTTCTTGCAACGGTATTTTGGGATTCCAGACGTGTACTGCTAATTGATTTTCTTCACGATCGTCGTACAGTTAATGCTGCTTACTACTGCCAGCTGCTTATCGGCGAAAAAGGCGAGACATGCCTATTGGAAGTGCCATTCTGCTCCATGACAACGTTCGGCCACGCACAGCTGCATTGACCCAAGAAAAAATACGCGAAATTCATTGGGAAACACTTGAACACCCTGATTACAGTCCCGATTTGCCGCCATGTGACTATCACAAGTTTGGGTCACTTGGAGAAGACCTGGGAGGTTACCACTTTGACGACGACGAAGGTGTGGAAGGGTTCGTGCACAATTGGCTACTGACATGACAAGCTTCATTCTTTGATATGGGAATTGAAAAACTTCCGATCCAATGGGAAAAATGCATCAATTATGTAGAAAAATAAGAGGTAACTAAACTTGTATCTATTATACCAATAAAGTTACTAAAACAAAAGTCCGGTTCATATTTTGTTCACCTTCGTAGATACCATGACCGCCTGGAGTATTTTCTAGTGTAGTGTCTTTGTGATTTCGTTTCGTCTTCTACGTGAATTTGACTTCCCACGCCTACTGGCGAGGAAGTATTGTAATCACGAAATATTTACAAAATGAGACAGTGTTTTTCAGATGTTATATGATATAATATGTCTAGTCTAATAGTTTGATATCATAACATGTTACTTACCTATTTAGTTTCTATCAATTACCACTTCAAAGTCTACCAAAAATCAAGTTTCGATTTTCGATAGTTCCGAAAAATAATTTTCCAATCTGATCTACTGTTTATAAGTGCAACCTTTCAAAAATCCTTATTCCAATTTCAATCATCATGGCTATTGTGCAGAACTGAGTTTTACGAGATCTTTCAAGGGTAACTGAACTATGCCACTCGCCCGGCAAACTGCGTGTAAACCATGATCCTACGTTCGGTCCGTAGATGAAAGAAACGGTATAAACAAATTTTCAAATATGAAATTAAGGAATACTTCAGCAGTTTTGCAATTCCAATGTTTTGCAGAGTTCATTTAACACTTGGTTTTGCGTTAAATATTTGTATTTGCAGGAACAAAAAACACCTGTTATGCAAAGATTTATTATGAATCACTTATTGCTTATTATTTAACAAATTATTGATAATATTCTCTTGCCTCTCAATTATCTTTAGTAAAACACTCTTATCTTCTCTTTCATGTTCAAATTTCTTCTCTAATAATTCTATATACTTTTTCCTTTCATATTCTTGCAAAGATAATTTCTTTTCCTCCAATTCTAGGCGCCGATTCTCAGTTGCGAGCTTTTCTTTCTCTATATTGATTTTCTGCTGTGCTAAATCCTGGTCAACTTTCTTCAACTCATAGTGGTATGTGTCGTATTCGTCGTAGGAAGGTAGTCTTTCTTTTTCATCGTTATTCCATCTCGTTTTTGCTCTGGCCCTCTCTAAAATAGAACAACGTTGATCGCAATTCCAGCAAAATTCGGGAAGAAGGGGACTCACGTATAATCTCATCCTCCTCAAATTTCCTTTTATGGTTCTCAGTTGCAGAATCACTCTCATTATTGTCACAGGTAGTATTTCCATCTGTCTCACCCAGTAATTCATCTGAAAGACAAAAGGTATACTATCTTGAAAATAATTTGTTTGCTTTCCTTCTCTGCATTCATAACTTTAAACCTAATTACACCATCACAACATGGCTTCATAAAAGGTAGATACACTACGTCAAACTTAATGACAATTGCGCAATATATAGCAGACAATAAATAACAAGTCTATGTTATATGAATTTTAGCAAGGTTTTCGACAAGTTAAACCATCATCTTCTAGTAGATAGCTTTCATTACTTCGTGACCCATTCTTCGGTCTCCTAAGCTCATATCTATCTGATAGAACGTAATATGTTTATTATGATTATTGTTCAGCAAATTACCTAAGCACTTTGCTGTTTTTATTCTTCATAAATAGTCTTGCCGCTTAACTAAACGGTCATAATCTACTATCTGCTGATGATCTGAAAATTTACGTCACATATACAGCAATGTTCCTTGCTTTTTAGTAATCATCGATATAGTCTCATATACCATGTTTCAAAAAAATCTAGTATTTCAATATAATTTACTCACCATAACGATGTTCTACCATTAGGTACCCATCTTCTCTCAATATATCCTGAGCTGCTGCTTTAATTGGCTCTCTAACAATAATTGAGGCCGGATCTTGCTTTATGGATTTTCTTGAGGTCTTCTTTTTTGATGCCTCTCCAATGCATTCGTTTACTTGATAACACAAATGGGATTTTTCAGAATATGGGTCTTGAACAACTGAACTGCAAAATTAAAAATACACAGTTCATAAACACCTTAACCTAATTTATAATCCAATAAAGCTTTTACTTTATAGTAGTAGGAAGTCGATTTTTCAACAACAGAAGTTTTTTACTCATAAGTTTAGGGTGCATTTGAAACCATACTACTTGGTGTTAATAAAGTCATAAATCGCTTCTTCTCTCTAATGTTGCACCCCATCACCTAGGTGATAACAGAAAGCAGTTCCATAGGCATTTGGTTGTTAGGGTAGGTCTTAAATCCTTTTCTTTTTGGAAGGCAAACGTTATGTCCCCAGAATCGTAAAATATCTGAAAGAGGCGTCAAAGGACATCTCTTAAATCCAAGATGGCATCTAGAGACGCGCTATTAGCATTTTTGCCATAAAGAACGGTGACAGGGGGCGAAGATAAGGGTGACACACAAGAAAGCCTTAATGCGGACCTGCATCTTGTCTCTACAATATACAAAGGTGTGAAACGTGACAATGTTTATTTAGTCCAGGAAGCGTCTTTGCATCCGCTCGAAAAAAATATTTTGAACCTGCATTTCGCCTAATTTATTCAAAAGGAGGCGCCTTATTATCAAATCTACATGTTGCCAGATCCAAGATTGCGTCAAAAATTATTAAAACATCTTTCTAAACGAATTCCAAAAATTATTTTTCTGGCACCGGACAAGTTTTTGATGTAATATCTGAAACATATCCTGTGGTTTTCATGTCGATAATCTCCCATATTTCTCTTGCCAATCGAAACAATTTTTTTACTGTAAACGTTTCGGTCACAACGTTGACCTTTTTCGCTACAATGACTTTGACAATATATTTTATTTATCTGCCTTCCAGGTGATACTTTGTTTTTTCTTTTCATTTTCATATTCCTATACAGAGTGTTACTACAAGTCTAAACAATCCTGTAACATTTTGAGATTGCGCAAAATTACCTTCGCCCACGACCGCCAGGGAGTAATCATCCCTTGCAAAATGACAACCGAACATGTGATTATCAATCGTTTTTTGTTGTACCAGATACGCCACGCTCATCCATTGTCCCGAAGACTCCAAAAGCCCTCAAGACAAAAAAGCGAAAAGGTTTGCATTGGATCTACATTATCAAGATCAAAAAATATTTCAAGGTAGTACGAGTAAACTAGGTCCACTACTATTTATTCTACATTAATGACATTTCAAATATTTTAGATTATTGTAAACTTCAGATATTTGCAGATGATACATTAATATACATATCAGATGAAAATATAGGCACTGCTTTAAAAATGCTAAATTCTGACTTGGCAAAAATCGTGAATTAGTTAAATGTAAATAAACTAAAATTGAATACTTCTAAAACAAAATGTATGCTAATAGGGAAATACCTAAATGAAAATACTATCACAGTTACCAGATAAATGGAGAAATAATTGAAAATGTTGAATCAATTGAATATTTAGGCATATACATATATATATATATATATTGATAGTAAGCTAAAGTTTGAGGATCATTACGAATACATTATTTCACAAATTGCACAAAACAAATTACTTTTATAGGGCTTCTGATAGTATTGGTACCTATTCCAAGAAAATAGTTTATAATTATAATTCCACCGCATTTACTATATTGTTCAACTATCTTGTTCACTGCCAATGAAGCTGTATTCTCAAGATTACAAGTCTTTCAAAATAAAGCTATGAGAATAATATTGAATAAAAATAAGTACACCAAAATAAAATTTGTTACAAGAATAAATTGCAGTGTTTGAATATAAAAAATTTCATATCATATTTGGTTCTTATTTTTATATTTAAAATAAAAAATCGTCTTTTGCCAGAACATTTAGAACACTACACAGAATTGAATAATCATTACCACAATTATTATACAAGAGGAAACATAGATTTTCATTTACAAAACTGTAATAGTAATTTAACTAGCAAATCAATATTTCAGAAAGTATTACTTGAATTTAATAAACTAAACAATGTCTACTTGTAATTTAAAGATATTTAAAAGAAAATTAAAAGAATATTTCGTGGAAAATTTCTATTTTTTTTTTTGTTTGTGGGGTCGAATAGGGTATATTTTGCACAAATATTAATTCGAGAATATCTCGAAAACTAACAATTTTTAAAAAGGTTAAAAAACCTTTTTTGTGTAAAATGAACCAAACGCCCAAACAAACTGTCCGGGCGGAAAAACATGAGAAATGTTAAAAAATCGAAGCAAATTTGGAGCTGGCGACATTCATTAAAACGAGTCCTTTTTGAATAAGGTTATGCAAAAAAACTTAATCGGTATATCTTTGAGAGCGAATACAAAGTAACTTCTTAGACTTATTTGCAATAGAACACATAAGATAACGATGAAAGTAGTATACTTAATAGAAATATTTCCAGAAAAGCCCGACCAAGTTGTGCAATTCAAGTGACTTCAGCGAAAGTTTGACGACATTAATGTTACTCAGCCTCGCGCGCAAAATAATTTATATGGTTTGAATATGTCAGCGGAAGTCTTAACCTTAAATTGACGTAAGCTGGGTTTCATACACACCGTTATGACCCTAATCGAGGAGCAAAATAACTTGTTTCAAAAATTGAGTACTTCACATAAAATCAAAATTATGAGAGTGTATTATGGAAGTAGCATCCCAGATAATATGACCAACTTGATTAAAATGCAATAGTTTTCAGACGCCTTTTGATCGCTAAATTCAAAACTTCAACGAATGTTACTTACCCATCTTCTAATGTCTTTGCTTCGTTCAACCATTGCTGGATTAGCAACTGAGCGTGGTCTTTCAGTGTTTTTAATGAAAATTTCTTGCCTGTGAGTCGAAACACATTTTCTTGGACAACGTCCCATAGATGAGGGTTTTCATATGGATTATTACTGAGTATCTCCCTCAACAAGGCCAAGTCATCATGCTCCTTGAATCGCAGCCTATGTTTTATATAAGGTTTATGTATTTCTAGAAAATATAATAGACTTATATACGCCGAACTATGCAAGATCCAAAGTTCCAAACAAAGGTATTTGTGAAGAATCGAATTTTCAAGTATTTGGGGTCAGAAGTTCAAAGCGTCAATGTAGAACAATTTCTATCTTGATATACACCTTAGGAAAAACCATTGTTATACATGGGAAATCATTTCTTGGCAACAGCGCATCGGCTCGTCTACTTTCATCGCTATTCGTACATATTTCCTACCGTTAACGCGCGTGCCGTTGTCAAGTGCGATAAGGGATTCATGACTCACTCTGCGGTTGGGTTTTGTGTAGGAAAGGTGCGTCTTTATTTAATCCAAAATATCTTAAAAATGTACTCGCAAGAAGAAAAGTTTCAAATGATAGAATGGTACATCCAAAATAATTCAGCACGCGCGGTTGTTGAATTATGTGCGGTACGCTTCCCAGATCGGCCAATTCCGTCTCACGCAACGGTTATAAATACCTACGAAAAATTCAAGAGGGTGGGCTGCTTACATAAGTGCCATAGCTGCATGCACCCTGAAGGTTGGAAACCAAAAATTAGCGAGAAAAGGGAGGAGATCAAAACTGCTGTTTGTGCCGCTGCAGAAGTATCTGAGCCATGCTCAAGCAGAAAAATTGCTGAAATGGTACCAATAGCTGATCTCACACCCAGAACAACAAGAAATATTTTGCATCGCAACGGCTATCATAGCTTCAAGGTTGGAACGGTTCAAGAAATATTTCCTTTAGACAAATACCGTCGAATGGAGTTTTGTGAAACGGTCATGGAGAAGGCGAACAGGGATGCAAGTTTTATTGGTAACATTTCTTCAGTCGTTCGGTATTGGTCTCGGGAAAATAAACACCTCAGTATTCCCGTCCGCACGCAGTATCCACAGAAACTGAATGTGTGGGCAGGAATTCTAGGTAATAACATTATCGGACCGTTCTTTATTGATGGAACTCTTACGGCTGCAAAATATTTGGCGTTACTACAGACGCAGATTGTTCCTGCAATTAGGCAACTTGGCATTGATCTCGGTAATATTTGGTTCCAACAAGATGGATGCCCGGCGCATAATGTGGCGATCGTACACACTTACCTTGAAAGTGTGTTCGGCCACCGGATTATTGGCGGTAACGGAACAATAAAATGGCCTCCTAGATCACCCGATCTAGCGCTCAATGATTTTTTCTTGTGGGGTTATGTGAAAAGTACTGTTTACACTTTCAATGAGAGAGCAGACAATTTGCATAACCTACAGGTGAAAATCGTTGAAGCGCTCGGGCAAATACAGCCTTCTACCCTCTTGAGAGTTCGTCTGACATACTGTTCATTGAATGAAGGAGACGTTTTTGAGCCCCAGCTGTGAAGGACCATTTGAAATATTTGTGTTCATTATTGCGTTTTATTTTTGAGAACTTATTTTTTTGTTAGAATATCTTTTTATCTTCGTTACACATTTTTAAGAGTGTACTATTTTTTGTTAGAGTGGGTATCTTCTTATTTTTGTTATGAGACGCAACCTTTATTGCTACAAAACCAATTATCCATTCATAAAAATAAGTAGAGTGATTTAGGTGATTTCGTGAAATCTCGAAATCACCGAAATCAGTTCACAGGACGTCCAATCGAACTGGTGCGTAATGCGCGCATCTACTGTACTTCTTCTATCGACTCAACGCATACTGAAATTTGCAGCAGACCGCAGACCTGTATCACGAACGAGAATAATAGGCAGATACGCTGTGTCGCCAATTTGAGTAGAGCTTCCCGAATTGTGGGGAATTTAGAGTTAAGTGTTGATTCATTCAAGCTTTTAATCAGCATGGCCTAGACGTTATAACTTCATAAAGATAACATTGAAGCTGAATGCTGCTGAAGTATAGTGTTTCGAATATTCAAAGCGGAGCGGGACACTATCCTCGTTCAATGGGTCATCAAGCCACAGTCTTTTCAACAAAGAAATTATTTTACGAAAATGCGTTATATTTTTACGATTTTGTCGTCACCAAATCTCTGTTTCTCAAAATGTACGTCTATTGTAGAATTTTCAGCAAACTAAGCAAGAAACGTGATCTAGTATTTACTCAACATTACGGATTTCTCGAAATACTTTAAAAAATGTGACCTAGATACCTAACTGCCCCAAGCTCTTTAAATATAACACCTTAAACCAGGGTTACCAGGTGCTCAGTCACGTTGATTGTCATGTTGTACTGCGCAAGTCAGCAAACAATCTGGCGTAATAAACGTTAGGAATCATCAGGTATTGCCAGATTCCCGAATACCGGGCACCATAGTACCCGTTATAGTTGTCCTTCAAAGTTGTCAAATCGCCCCTATGGCGCAAATTCGCCACACCAGGCAACTGTGCTATAAACAAACCCTGTTTATCACTACTATTTGATAGTCATATGGTAGTTCTCTCAATACTGTTGTATCTCTACTGGCAACAAGAATAGGGATTACAAAATCATTTATACAACAATATACAAACATGATTTGAACCATGAAACATTAATACAATTTTAATAGTTTGAACTTTTTTCATTTTTGGAATACTCTTATGTGGAATCCGCAGCTATTTTTCCCGAAATTTTGGTAGACTTAGATTTCTTAGAAATATGACATATTGGTATCGGCAACTCTGCGAATGGGAGAAACAAATCGCATTTGTTGAGCGCATCCGTCTAAGCAGCAGGCGCCAGCGCCCGTTCTGCCACCTATCTTTTATCACTCTTCTTCTTTACCCCGTTGTCCGTCACACTCCGACGATGCCAGATAGGATCCTACAATCGAGTGTCTTTCACGCACCTACATACTTTTGTATATTTCCATCTCTCTTCCTCAGCATAATGTATAATAATGTTTTTTCCGAAGGTGTATACATTTTTAATGTCGGGTTTGTTCTAACGCAATAGTCTACTTCAACCAGATGAATGAATGAATCGAGAAATTAGAGGCGATCCGGCCACTATACGGAGTCATTGCATAGGCCGCTTAAACGAGCCCTACACTCCTCGGACCTCAAGCCTCGCCTTTTCTAGCGAAGTTGAGTATGGGCTCGAGTCCAAGCTCCTTCACGTCCTGAGGGTCCAAAGTAATGGACTCCAGTATAGTCTGCCTATAGTAGAGCTTCACAGCGACACAGAACGTGCGCCGAAGTCTCTTCCTGTACTCCGCAGCGCTCACAGAAGGGATCCTCAGCCACCCCCATCACGTGCAGGTGGCGCCTTAACGTGTTATGGCCAGACACAGTCCCACCAACAACCTTAGGTTGGCCCTATCCTTATCCAGAGATGAGCAGAAATCGCCAGAATCGCAAAGATTTCCGCCTGGCAAATAGAGATGTATCTACCAAGAGGCAGAGATAGCAATTAGTAGTAGCTGATAACTTGTTTTTGTTACACTGCCCACCATGAACAATAAAAATCACACTTTCACGCTGTAGTAGAAAAAATAGTGGCTGCAGAGATTACACATGAAGCAGTCAAAATATTTAACTTTAATATTACATTCACAAAGCTGTTCTTTACCTCTAGGCTTTGAAGTTGTTGGAACTATATCATTATTTGACATTCTATTATATTTTACTGTGGAAGTATATTGGTGATCAACTTCTTCTTGAACCAGATCTGGTTTATCCATCTCACTTTTTATTACGATGTGCATATCTGAAACAGCAATATGTCTTCTAAGTATGTATAAGCATTGGACTTAAACATTTTCCGAGACCGAATGTAATCGTTACTGTTGATCACAGTTTGTCAAGGACTTATACCTTCTTTGAGTGACATCTGATGATTGCGTCGAACACTAATGACTATAGTTGATACTCATCATCCTAGATTTTTTTTTATACTCCAACTACCACGAAGGCCTAAGGCCTAAGCACCCATTGGGTACCGTGGGGCTATAGGGGTATACATGGCGCAGCTAACTTATTTTTTCAAATACTTGTAACGCGAATATTGTCAAAGACGCACTGTCAGCGAGAAGTAATTTGGTGTAAATTTAAAATAATATCCAGGTAATTAACAGAAGAAATTAACAGAACAGAGGGAGAGTGCCCGACGAGAGATACCCATACGGCCACGGTGTCGGAGCCTGCTGGAGGCATAGGTTCTGCAAGTGACATAAGGGATCGTCAACCACACTAGAAGTTGTCTGCAAGGACCTGAAAGGGGAGTATTCGGGCCTGCTGAAGGAATGCGCATTACAATATTCTTCTAATCACAGTCAGAAAATAAATCCAGAAAATTGCTGCATTATCTATTTAAAGGATCTGCATTCAAAATTCTACAAAACTATTTAATTGACAGAAGTCAAAAAACCAAAATTGGATCTACATTATCCAAGGTCAAAAAATATTTCTGTTGGTATACCACAAGGTAGTAAACTAGGTCCACTACTATTTATTTCATTCATTAATGACATTTATAATATTTTAGATTATTGTAAACTTCAGATATTTGCAGATGATATATTAATATACATATCAGATGAAAATATAGACTCTACTATAAAAATCCTAAATTATGACTTGGCAAAAATCGTAAATTGGTTAAATGTAAAAATAAACTAAAATTGAATACCTCTAAAACAAAATGTATGCTAATAAGGAGATACCTAAATAAAAATTTTATCACAGTTAGGATAAATGGAGAAATAACTGAAAATGTTGAATCAATTAAATATTTAGGTATATATATATATATATATATTTTGAGACGTGGTCATTGTCGTCTAGACCAGTTAGGTGAAAAATTAAAGCTTCCGCCTTTTGTTGGGTACTTCGACAAGAATTAAGCAAAGAGGACTCTTTATACTTTTTTTAATTCTCTCTAGCTTTCAATGGACTTTGCCATCATCATCAGGAGCTGCAATTACAATGATAACAGTAGCAACAAAGGTGTAAAATGAATTTGAATTGACTCAACTTACAGTAGTATGTGAGGATGTTGCTAATTGTTGTTTACGTATAGGATGAGGGAAACGTCCAGTAACATGGTGAGAGCTGAATAGGTTGCACAATAGTCAAATAAGTCAAATAAGTTTTGTATAAATTTGACTATTGTGCAACCTATTCAGCTCTCACCATGTTACTGGACGTTTCCCTCATCCTATACGTAAACAACAATTAGCAACATCCTCACATACTACTGTAAGTTGAGTCAATTCAAATTCATTTTACACCTTTGTTGCTACTGTTATCATTGTAATTGCAGCTCCTGATGATGATGGCAAAGTCCATTGAAAGCTAGAGAGAATTAAAAAAAGTATAAAGAGTCCTCTTTGCTTAATTCTTGTCGAAGTACCCAACAAAAGGCGGAAGCTTTAATTTTTCACCTATATATATATATATATATATATATATATATATATATATATATATATTGATAGTAAACTAAAGTTTGAGGATCACTATGAATACATTATTTCAAAAACAGCCAAAAAAAATAAATAGCTTTTATAGGGCTTCTCATAGTCTTGATACCTATTCCAAGAAAATAGTTTGTAATACAATTCTGTGCCTTAGAGGTAAACGATCGTAACCCCATTTTTGCAGTTTTTGTGATTATCTGCGTATAATTAGTATCCCTGGTTAATCTTTACGTGGAGTAAATGATCGTAGCGCCTAACCACGATAATCATGAAATATATGAAATAGAACAAGCAGCTAGTGATTTTATGTTAGAGGTAAACAGCCGCTTCTCCATACATACGCACAATACTATCATATGAATCATCGCTACGCAGCGGTAAACAGTCGTGTCTCCGTCTCCGCTTGCTTTACAAACTGTGTTGTTCGATCATTGTTCAAAGTTGATCAAGGTGCTTAAGTAACCAAAAAACGGTAATAATGTCCTCAAGGGCTGAAAAATTAGTGCAGCTTGAACTGGAAGAGGAAATCGATTCTCGAGAATCTAGTAAGTACAACATAATTGATATTATAGGTGTTCGAGCCAAAACAGGAACATTACGATGATCATAAACTACTTTTACATATTACAAATAATAAGTCCTTCATTAAAGTGTATCAATCACAAGTTTCTTCTACGTGGACACACACACATGGAAGCTGATCATATCCATGCACTTATCGAACGAGTTATAAAAAAATAACCAACCTTGAAAATATGTACGCCATGGGACTGGCAGCAACTTATAAGATTAACCAGAGCCACAGTTTTCGAGATGCAGTTAGATGACTTCGAGAACTTCGAGGCCCTATATTCCGGCACAGGATCACCTCTCACTCAAAAGAAACAGACAGTAGACAAAAAAAGCTTTTTAGTGTCATCAGCGGTGTGGCTTGAGGTTCAAAAACAGGATCCAGGGATAGTTTACTATAAAACATACATATTCCAAGAGGACTACAAAATGGTATAACATGAATAGATCCTCTAGAAAACCGATAGGGTTACCACTAGAACTACGTTCGCCGCGTCAAACCACAAAAGGACTTAGCAAGAAAAAGCACGATCATCTTCTCATGCTTCTGCAATGGATACCAGAAGCATTTTCATGATTTTTATAAAAATATTCCTGTGCTGGGTCAACAAGGAGATGATGGTGACGACGACGATTGAATATATATTCTCCAGATGTCATTTTTTGTAATAAAAAAATGTAGCCTATTTCCACCAATTGTACTTACTGTGTTTCATCCTATGCTGCACGTGGATTTTATTATCATAGTAAATAGTCGTAACTCACAAAATAATCTGAATATCAAATTCTAAGATCATTAACATGAAGCATTACTGTTCTGTGTACCATATAATATGTTTTCCCAAAAACCTATATTCGCATATTAACAGTAACATGAACAAAAAGCCATTCTGCTACTAACTCAATCTTTAATTTGCTTGTTCTCTGAATTGCATTATATGGAGTTACAACTATATACCTCTAAGGCACAGAATTATTCTATCGCATTTAGTATATTGTTCAACTATCTTGTTCACTGCCAATAAAGCTGTATTCTCAAAATTACAAATCTTGCAAAATAAAGCAATGAGAATAATATTGAATAGAAATAAGTACACCAAAATAAAATCTATGTTACAAGAATTATAAAAAATTTCATATCATATTTGGTTCTTGTTTTATATTTAAAATAAAAAATCATTTTTTGCCAGAACATTTAGAACACTACATAGAATTGAATAATCATTACCATAATTATTATACAAGAGGAAATATAGATTTTCATTTACAAAATTGCAATAGTAATATAACTAGCAAATCAATATTTCAGAAAGGATTACTTGAATTTAATAAACTAAATAATGATATTAAGTCTACTTGTAATTTAAAGATATTTAAAAGAAAATTAAAGGAATATTTCATGGACAATGAACATTCTTAGAGATGCAAATTTTGTTTTTTTTCTGTATGTCTGTAAATTATGTAATTGTTTAGTTTTTAAGAAGAATGTAATGGTAGCAATCATGCTAAATAGGTCTTAAACAAACAAACAAAATCTTCAAAATTTCTATAAGTAATCAATATGAAACTGTTTATCTATCCACCTAATTTTACCATTTCCTTATTATAATTTCAGATTTACTTATTTTCTGATGCAAATGCTAAACTCCACCAATTAGTTAGTTTGTTTCTAAATAAAGACGACTACTATTATTATATTATTATTATTATTGTTATTGTAATGATATACTGACGGAATTTGTTCCAGGGAGCTATTCTTCAATTCTGCTGCCAAGCTTTTACGATCGAAGCTCCGATATTTGAGCTTTGCCCTCACAGATACTTGGATTAAGTGTGAAGACTAGTAAAAACAGAAGAAAAAAAAGGGCGTGTTGCATGAAAATATTGTTGCAGCTGAGTTTTAGAAAACGTTTTTGGTATATCTACAGGGTGACTTTGAAGTTGAGTCATTAATTTTCAGATAATGATTGTAGAAGGAAGATAAACCAAAAGATGTGTGTAAAAATAAAAAAAAAATTAAAAAAAAATGTTAACCTTGTTTTATAAAGTATCCTCCCGACAAGTATTTCAGTGCGGACCTGTATTTGATCGTGAGGTCCTCTGTGAGGTGTTAAGTCACCTGATTCACGAGCCCGTTGTACTACATTAACAAAGGCACGAGGGGTTGGTTGCACTCGATAGGGAAACCGATCCGCATAAACATGTGCCATTTTTTATTTCGTTTGAGCCATGCAACAGACACCACTATTCACACGCGTTACCGACTAACACTGACTGTATGTATACAACTGAATAAAATAATTGTAAAAACATCGTTCCAAATTCTTTCGCTTTTTTGTTTCCGATGCGATGAACCGATAAGGCGGATTATATCCGTTGTTGCCAAGCACGAGCACATGATATTATTATTGAGACAGGGCGGTACTCAAACTTCCAAAGGGCTATAACTTTGTTACTTTAATTTTACCAGAAAAATGGTAAAGGAAAAAACATTTCTTTTGATCAGATCTACTCACTGTTAAAATAAATGACTCAACTTCGAAGTCACCCTGTATATTACCCTGACTATTTGATGCTGAAGTGGTTTGACTATTATCAACAGCACGGTCTAGTGGGTCTAAATATTCAACATGTGTGTATTCAGTTTCTTCTAAATAATCTTCAGCAGAAGATTGCTTGACATTCACACACTCAAATACTGCAGTTGGAATTTGGAACCCATGCCCTGAAGAGTGGTTTGTTACCGCTTTAGTTGCCTTTCTGTAAATGAAAAGAGCATTCTTACTGTGATTGAAAGATCCTATAAACATAAATTTTAAAATTATCCTTATAAGATGAAAAAAAATATATATTTCTAAACCAGATGGTGGTACCAACTTAAAGTTATGTACATAAAGTACGCAAACAGAATATTTACCACTTGATTGAACCATCTAATAAACTTTTGAAGGCACTTAATTTTATCGTATAAGAGAAATTGTTAACAAAATAATCTTTTGGTAGAAAACTTATTTGGGCATCTGACATACAACCCCAAGGTTTCATTACAAAAGCCCATCAGTGCTGCAGTAGTTTAAAACATCCTCAATATATCAAGGATATATTTTGACATCTGAGTTTATAGGAATTTTAATATAGATTTTTAATGTTCTTTCTGCTTTGAAAATATGGGCAGTGTTTTTTGATTCACCATGTTGACAGACATCTTTTGCATAAACTAAGATACATACCTTACAATAACAGAACTTGGCCTAAGAAAGCGTTTTCCACCCACAGCTAAAAAAGATTCAGGGGTGAAATGATCTGAACAAACGAGGGCACTATTTGATGCTGTTCCTGTTCTTCCACAAGCAGATATCAACTGCTGAAGCTGAAGCTTTGACAATCTGCAAGAAGCATGATGTTACATACGTGACTTTTTAAATTTAATACACGTGCAAGTATTACCTGTGGAATGATACACCTTCAGCTTTATCTGCTACCTTGTTTGGACACCCAAACATAAAACATTTGCCCATTATTCCATTGTGGTGAGTCAATGCAATACATCATTCATCTATCAAACACTTAGTATATACCATATGAATTATATGCATTATATGCATAAATATTTTGACTACATGTCCGCTAACCTATAGTAGAAATCCACTGACACCTACAGATCTATCTATCCATACTGCTATGGATCATTCAAGCTTAAAGCAGTATAGTGGTCAACAGATTTTGAATAGGTTAGAAGGACCTAAGAGTATTGTTTGCATTGCAATGTTTGTCACCAAAATTGCATAGTTTTAGTGCACATTGTTGACTCATTTGTCTACTGATATCTACTGAAGTGACAGTGTTGTGTCAACATAATCATGATTACATTAGGCTTGCAATCGTCTTAACAGGGAATCATCTGCAAACACTCACACTTTTAAAAAATAACACTTAAAATACAAATTTAATGACAGAATTGTCAGAAAATGAAAAAGTTGGCTTATGTCAAGTGTACTTTGATCTTCACTATAGACTATCAGAATGAGAAGACAAACAAATCCTTTACTGGCTCCTTCTACCTAGTCTAAATTTGTTGGTGGTAGTAGTAGATTGAATCAGCCATTCTATCACAGTACTGTTACAGTGACACTTTGTTTCACCACATACTGCAGCTGTACTTTTGAAAGGCCTTAAGGAGGGAGAGAGTTTATAGATGTGACTGACGATGCTGATTGGAGAACAGCAATTTGTGGTTAAAAAATTTGAATTTCAAGCATAGCTTTCTAGTCTAACATCTCACTTTGGATAGCAATGTTTCAAAAGGTAATAAAAAAAGGATGATTTACAAAACTGGTTGAAGAAAGCCTTTCCTCATGTTTTAATAGACGTACAACATGCATACCCAATTATAGTCCTAGCTTCTGTAGTAGCGTCCCATTTACTACAGCTGTAGCCCCTTATCAGGTTCGCTAGCTTATTTTTAACTAACGATAACTGTAAAAACTATAAAGAACTTGTATAAATAATAAAATGTAAACAAATACAGCTCTTGGGAAAATGTGCCATATAGCTGTCACTGTTGACAGCACGTTGACGGAACTCTGGCAGTAGGGTCAGCAAGATGATAGAGATGCGCAAAAATATCGACATTTTATTAATATAAGAATATAACTTACTGAATCTCGCTTCCCCATTATAGTATCACATCCAGAAATACTTTCGCTGCCCGCGTTGCAGTGAGACCTCAAGGTGAGGCTATTAGATGAACCACCTTTTCACATATTTTTTGTCTCCTTATTACCATAGTTGGTAGTGAACACTGAAGAGCACGTGGCATGAGTACATATTTTGAGAGTTTTATCATTAAATGAGTACTCTTCGCATTATTTTTTAAAAGTGCGAGTATTTGCAGATAATTGTGGCGTCAGACAATCTGAAGACGTGCTACTTATATTATCATGTCGATACTACTCTTTCACTATGGTAGGCATTGGTTGGTAAACAAATGAGTAAAAAATATGCTCTAAAACTAAGCATATATATATATATATATATACTTGGCTGCTTCTAATATATTCAAATTCGTTGGTATCTATTACATATAACTAGAATTGGCGGCATCTATCGCCAACAATGATAGCCCCCACCTGGGAATCCAATTGGACCTTAAAATTTGCATATTCAGCATGATTTATAATTTTGAGCATCATCAAGATTGCCCCTGGAAAAATCTGCTGCCCCACTCTTCAAAAGTTCACAAAAAGTTGTCTCTTGCCGATGATCTGCCTTCCTAAGAAAACTTCCTGCAGACGCCCATGGTTGCAACAGATAGCTTGCTGTTTTTCATTTTCGCAGTGGTCGATTATGGTAATAGATGACACCTTGTGGTCTTATTTAATAGTCCCAATATATAGTAAAACAACACAAAATGGCATTGTACAAACATAAAACCTTGACTAAACCCACGAAAAGAGAAGAATAATAAGGATGGTATTTGGAATGGATTTAATAAGTTTGACTTTGACGCCAATGGTTACAAACTGTAATCAACATTACATAAAATTGACTTTTTTCTTTTAACAGGTTTAATCTTGCTGCTAATGACTATAGTACTGATGTGAATATCAATGCTACTACTCTTCGGGTGTCTTGAGACTTGACTTTCTGATCACTCTGCCCTTATCTTCCATGCACCGTAAATCCCCGATTATTTCACCAGCAATTTTGTACAGGGCATCAATATCCTCACATTCTTTCAAACGCTTCACAGGAGGATTTTCGTAATACATAATGTCGTATTTCTCCTGTTCGATCATATATTCGTCGATATCTTCTGCTGGTTCTGCTGCTGCTACAACTACTTCTTCACCTTCCGCTGGTTCTGAGGGTTCAAGCGGCAGGAACCTTTCGTAAGGCATGCACAGCTTCACATTTGGTGGAGAGAACACGTGACCTTTCTCGATGGCTAAGCCGGATTCTGGGTCAGGCGTATCATCTGAATACAAATACGTCGGGATCTTCACCTTATATACTTTAATTTTTGCTCTTCTTTCAGCAATCAACTTGTTACAATACTTCTCGATTAGCATGACGGGATGACTGGCCATCTCCGCAGGCGCTTGAATGAACGGAATCTTTCCTATCAGCACCAAATTCTTCACACGCTCCAGCTCTTCTTCTTCTCTAGTTTTTATCCGTTTGCCCATAGCCTCCGCATACTCATCGAGGATCCTCTCTTGAAGTGTTTGCATGTAATTCCTGTCTGTTAGGCTAACGATATGGCTCCCCATAAGCTTTTCCAAGCGACATCGTACCTGAGGGTGGCTGAATGCATATTGGATGCTTCGTTTATCCCACCACGACATCACCTTGTTCGAATGAATGTCCCCTTTGGACTTGGTTTGCGACGGCTTCTTCATTTTTTACGGATGTTTCTTATGCAGACTATAATTTTATAGTTAATTCCCGAAAATGTGCACCAAACACTTTCACTGAAATTTCGATCCAGGAATGTAACACTTCTGACTTTTGGAATGCCAATCTAGGTCACAATTAAAGTCAAAGGTTTATGTACTATTCACCATGTGCGACATTATCGGTCGGATACACACTGCCGCTCGATGCAAATTGAGTGCATATATAAATTGCTTACAGGCGCGATGGTGTCAGAGTCGGTGTCCTTCAGGGTTCGGTTCTCGGACCAATATTCACTTGTCACTCATGGCGTCCCTTGCCCCAGCAACTGTGAAGTCTATCTATATGCTGATGACACAGCACCGCACAAGTAGCTTGCGCTCAAATTGCACTTAAAAATGTTTTCCATAACCACATACCTTCATATTTTCCTTTATTGTAGGAGTTAACTTCATTAGAAGTCATGCATATGTAGAATCATTATATCATATATTGGGATGCCATCTGGGAAAAGTTCCATCGGTAACCAACGCAGCCAATAGTGAGCGTCTTATTTGTTACTTTGCTGCTCACTGGTAAGTCCTTAAGACGGATGATTCAGTTAAAATTATCTATTCTCAGCCCTCAGAAGATCCTCATCGCTAGGAAACCGTATTCTTTTTAGCTTCATTTTCACACGCGGAAACAGTGCAAAGTCTCAGAGAGCAAGATCGTGATTGTAAGGAGGGTGCTCAATAACGTAAGTTTCGGTCTGGTAGTGGTCAAATACTCGGTGCAGGTTTTGGCGTGGTGAGCTCTAGCGTTGTCATGGTGGAGGTACGAATTGCCCATTCTTGACTATGGCCACAGGTTTTTCATAGACTCTAGGACTTTGGGCAGGGACTGTTCCATGTACCACTTAGCTGTGACTGTCTTCAATGTGTCCAAAACGACATGATCCACAATCCCTCTAGGTTTAAAAAATACAGCTATCATGCCTTGGTCGGCACATCGTAATAATAGAGCCAAGTCTCCTGTCACGATGCTGTTCAAATAACGAGATTGCCACTTATCAATCATTTTCAGCATTTTTCGGCACCAAGTCGTACGACGAGTCTTCTGCTCTTTCGTCAGACTATGCCAGAGAGAACAAAGTTTCCTTACGTATAAATGGTCATAAATTGCTGGTGCATGAAGGTGTAAGGTCTCCTCTATCTGTTGGTATGTCATTCTCCGGTCTTTGTCTTCTAAGCACTGGCCTATGCTTAAGCAAAGTTATACCGTAAATCTGAACGTATCTCACTACGCGACCACAATGCCATCGTCCGCACTTTACACTGTCAATACGATGAACAACTAAAAATCAACAGACGTACTGTTGGCGGCTACTATGCACTCGTGGACATGCCTCAACATACAGTAGCATGCAACCTGCTGCCTCCGTCTGCTAAGTCATATTGCAAAACTTTTAACTGTACTTAACAGTTTTCTGAAAGCGAATGCGAATGTAAACATATTACACGCCAAAACAATGGAATAAAACATTTCGGCTACTTGGCTAATAAAAAACATGCCGGTAAAATAGTTCGCGGCGTCTCTTCTGCAACTGTCGTTTCATCTGATGTTACGCAGGGGTCTGTTCTGTATTCAATATACACAAGTGATTTATACCCGTGTGTGGAATTTTGCCTATATGCAAACTTATGTTTGATGAAGCACAGTAAATTTTAAAATTTCTGAGTTAAGTGAGGTGCCGTTTAAGATTAATCCAACTAATATTATAGATTACTGCAATTGGCGCACTATCTCAAGATCATTCCTAAAAAGAGTTTAGATACGCTTTTTCTCCTCATCTATAATAACAAATAACGTCATTGCATTTATGATGAATAATATCTACAATTCCAATTCGTCATAGTAAAAATAATGTACATTGTACCCTCCTGCTAAAATACCTATCGATTTATCGATAAGGAAACAGATATACCCATCACTAGCAAGTCCTTATTTATTTTTGTTTTTTATTTTCTCCCAGCATGGGGAGTTTTATGGTTTTGTTAGTAAACAATTTGAAAAAATTTTCGGAGTTGGAGTTACTACTATTTATAGCTGTTATGTGTTGTCCCTCTGATATATGTTGAAAACATGGTAAAAAAGTAGATGAAAAGCTTTTTTAGAGTAGAATGAAAGAAAATAGCTTAAGAATAACAAAGTAGACAGAAGCGGCCTTTTCTTGCAGTTGCTTTTTTTTGTCTAGTACTTGTCTCTTCTAATAATAGATTATGTGGAATGCAAATTCTATTAAGCTTTCCTGAATTCTGTGCTAAGATGTGGTGCTTACGCGCCATTTCCACTGTGTACAGTTGGAAAGGCTACTACTGTCTATTACTTACTGAGTGAAAACTTTCTTATACAGTATGTTGCTTTATTGCCACAACCATTGGTGGAGCTGCTTGCTTTGTGCTAACTTTTACCTATAATTCCCCCCCAATCCCCTGCTTTACTTGATCACACACCACTTAAGAGTCATAACACTATCTAGTGTTGCCATTTACTATCATCCCAAGATGACGATCTAGCTGTGCAATACTTGTGGTGACATTCTGTATATATTCAGAGAATATATTAGCTTTTGATGACTGCATTTGCATGTTATATTTCCCTTCCCAGAATACAATATTATTTTTTCTTACAGCAAAAAAAGTGAAGCCGAATCAATCATAAAAATAATGAATGAACAATGTTCCTATCAGATGGATTATTGTTCTCCATATGTTTGGCTGATACTGGTGCACTGTTGTTCCTGTTAATATACTTTGTATCCTTTAAGTTTTGTTTATTTTTTAATATAGATATGTCTGGAATTTGAAGGAAAGTCTCATGGCTTTTAAGATATATAGCAACAATTTAACTACATGAGTGTTGATTATTGCAAAATAATTGATTGATATACAAGGACTAGGCTACTATCACTCAGTCTGACAAATAATGTGATCCACACAAATTGATAAAGACATACGGCTATATCAAGATGTAGTATAAATATTTAATGTAAGGCAGATTTAAGATGGAGATCAGTGATTATTTCTATATGCCCTGGATTTCCTTAACAATATGGATCATATTATACTAGTAGAATCGATTTTTCTAGGCATTGGGAATAGATGCTTAATTGTTGAAAAGTCAAAACTCACAAATTTGTTTTTTCATAGAGTTCAGGTCAGTATCTGTATGTAATAATTTGAAATGCTCTTTACAAACTACTCAGGAACTAAAAATAATAAAAAACCCATAAAAGACAACTATGTTTCTCCTTAACACTTCCATATATAGCTCATAACTTTATCTGACTCGGAATGTGATTATCTAAATGCTCAAGAATGCTGTGCTCGACTGAATGTATGGGTTTACCCAAGGATAATAGCTCATGTGTTCGTCACAGCTATTCTGCTGTTACAAGGACATTGGATATTAGCACTATTCAATCTGCCAATGACAATATGGCTAGCACTTGAAATTTCCAATGTGCCAAAGAGTAACTTAGGAGTATTTGATCCGACTGAAATTTACAATAGAGGTCAACTAAAATATCAAATGACCAGAACTATGGTCTGTTTTGGATACTATTTGATATTCTTCTTTACCTATCTATATTGGTAAGTTCCACAACCACAATTTTTTTATTAATGTAATACTAAATGAAGATTATCTGTTTTAGCATGATAGCATCACTCTTAGAAGGCGATCCGATAAATAGGAAGGATGAAGGAGAAATAATTGATAGACTTTGAACAGACTGCTTTTTGTTAAAATATCAACGAATTTTTGTGGTATTGTTTTTGAGGTATTTTAAGATAAGCTTACTTTGACATAAGTAAATATAACTGTAAGTTGACTGTTCAGCTGTTTGTTTTACCTCCATTATTATAGACTGACAGCTATCTATATTATTATTATGGCAGTACAGCCCTCTTTGTCATAATTGATGATTTTATGTCAATGTATTTGTTGTGATAGTAAAAGCAGCTCTTGTTTTTAGTATAAATTTTGTATTGGAGGAAGAAGCAAGTTGTATGTAAAACGTGAGTGCTCGTACACTGTAAAAACTTCCATTCTTTTTAATATTTGTATAATGGGTGTATATTAAAAAATGTAAACCTTTCCTGTTTTATTATTAAGTCATGGATTCCTTATACAAAACCCAAATTTGTTTAACGGCTTGAATTCAATGAGTACAATATGAGCGCTATAGATCGGTACTGGCCAAAATCGCTCATCTGTGATCATGGAGGTGGAAACCTTTCCAAACGAACCAGTGCTGCAATGTTGCAGAATTTGTGGGGATCCTGACCTTCCACTTCGACATAAAATGGAGCGCCGTTAGGACCGATCGGGAATCAATACTAAACAGATTCCACACAATCCAAAAATGAATACGCTCAAAGTGAAACCATTATTTGGCCGACAAATGGAACAATTCTACCGAGCGTTTCCGCATGCAAGCCGCTATAAATGCTTTCTCCTGTCAAAAAAGTTACACTCGTACTATTTTAATAGTTTTTCTAATTGTTTCCATTGTATCGTGCCCATATGTTTTCTAATATTTGTTTAAATAAATAAATATAAATAAGATAAGAGAGTTCGCTATAATACCTTTACAAAATAAAAGCTGTTTCGCACGCACATGGAAAATATCCCTTGCACGTCTCCGCAGTCCATGGAGGTCGTACTCGTAGTTACCAACAATGAGTCACTGCCAATAACTTCGGTTTTTAGGTATAGGTATTCAAAATATATGAAAAAAATATGTCGATAAATTATAAAAATATGAAGAAAATTTGTCGTTAGACAATACATAATAACTTTATTTTCCTGTATTTGTTTTTTTGTCCTTGTGGAGCATTTTTGCAAAAGAAAAATATATAAATATTTCTGAAACCAATATCTTACGACAACCTTATAGAATGCTATATTTTTATTGTTTAACAGCATAAATTATAAATACAGATGGTTCCACGAGGAAAAATACTTACGAGTTTTTAAAGCTTAATTTTTACTATATACTCTTTTTTACCACCATGTTTATTAATTATGCGAATATCGAATGAGGTCTACTAAAGTACATCTTCTGTGAGATAACCGTTACAATCGTGTGACAAGAATAGAAATATAATAAGATTGAAGTATTTGTCAGCTTGCACTTTCAATACGTTACGTTTTAAAAAATTTAGTCGCCCTGTATATTCGAAACGAAGGCGTTTTTCGAAAACGATTTAAAGACAAAGACACTTCCGAATAGACTAAAGAATTAGCCCTTAATTTTTTAGTGAACATATTGCCCAAAAAAAGTATTTCCACTCGGTGAATTAAAGACAGATGGGTACTACTATCAGAATTTTTGAAAATAAGGATCTGGAATTTTAGGCTTGCTGCCAATAACAGACAACGTTCTACAGGACTTTGGCAAGGAACTCCCTTTCTCTTTTCGTACTTTTGCTGCTACGTATTGTATACAAGCCCATATAAAGATACAACATGAATATAGTGCAATTATTAACAAATCTTCAAAATTCATCCTCTTAAAAATATCGATTGTACGGAGGTATTTATTAATTACTAAAATGTTTAAACATCCTTTATACGAGAGATAATAAGTATATGAACACAATACAATCGGTATTTGCGAGCACTAATCTCCTTTCTTGTTAGTTTTTTTACATGATGGTGTGCTAGTTAGTATGTATTTACATTCAGCATAGACGAGGCGAAAAAACATTCGTGGGATAAATTTTCCAACTCCATTTTTAAATGAATCATGAGGTTGCTGGGAAGTTTACTCACTGCAAAGTTTAAACAATTACAAACTACAAAAAATCGTTTCTTCTGCACTGGACAAAGTGTTTTTATGTTTTTTGGATCATTGTGAATAAAAAAAGTTTTTGGTAACTTCTCTCTACAAGTGTAATTCCTTTAAGACGGGGTAATTGATGCTCAAGAAGTCAGTCCTGGTATTATGAACTAACACAGAAGTTGATGAGAATGCATAACTTACTTGACCTGCTGTGAAGACATTCAGTTTCTTCAGAAAGGTCGGAAGACGACACAATATCCATCGAGAAAATACAAAGAAATGCCTCGCTCGCCTTTTATGAATAACTACAATTGATAATAGTCGCGTCTCTATACACAATTATTATCACAAATTCAAATCACCATCATCACACTGCGAAGAATCGCCGATAAAGGCTTTCCTGCATACGGAGGTCTCGACGCGGCAGCATCCAGTCGCGCTAACCGATAACTAAAGAGCGCCTTTGTTCGCAGCGTGTATGGCAGTACGGTACGGCTATCCCCGCTCTGTGTCGCTATTGGTTGGAATTTCGTCACCCCTCCTTTCCCAATCTTTCTTGGGGTCTATGTGAACATCAAGCATGCAGATTACGATCTATGACGGTAATCCCAAAAGTACTGTATTTTAAGAACTACAAAAATCATTAGCTTATAATTGATACATCATTAAAGCTTAAACATCCGTTCTATTTTGCAGTTTTTGGATGTCCATGTCATACCAGATTTCAGCCACGTTCTTGAGGAAGCAGTGAACCTTATCGATCACTTCACTGCCTGAATTGAATTGCTTTGCCAGGTGTTTTTTTTAGCTTTAGGAGCAGGAACACTTTAAAAAACTCCGTCGAGCAGCTCAGAAACCAGAAAGAGTAATTTTGAGCAAGTGTGCGTAAGGATTCTCTATGATAACGCACGTCCACACGTCAGCCGTCAAATGGTTACTATTCTGCAGCTTTGAAGTGGAGATATTCACCCACCAACTACGAGCCCCTTCCCACTTCAGCTGGCCCACTTCAAGATTTGTACCAAAATATGCCTTTATAAACTAAACATGACGAAACTATTTTCTTCTAAAACAATTCATTTTCTCAAAAACATTTTAGATACACACTAGTCATAAAAAATACATATTTCAAATCACATAGACCTATAACTAACAGAACATCTGAACAAATAAACAATGTGCGAATAAATGCGCGAAGTTAACAAAGCAAAAATTGAAAGAATACCATTGGGTAACATCACCTTTATTTTTTATTACGACTGAAATTCTTTGGGGCATAGTGTTAACCAAGTTTTGGCAAAAATTTGGTGTAAAACAATCCCATATTTCTTGAAGCTTTTGTCGGAGTTCGGAGATTGTACGAGCAGGATGTTGCCGTAGAACCTTTTTCATCTCGTGCCACAAAGTTTCAATAGGTGACAGATCTGGACTGCTAGAAACCCATTTCAAAAGTGCTACATTATTTTCTTCCATCCATTTTATAGCCTTTTTTGAGGTATGGCACGCTGCACCATCTTGCTGAAACACAAAATATTGACCAGATATCAAACATTCTTCCCTCGCTGGTAAATGCGATTCTTCTAAAATTGCCAAATATTTGTTTGTATGCACATTTCCATCAATGAAATGAAGTTTTCCTACTCCTTTTGATGACATACTGCCCCAGACCATAATGGATACTGGAAATTTCACTTTTCTCTTCAGACAGTCAACATGGAATGCTTCATTTTTTTGCGAATAACTCTACTGCGACTGTCACCAACACAGACTTCGAATCGGGCCTCACCACTCCATTGTATTGCACACCATTGTTGATGTGTCCATTGTCTATGCTCTTTACCACATCTAAGCCGATTTTTCTTTTGCAGAGTTAATAGTGGCTTTTCTTTGGCCTATAAACAAGTTGTGCAACTTTAGGGTTTTTACTTCACTTTGTTTTATAAGAAAACTTACCTTGCAAGTGCTAAATCCCAGTTTGTGGGCCTCTCTATGAGTTGTGGACCTCGAAATTCTTCTTCCAACAGCATCACTCCACAGAGCACTTAATTGTAAATAATTGGCACGCCTGTTTTTCATGATTATTCTTCTTAATGCTCTTCGGTGGGCATTTGTGATATTACTTTTTTCACATATCGTGGCTTAATATTAACTGACCCAGTTACGTTATATCTTAGAACAATATTTCTCACACTGTACCGCGATAAGTCTAACAAAGCTGCAATTTCTGAGTTTGATTTCCCAGAATTAAAAAATTTAATTATCTAAACTAAACTAAGATTTCAATAGTTGGGCCAACTAAAGTGGGAAGGGGCTCGTATATAGTATGAACTTGTCACCGTGTAATTCCCATCTATTCCTTAAGTTCAACAATCATTTATCGAGGCAATTCAGATTTAACGAATACTTGAAAGAAAAGGAGGTTCAAGGCCTTCTTAAGGACCTGGCGGTGTGACATGGATATGCGAATACTGCCACAGCATTTACAAAAATAAACTGACTGAAGGAAATACATGTTCTTTGTAATTTTAAACAATAGGAAGCCTTGCCTGCTTTGGATCGTACGACTTGAGATCACTTTTTGAAGCATATTTTTCTATTGGAAACGCTTCATTAATAGAGTGCTCATGCTAAGGCTGGCAACACTTTGAAAATTTTACTCAAACCAACGGAGATTTTCAATTTACTTTTGACTTTGTCAGAGTATCGTATATGCTATTATGCGGGGTATTCCATACTTAAATGGACACAGTGAAATAGCAGGTAGTATAGCCAGAGACCTTTTCATATCAAAAACGTTATTTACGAATATACAGGGTCATTTATCTAAACACGCCAAATCTGTAATTTCACTTATCCCAGGCTCTATTGAACCGGTTTTGTTGAAATTTTGAACGACAAAAAAGGTTTCCTAGGAATAACGTAAAAGTAGATCGATGGTAAAAGATCCAGGAGCAGACGCGACTTTTTCACTTTTTCGCCATTTTTATCAAAATCAACTCCTCTTAAGCTGTCCATTGGAATGTTTCACTGAGTACAAAAGCCAATGAATGGTGTTAGTTAAGAAGCGAAACAGATTAATTGCGACTCTTTTAGTTTTTATTAAAAAATTCTCACTTATTAAAAAAATCTTACGCTTAGCAGTTTATGTGACACAAAGCTCAAAATCGCGGGCCCCAGTTTTTTTTATTACCTTGTATTTTATCAAGTGCAGCGCTCTGTATGTTATACTCTGAATTTGTTGTTTCCCGAAAAAATAGCAATACGTGATATGAATAAAGGGGAAAATTAATGCTACGCATTCCATTTACTTATTTTTCGGTAATGTTTTAATAATTTAATTCTACCGACCGATATTGTACAACCGGGTTCTGCTTATAAGGAAGACTGAATTAAATGTGCGATTCCTCTAAATTTGTCATTCCAGACCAGCTTGAAGTCAAAAGCGTGCAAAAACGTAGTATGCAGCTCCAGGCGTTAATTTTGCAATTTTCATTTCCATTAGTGTTGTGCTACGATTTCGAGGAAAATTTCGTTGTGGATAGTCTTATTGGGCATATTAGAGTATATTTCAACAGTTGTCTTGCGTGGCCACGTTTGCTATACTCGGACCGAGCAGATTCTTGCAGTACATTTCCTTTGGATATTCTATAATTCAAATAATCTGTCTATAACTTTCAGCCAGACAAAAGGTGGAACCAAAAAATGTGTGCTGAATTTTATATCAAAACAAAATTA